AGGGCCAGAGCTAGAACCGGAGCCAGATCCAGAGCCTGAGCCAGTTCCAGAGCCTGAGCCAGTGCCAGAGCCTGAGCCAGTGCCAGAGCCTGAGCCAGTGCCAGAGCCTGAGCCAGTGCCAGAGCCTGAGCCAGTGCCTGAGCCTGAGCCAGTGCCAGAACCAGCACCACCGGATGGGGAGGTGCCCTGAGTTCTGGTAGGAACATAGACTGGGATGGTCGCGCTACCGTGGCAGGTGTAGCAGGGGGATGTACCAGTGACAATGATAGTGCTGTTATTACCAACACCGCCGCCGGGACCGCCTGGGGTGCCAGTCACGATGGGGTGGCTACCAGTGCTGGTACCGGTGCCGACAATGCCGGTTCCAATGGGATGAGTACCGGTCTGAGCACCGGTAGGAGCAACATCAGTACCAGGCTCAACACGTTGCTTGCCGATGATACCCTTCACGTGGACGGGAGGTTCCTGCAGCTGTTTGGAGCCGGCTTGAACACCGGCTGCGAGAGCCAGCAAGGCGACGGAGGGGGCTGTGAAGTGCATTTTTATTGGAAAACAAACACGATTTGGATCAAGGAATGAGATAAAGCCTGTTCTTTAACAAGCGATATAGCTAGGACGGGCATTAGTACATATTCTTGAGATCATGGTGCTCGAGTACTTACTTAAGGTGAGATGCGATTGAGATGGACATAGCAGAATCCGTGAAGAGGACGGCATCTTTATAGATCTGGCAACGGTTCCCAATCCGGCATCTAAGTAATTAAGGTTAATTAGTGATGGCATCAGTAATTGGAGGAAAAAAATTCCAAGGTTGTGTTCCTCTTGTCTTGGCATCGAAAACGAGATCAAGGCGAATTCCGCATCCGGGGATAATCGCACTGTTCTAGATAGACTCAATCCACTTTGATCTGATACAATCGGACGAGGCCGACACCAACTCCGTCATGATCTTCCCCCGTTGCTGTTCGTCCGAAATGTGGGGATCTCGCTGGCTTAGGTGGGTCACGTGATATGGTATCCCAATTGGGAAGTAGCCGCTCGCAAGCGGACATCACACGTCGAACACTCCAACGTGGAATTCCACAGCGATCCACTTCAGAGATGAGACAATAAGAGACAAGTTGATTCTATTTATGGGTCACCTGTTTTCGGGACCATACACTGAAGACATTGTCTGAAGAAGTGGAGTCTTGGAAGACAATGGGGTGGAGAGCATCTTATCCCCCTAGGAAGATGAGCCCATAAAGTAGCGGTCATCTACCCATGACTCTCTGCGTAGTGATATCACAAGGATCACTACTTCTCTAGCTGTAAGGCAGGTGAATGGCACTTTATGTCTGGTAGAGCACACATAGCCTATAGAACTGGTCGTAACAACCGTATTTGGGGATTAACTGCCGTGTTACTTCTATCATGGCATTATAGGACTTTGGCAGTTCTCGGAACATCAAAGTTAGCAAGGCTGTGACCTGCGCAGAGCTGATCGCCCAGCCAGTCTCCTAACAACTGCATCCGGCTGTCCGGCATCTAGTGAGTCTACATCAACGCAGCTCACCTAACATCAGGAATTTGACTTCGAGATGCTTAAGTATCGGTCATTTACATTTTCATACTTCTCTGTCTTCGGTCAACTAAGCAGCTTTCACGTCAAGTTCGTCATGTCCGATCTTTGTCATTTGCGATCAATTTGAGGAATGTGATTCCCCGCAGTAGCAGTGGAATGTGTGTTTTTTTAGGGCTATGTATTTCAGCCTCACGCTTCAAGCAACAAAGTTGATCCCGGTTATTGGTAACATAAAAGTAGGTAAAATCCATGGATAACTTGCAACCTAAACTATCCATTTTTGCAAATGCCGGTTTCGGAACTAAATTAGCTATATCATCGGTAGCAGTTGAACTGATTTAGTGATCTTGACGGATGAGATGATTAATTAGGCGATCTCTTAATAGCTTCATAATAATGTCTATTGAGCAAACCAATTAATCAGACCAATTGGGCAGATTAATTGAATAGCTTCATGTTTGACAGATCAGGTGATCTCTAAATAATTGAAAATGGAGTGCTAAGAGCGACCTCTCCTAATTAGGTTAGACTGTCCCGTAGTATGTACTAAAACCGCTGTCCCAACAGTATCTTACATAATCCTTATGTCAACATACATGTCATGTGACGAGCCCCTCACAGATGTAACTGACATGGATATTCCTCAGATGACATATGCAAGCTGATATATATTTCTCTTGTAGGGATCTTTATTAGGTGTACAGCCTGACAGAAACTTGCATAGCCCAGAGACAACTTTAGCGTATTGATTGGGTCTGACAGGGGTGCGGTGTCTACAAAAAGGGTGATAGCTAACTAGAGCTCATCGAACAGTTTACAGTAAAGCCCAAGTTTCCCATTCTCGTATAGCCCCAGGGCAGTCGCAATATTCTGAATATATGGCGAGGCCAAAATAGTAGAAAGGCTGTTGTCAGAGCCTCTCTCCTCGAAATCTCTAACACTTTGCACATAATCGTTCCTTTCCCTCCGTAACTTCCGTGTCTCTTCGTCAACGGGGTTTCCCTCAGCATCATAATTTGTTGGTAAATCCATTGGGGGAGGTACAACACCCAAGAACAGTGGAAAATCGACGACCCCCCACGGGACCGTGCCCGCATGTTCCCAATCAATAACCGACAGAATGTTATAATCACCGTCGATGATAACATTACTATGTCGAAAGTCTGGGTGAAAGAGGGGGAAAGGGCCTTCGTTTTTGACGGATAATATATGTAGGGCTTCTTTGATTTTATCAGGAAAACCTCCGATTGATGCAGGCACTTCATCATGCCAATGACTTGGCAAACGGGATCTGATATCGATGTCTCGCATTGGAAACTTGACGGTGTTGCTCCATGCGGCAAAATATTCAGCTGCGGTTTCGAAGGGGCCTCCTATACCAGGTATTGAGTCGACATCGTATGAACCACCGGCATGTCTCATAATCATACCAATCTTAGGAAATCGAATTTCAGACATGGCAACCTGTTAGTCAGTCGACGTCTCACCGTAGGCGAGTATTCCAGACGCTTACCTGTATTTCTGCAATACTGCGGCAGAACGCTGATTTGAATCTAGCTGGTATTTCACCATTGTGCACTTCCCAGCCTCCAAAAGCATCCATCGCAGTACTGCCAGGTATCAATTCCATGATCATGAAGGCACGGCCGATTATATTCCCATTTGTCTCATAACCGAACACTTTCGGGACAGGGATCTCCGTTCGCTCACGAAGCAAAGAAAGTATGTGGACTTCATGAAGCAAGCGTTTCTTGGTGTCGCTGGTGCACTGGCCTAATGGGATGCGTGCAACCCACTTCATGCCGTCCTCAAATTCGAGGACTCTCACCAGGTGAACTCCGCCCATGTGGTATGATGGGGGAATATGGCAAGATCGAGTGGATAAAACTTCCATGCGCTGGTTGCCTCTTAAGTTTGAGAGCATAATCGAAGAGAGCTGTCCAGTTGATCGGAGGCAACGAATCACCATGCTTGATGTCGGTCTGCCAATTCATTGACTCCATGACTTTCGTTTAACTAATCGGTCGGAAGTAAAGAAGTTTGTGCAAAATGAAAGAATGGTGTAGATTAGGTATAAGAAGAAGGCCTTCGACTGATCCCTAAAAAAAGGTCCGCTCTCAAGATCCCCTCTTAACCGAGTATGTTGGGTGCCCGTCAATTAGACGACGGCAATCTTGCGCACAACCCTCCCAGGGACATGGCATCACGGAGATGAGCTGAGGCTTGGCGACCGTATTGATTGGATCTGACAGGGGTACGGTGTCTAAGGAGGGGGGAGGTGTTTCCAGTATCTCGTAAATCAATGGCAAATCAATCAGGGGGATATCGTCAACAGAGTCCATAGTAATCGATATCAATTCAATACAATATAGTTATAGCTAGGTAGAGATATAGTGATTAATGGGGTTTGGCAGCTTTGGGCTTCAAGTATAGAGAATAGCCCCAGTATGCTAGTCACTTACGAGCTTTACTTTCTACAAAAATCACTGCAGGCAGTCACATCGGAGGCGTAGAGATGGGGATCTGGTGATTGTACAAGACAGAGTACTCCGTATGACCCAACTTTGTTGCGATGTTGGAGCTTCGTGGTAATATTGGCTCTTGTCTCATCATTTGCAGTTTGCGAGGTGGAATCTTTCAAGGAATTGATATCCGGGATTTAGTAATTCCGTATCCGAATCGGAATATCTCCTCAAGCATTGGTTTGCTGGAACTATATGAAGTAGGGCTCCTCTAAGCACTATGGACATATCTCACATTTGAAATGGGCTTTCACAATCGCCCAGCAGTTTCCCCGACTGCTGCTTGGGTATCTCGACTACCTTGATCGGATTATGAGCCGTAATAAGCAGGTACACAACCCGTGAACAACAAAGGATTATTAATCTAACCTGACGTAGCAAGCTTAGTCGTCCTCAATTTTTTAGTTAAAACTATCTTATTCTAGTCATGTAATTGTCAAAATAACCAAAATAAACAACGCCATAGATCGGGCTTATCGCAACTGATTGCCGGGTCTTGGCAATAATCTCCCTTTCTCCTCTCAACTCTTTTTCCATGTCTTCACCAGGCTAGCAATGCGCCGCCCAGACCCTACTTCTTCCCTTCTTTCTCCTGCCAATTACGACAACGATGCATCTTCGTTGCGGTCACCCTCCGAGCAGGACTCAGATTCCGACGATGACGCGCTCCTCGATCAGCACCGCAGCACCTTGGAAATTGCAGAGCACGACCGGGCAGTGCTAGAAGATGAAGAGGAGCTAGAGAATCTTCTGATCCGGCGTGGCACTGGACATGGTCTGCGGAGGATATTCAGCCCAAATGGTAGCACTGTGAAGATCGGGAAGACGAAAAAGGAGCGGCGACGGCGGAGGGGGTCACGGCGGGAGAGAGTCAGTGAAGACGGCGAGCTGATGTATGAGATGGAAGAGGGAATTGGTGACGAGAATGCCTCTGTTTTGAGTGCATCATCGTTAGATTTGGACAGGACAGGCGAATACAGATATGAACCTGTAAGACGTACCATGGCTGGTTTCTATGTTCTTGCTAACACATTCGCTCCTTAGCCTCCACGGCCTTCATGGCGAAGAATACTGTTTATAACTACTCTCATCGCTATACTCTTCGTCATCCTCTTCCTCGGCGCGTATAAAGCCTCTAGTGGGTTCCGGGCTTCACGAGCACACCCTCCACGCTTGCTCTCCAACGGCACAGCTCTCTTTGCGCCAACCACTATCATTATCTCGCTCGACGGTTTCCGGGCCGACTTTCTCGACCGTGGCCTGACTCCTGCGCTGAACTCACTCATCGCCAATGGCGTTTCCCCGCAATATATGAACCCGAGCTTCCCGAGCGTCACCTTCCCAAATCACTTCACGCTTATGACTGGACTATATCCCGAGAGTCATGGCATTGTAGGAAACACATTTTGGGACCCGAAGATAAAGGAAGACTTCTACTATACCCATCCCACTGTCAGCATGCAACCCAAGTGGTGGATGGCGGAACCGCTCTGGGTGACCGCAGAAAAGCAGCGCGTGAAGACCGCGATCCATATGTGGCCGGGGTCTGAGGCGCACATTGGTGACAGGGAGCCGAGCTTTTTGGACAAATATAACGGGACGGAACTCTTGTCGCGCAAGGCGGATCGGGTCCTTGGGTTTTTGGATCTACCGGGTGTTGAGGACGAATCGCAGATAACACCTGAGCGGCCGCAGTTGATCGTAGCTTACGTTCCTGACGTTGACCGAGATGGGCATAAATTTGGCCCTAATAGCACTGAAATCCGAAAGACCATTTCAGCAGCGGATAGCATGGTTGCGAGCATTATGACTGGTCTTGAGCAACGCAATCTCACCGACGTGGTAAACATCATGGTTGTCTCAGACCACGGCATGGCTACTACCTCTACGGAAAGGCTGGTTCAGTTGGACGATTTGATTGATTATGATCTGATTGAACATATTGACGGGTGGCCATCTGGTGGTCTGCGCGCCAAGAATCCTGAGGATCTGGAGACCCTTCGCAAACAATTGGAGAAGGTGGCTCCGGATTACGAGCATGCTTTTGAATTTTACACACGGGAGACAATGCCTGAACGGTATCACTTCTCAAACAACGAACGCATTGCGCCATTGTGGGTCATCCCTAAGGCGGGATGGGCTCTCGTTGATCGGTCAGAGTTCGATGTCAAGGAGGCTTTGAAGACTGGGAAGGAATACCATCCTCGAGGTATTCACGGGTACGACCACGAGCATCCATTGATGCGTGCAATATTTATTGCGCGCGGCCCAGCCTTCCCTCATAAGCCAAACAGCCGATTGGATGTTTTTCGTAAGTACCTGCTCCGAACCATCGATTGGAATTTGACCTAACGAATCTGTATAGAAAACATCGAGGTATATAACATTGTCTGTGACTCTTTGGGTGTCAATCCCCTTCCAGGCAATGGCACACTACGACTCCCGCTGAAGCCAGTCGGCCTTCACTCGGATGAGAACGCACCGGTTTTGGACACACCACCTGATCCCCCGGCTCAAACTTCACCAACAGCAGGGCCTTCGCAACCTGCATATCCGCAGCCATCACCTCCACAACGCAAGCCACCACGGCCAGCACCGAGACCCACTACAGCAGCCAATGCACCACCCGCCACAGACTACCAAAGTGACGATGAGAAGGGTTCGACGTGGTGGGGCACAGTCTGGCACAAACTCGATGATTTTAAGAACTGGGCTGGTGGCGTTGCCGATGCTGTTCAAGGCAAACACCCGGAATCTGACAGTTGATTGTTCAATTATGTGCGTTTAGCTTTACATTTTGATAGATACCCATGTTCACGTATATAATGTTTAAATTATACTCATTCTCTCAGTATATAAGAGAAAGAGAAGAAGGAAGATCAAACAAGGCAGGGAGTAGGTCCTTACAACCTCAGCAGAAATAATCTCAACGGTCCTTAGAGGAGAGTCAGGTTCATGATTTGTTCCACACAGGCGTCGCCATGATAGGCGGATAATTTTGCGAAATTTTGTTTGCTATAAAAGTGATTGGCTTTGTTGTTATATGCTTCTACGTAGACTCTTAATGCAATCAGGCGTACGCACTAAGGCTTTTCCTACTTTCATACAGCTTCCCAGGCCTCTCCTTGTCTCATTGATGGCTTTCGGGCCTTTCTCTCGTTGTCTCCATCAAGCTATTTAGAGAGCTGACAAGTCTCAGATTATTCTTATCAATCTAACTCACCTCTGTTGATCACTTCTTGTTTCGTTAGACACATAGTGCATGAGCTTACCTACATACATCAACTCTGCCAGATTTTTCCTCCTATCTGGCCCTGGTACAACTTAATATAGTGCATCGTGCACTCAATTGTGGATATAACTGTGGTTGGACTCTTATTTATACAATTATCAATGTCGGGGACTATATATAGCTTAAATTCGTCTTTCGATATTAGAACTTCGTCTTCGCATATATATTTTTACATGTCTTGTCCGGTGTTTTCCCCTCCTGGTTGTTACAGCTAGAATGGTGGCTCGAGCCTTGGTACCTCGTGATCTTTGGCGAATATCGATACTTTGCAGGCGAAAGGCTTGGCGCTAGAGGCCTTTCGTTGGTTTATCCGCGATGAGGGCACCGTCTCAAGACCATCTGCCTGCGTCAGTACCAGTTCCTTTCTATTCTCAAACGGGAATCCATCTCGTTCATTACAGCAATGCCTATTTGGCATGGGGCCTTGGACCACTGCGGGTACATAACTATACTCCGAAGAGCGATTCACAAGCTCTGAGAGGATTGCCCGGTGAGATTCCCCCCGGCCGCGGACTACCTCGATCCATATATCCAGCACCTATAAACTGCTCTTGCGGGGAAGCTATATCGTCTACTTGTCTCATAGCATTCACGAGGCGTTGCATGCTCTCGAAGAGATGGTTGCCATGCAATTGCCGGGTCGTGCGAGTCTTTCCTTGGCCTTGAGGCTAAAGCATATATTCCCCGTCAGCATGCTATAGGAACGGAGATACGGTGGCAACTGGTCTAGTACATGACCAATACTCGACCCATTAGCGAGATTGGAGATTCTCGCCTCTACTCTACCGAGAATGGGTTCCTTCTCAGCTCAGAAGTGCATACCTAGTTTGGCAATTTCTGACTAGGAGTTGATCCCGATGTGAGACCCTCTCCATAGTGATTGGTGACGTCTTGAGAACTATTGAAACCCCGTTGTTCAGCCTGTTGAGGAGACCGTGCGTATGATACTTCAACGCCCGGAAGAGATCAAGGATGTTGTGAAGTCGTTCAAAAAGAATGGCGAAAGAAAGCACTCAAACCGCTCTTCAAAAATACAAATGATCTCGACCAACATATATTTGTACCAAGTAGTTCCATTCCTAGCTAGCGTCTAATCTTCCATATGATACACAAACCTCACATTTGTTATGGTGGTAGTATCTTTTTGAATTATAAGCTTACTTTATCCAAGCCCGACAAGGATTCCTCACAGTCTGGGGCTCAGAGAGATTGGGCGGTAGGCTATTGAGAACTTAGTTACAACAAATAACACGATCTTTTGCAGAGCCAATGCAAACATTCGTGGTGGCAGTTATCAACCTTCACTTCATTCTTCATCTCTTTCCTTTCTTCCATCACACGCCACTCCTCCCACCGATCGGTATGTACTCAACCTCATCTTTATCTCCATATCAATCTTCGCTCCATATTAATAGCTAACTTCTAGGATTTTGTTCCATGGGACCCAGCCCCTGTGAGTAAGCTGCGATAAGGGTCACGGGTTCTCAATTCATCAACAATCATTCGCAATGCTGACGATAAAAGCCAAATTGATCAGAGAGTCGTTAGATCGGGCCCACACAGATCATACCGAGTACCATGGCTCGGAAGCGCAGGTTCGAAGAAATGCTCGACAAAAACAATCGAAGCAATCGCGGCATTGACTACACCGAGACTCTCCCTGCCACGGCCAGTTTTCTGTCTACACCCAAGCCAGCGGATTCACTGGTGGAAACATGCGACAAAGTGGAAAGACTAGCTTCCATTGTTAGAAGAGGCAAAAGCCTTGCTATTCACACAAAGAATGCAACGCCTCAGCGTGATGCTATCACCGATGCCAAGGCAACGATGACCGCCCTCGAGATCGAACAGTACGAAGCCTACATTCGTGGTGATATCGTCCCCACTGTCGAGTGGGCCAAAGCCCAGGGGCCTCCTATGATTCCATATGGCCTAGAAGACAGTAATCGCGCTGTTCAGTTCCTGCATGCTGCCAGAGAAATTTGCCGCAACCTGCAGATCAGCCCACACGCCACATCTCAGTTCATCGCCAACTTTCCATGGGCGATGCCTCTCATCAATGCAGTTATGAAGGTGCAGGCTTCGCAGCAGAAGTATGTGGACGATCAAATCAACCGCACTGAAGCCGAAATGGAGCTTGTGGAACTGAATACAACACGCAGTATTGTCACTGTTGCTATGAAAACCCTCGCCGATGAACAACAGCGCGTGAGCGAGGAACAACGGCGAGTGGACCGACTGGCGGCCAAAATTCGCATGGCCTGTGAGGTCATCCAGGACCGCGGGGATTCCATCCAATCGCAAGAAGAATACTGAGGGGTTTAGAAGTGCGAGAGGTTGAATTGTCTTGTCTGAAGTCTCTCTTCACAAGACGATCATGTCCTGTGCTTCTCCCATTCAACCTTCCTCTACGTCCCCGACCCTCTCCTCATGTTTTACACCAACACACGTCGTTCCTTTATTCTGTACCCTCACTCTCTGCTTCACAATTTCCTATCGGCTTCAATTTTGTGCTTTGAACTCGATCATATGATGCCCAGAATGGATGGCTCTTCACAAAGGACAACACAGAATGAGCTTCAAAGTCCTGGGCAGTGTAGTTGCGAGCAGAATTGAAGACTCATAATCTTTACTTTCCTTCAGTGTAAAACTGTAGGCCATTAGAGGTATGCGGTTTGTGTCGGATCCTCTTTTAAAGATAACAAGATCGCGAGACTAGAATAACATCAGGACCAGGCCGCAGCTCTTTAAGGAATTGAGCGAGAGTAGAAGCGACGACGTTTTGATTATTTGGAACTGGAGTAGTAGACTAGCATTAAAACATTTCATTCTTGGGGTTTTTTCATCAACAGATAATCACAGAGACATAGAGCAGGTGGACAGAAAGCCAGCGAGAGGACACATGAGCAACAGACCCAATCCTAGACGTACACTGACATCCGGCTATTCCTTAGTCTTGGAACACTTCGTCCCCTTGTCTCGCACAGCGCTCTCATGGATCCTGTCGACACGTTTCTGAATAACCTCACAATCTGCACCAGTGAGTTCCATCACCGTTTCTAAGCTTAAATGTTTCTCCCTCAGAGTAGCATCCAATTGCAACCGGCGTTGTCTTTTCTGAAGGGTATTAATGGTGATCCGGATGATACTGCGAGCTGTTTCCAATTCCGCCAGCTCCATTTCGGTGAGTTCTTGATCTGCCAGATCTATCCGGCTGGGGCCTTCTTGGTCGCAGACATACTCCCACCGCACACGCCGTACCATCGCGACTGCCTCAATAAGAGGCATCACATAGCGAAAGTTAGCTATGAACCAGTGTGCGTTCTTGCGAGTGATGTGCGAATTAGGGTAGATCTCTCGAATGGCATGAACTTGATGCTTGAAGTGAGACTTTTCAGCTTTGGGAAGTTCAACTGTTTTGTTACTATTTTTCCAATCGACAGTGGGCATGACGGCACCAGCGACCCAGGCATTGTACTGCTTAATCTCGATTGACCGCATTCTTTTCTTTGCCTCGTCGATGGGGTCTCGCTCTTTTTTGGGAGCCTTTGCGTAGTTAGTGTGGATGGCAAGGCTCTTGCCTTCTCCGATAAGCTCAGCCAGTCTTTTCAGTTTCTTGTGGGTTTCCACTAGTTTGTCCGTTGGCTGAGGTGTAGACAGGAAGGTGGTGGTATCAGGGAGCTTCTCGGTGAAGTCAATTCCATCAGTTCCACAATCATTTATGTCAACTATGCAGCAACTTTCGTCGAACATTTCTTGGAAGCTGCGCTTTGGAGCCTTTGAAATAGGAGTCAGCTGAGGGGCATCCTGGCCCAAGGACATTCTGGGCAGTCTGTTTCCATTGTTAGGATTCTTTAGATTCCAGCTGGTTTTATTGATGATCTGGGGATAAACGGCTTACAGGGGTTCGGCTATGAACAAAGGGAAGATATAGATGGAGATAGAGATGGAGTAGTTAAGCGACTATTGGGCCAGATCAGTGGTTCAGGAAGTAATAGTAGATAGAGGTGGAGGATGAAGTGAAGGAAGTAGTATACTCTGTGATAGATTTATACTGACTGTGCCTAAACTTCAACCTAGGCAATCAAAGTCCCATTATTCATCGTGCTACTAATGCGTTATGTTCAGATAATTTTATCAAATATGTGGCAAACATATCTCCCTCCCTTGGGACTATGTAAATATGTTTTAACTTGTTACGAGAATAGAGTGATATCAAGTAGAAGATTGTATGTTTTAGTATTGAGGTTATTCTAAACTCCCGTATGTGGCCCCGGTGGGGTACTATCTCCATCAACCAGCCAAGTGGCCGAGCAGTAACTCGGCCATCGCATTCTTCCTTGGTCTAGTGGTGATGATTTCCGCTTGTCATTAAAACCGATAAGCGCGGGAGACCGGGGTTCGATTCCCCGAGGGAGAGATTTCTTTTTTTTTTCTTTTGCTCCCGCTTTTCACTTTTATCTTCTCAAAATTAACTCGATACGAACGTGGCGTATAAATAAATGTCACCTCTCGGTCTAATTATGCGATATGACGTAGGAAATTGTACCGCAGCGACGTGCAGCAAGAATGAGTCAAAGTCCAGGCAGACGCCCACAACCAGCCCAACTGAATCCCATCCTGTCCAATCCAATCAACTCCGACCAATGCTGCATGGGCATGTTCGCGAATCGAGGCGTGTCAGGCGCATCTCAGGCTCGGCCGAGGGCATATGTGTGTCTGAGCGGGAAAGGCCAACACACGAGGCTCAAATAAGTTCCCCGGGCCATAAAAGACTGGCCTATGCTTTGATTTTGCTATGCAGGGTCCTATCTTGTCTTTCCTCCTACTCTATTACCAGCAAATCCAAGCGAAATAAACTCGAGCATTTCAGATCTATCGATCATGAATTCCAGCCAAACTATCCCCACAACGGGGCCTTTGTCCAAGACGGACTCGGCCATGTTGGAGGTTCTAGTCCCCGGCTATGGCTTTATATCGCGCATGTTGGTATCTTACCTTAATTTTGATGTCAGCTCTTACCTGCAACTCCTGGTCAGCCTTGCTGTCTTTGGCGCAACTGCTCGATACTTTGTATTCGCCATTTGGGCGAACTTCAATGAGCTGTTTGTGTCAAGAGCCGAAATTCGCCTCGACGATGAGGCATTCCATTATCTGATGTTCTGGATCTCACGTCAGCCGCATATGAGAAATACAAATCGATTCGTCGCAGGCATCAAAACCAATAGTTACTGGAGCGAGAGTATAACAGATGAAGAGGAGCTCGACAGAGAAGAAGAAGCCGAGGGTGAGACTGTCGATGGCGAGAAGAACGATTCTTTCGATTCATACTGGGCCAGGGTCACCACCCGGGACAAGTACAAGAAGATGCAATTTACTCCCGCGGAAGGCTGCCACTACTTCTGGTACAAGAACCGACCGCTCATGCTCGAGCGCGAACACCGAGACGGGGGTTTGTGGTATGTAATGAACAACGAGCGGATATTCATATCGTGTCTCGGTCGGAATCCTGCGATCTTGAAGTCGCTGCTAGCGGAGGCACAACAGGCCTATGTTGAGCGCGACAGGAACCGCACGGTAATCTACCGCGGCTCGCGGATTTCCGCCGGCCAAGCCTTCAGCTGGCATCGGTGTATGGCCCGGTTAGCGCGTCCTCTTTCTACCGTTATTCTCGATCAAGAACAGAAGCATGACTTCCTTGATGATATCAAAGAATACCTGCACCCTCGCACGCGCCGCTGGTACAACAACCGTGGAATCCCATATCGGCGTGGATACCTTTTACACGGTCCCCCAGGGACTGGCAAGACGAGTCTGTGCTTTGCAGCGGCCGGACTGCTTGGATTGAAGCTCTACCTGTTGGATCTGAATTCCACGGCCTTGGAAGAGGAGAGTCTGTCGTTATTGTTCTCGGAACTACCACGCCGATGCATTATCCTACTTGAAGATATCGACTCAGCAGGCATTACAAAGGCTCGGGCCGCAAAATCTGCGCCTACATCTACTTCGGATAACCCCGTGGATCTTGTTATCAAGGAATCTGGCGTGGAAGCGGATGGCACAGCTGCCAAAGACGACACGAAGAAGAAGGGCGGAATCACGCTCTCCGGACTTCTGAACGTGATTGATGGTGTTGCCGCCAGTGAAGGCCGTATCCTCATTATGACTACAAACCACATCGACAGGCTGGACCCGGCTCTTCTCCGTCCCGGGCGTGTGGACATGAAGATCAGCTTCGGGTACACAAGCGAAGCAGATATCAAGGAGCTTTTTATCTCGATTTACGGGGCTATGAATAACGACATTGCCCATATCGCAGCGCCAAGAACCCACATCAATGGTATCAATGGGCTAGTCAAGTTGCCATCAACTCCTATTGTTGGTAACATCGCCAAGGTAGAGAGCGAGATTATCCAAAACTCCGACAAGAGTAATGGGGGAGTGAAAACGGCCAAAGAAAAAGATCCTCGATCTCGTATCACTGACTTGGCGTCTGAGTTTGCTGCTGTTGTTCCGAGTGGTGAGCTTACCGCTGCGGAGATCCAAGGATATCTTCTCAACCACAAGGAGACACCCGAGGTAGCGATTCAGGGTGCAGCGGAGTGGGTGCAAGAGGTACGGGATAAGAGGCGTGTCAGTGAAGTACAGCTAGAGGACGAGGCAAAGGAAGATGAAAAGTAAGAAGCTGAGGGAGAGGAAAAGGACGAATAAATCTGGGGTGCATGCAGGCGGGCCTAGGACGATACGACGATATAAAAAAATAATTTAATTCTACTACATTTGTGTACGTGCTTTTCATAATTGTGATTCTACAGTTCCTTGTGGCGAAGAGCAGTTGTTCTCTACTTATATGCGAAAAGTATTCAAGTTTGAAATCGCGAAACAGTATATCATTGCTGTCACCACATATCACATGCAAGCCCTCAAAACCCGGGGTATATATCAACCAAAGCCACAGTCCAGATGAAACCGGACCAACTGCAAAATGCAAACAAAATCTCTCAAGCAATCGACGCCGTCTTCCCATCAATAGTCACATCAGCGACATACATACACCTACTCGTCTTCTCCTCAGTACAGAACCCATGGAACAACATCCGATCCCCGCACCCACAAACATTCCCCCCACCAGGCGAAATAAGCCCCGTATTCGCAGCATTAATCATCGGAACATTGGTCTTAGTATAAGGACCCGTAATGCTCTGCGCCGTAGCATAGCGCACATCATACGCCGGGTCGGTAAAGCAATGAGTGGAATAAAACAAAAAGTACGTATTCCCATGGAGAATCAGATTCGGTGCCTCGACCAGCGGGCCATCACCATCAGCAGTACTGCGATCGAGGATCTGCACCGCGTCCCCGATAGGCGTGACACCGTCGGCGCCAACCTTCTGCAGCAGGATCGGCGTGGAAACAAGCGGTTCGACGCCGTTGTTGCAGTTTCCGCCGTGGCCGATGCTGTTGCCGTCGACTTTGAAAACGACGTAGCGACTGCCGTCTTTGTCTTTGAACCCTGCTGGGTCGATTGAGCCACCCTGATCCAGGCGGCAGGATAGGGGCGTGTTGCTTGGGACGTAGGGTCCTTCTGGGTGGTCTGCTACGGCTGTGCCGACGCAGTGGTGTCTGAGATCTGATTTTGCTTCACCGGAGTAATACATAACGTACTTTCCGTCGTCCTTGGAGATAGTTAATTTTTAGGGTTAATCTTTTTAGAAGCCGAGAAAACTTACTCGCATCACTACGTCAGGTGCCCAGTGATCGCTCTCAGTTTCCCATGTTGATATTGTGGGGAGGGCTTCGACATCGAGGAGTGTCCATGTTTGGAAGTCATTTGAAACGGCAACTTGGACCCGCTTGCCGTTACCGTTGGTGCCGAATGCATACCATTTGTTGTCGGCCGCCTTCATGAAGCTGGGATCCGGGAAGTTGGTGTTCAGGCCCAGCCAGGGGCCCTTGATTCGCTTTTCGAATAGAGGCGAGCTCAGGACAGCCGGAAGAAGGGATAGGGTTAGTAGACCCCATGTGGAAGTGGATTTCATGAAAGACCGCATATTGGACGAATTATCAGAAGATAGAGGTCTCGAAGATCCAAGTTGCTGATCATCAATCGGAGGAGGGGAGCTAAGTCCTTATATGTATATTTGACCGACATTGTCCGAATGTAGGGGAACAGAGTCGGCATTGGATTTAGGGTACCAAGACACCTGAAGTAAGGCCACATGCTGGGCGTCTGCTTGGCCCCGAGGGGCATATTAACTCCGAGCAGTGGGAAGGAGATTAAACAATGAAAGCCACAGCCGCAACGCCTGATATGGAGATCCATCAGGTGGCATCGGGACTCGGAGAAATGTAGTTTGGTCCATCCAATTATGTGCGAGGTTGTGCTGGCGTTTTTTTATATTTTATATTTTTGGAACCCTATTATTGGGCTACGTTATGGAATACTTGAAAGCTAAAAGGTGCGTTTGACGGGTTGCAAATGAAGGACTCGCTAGATCACTAGGGGACTTTGAAAGGGAAGGGTAACAAAAGAAGGGAAGATAAAGCACCTTGATACTTCAACAAGAACCTTGGAGATATCCTCAAATCCCTTGCCATAGAGGATGTTGGTTGGCGAGGGCACAAATGAGATTGGGTTTATTCGGCCGAGGGCCATTATTTGATTCGAGTCTAGAATTCTGATTCTGAGAAGGACCGGGTATCCCTAGATAACTGCAAGATGACTGGGTGAATGCCCTGCGACTTGACTCCACGTTGCTGGACTTGAGATGATTAAATTTGTCAGTATGACCGCATACAATTTCTAATTCTACCATTGAAGCCAGTCTAAGTTCAGCTGTGCTTTAGAGCCATGATACAACGTATAGATTAGGCCGGAAGATCTCCCACGGGGCGGGTGGCTAGGGGTGACTAGGGAATAGAATGTGCGGATCAAACCGCCAAGCTCGGCCAGATGCGGCAAGGAACTTCGGACTAGGGGTATATAATCGTCGATCAAGGGTCAAAGCTCCGACAGTAGTAACATGATGCAAGGGAGAGAAAATTCGATAGATTGTGGAAACAGAAAGCGACCCGAAGCCAAGAAATAATCCGGAAATATGCAGCCCAGATATGATATCTCCAACAATTTACCCCTAGCCAATGTCTGTTTCTCCACGATGATAGGCCCGGGAAATAGGGCCCAGGGTGAAGTTGGGTCACACGAGGCGCATGGCTTTCATGTGTTGGCACTCGTGGTCATCAGGGGCCAGACACATGGCGCTAGTCGTACACTACAGTCCATCTGTATGATCTCAGCTTCTAGTCTTCAGACACCAGAACTTAGAGCAGATAATAGTATAGAGAACAGTACTTTAGCATGCAGGACTTAACAAAAGAACATAGAAGCAACTATAACATTAGCGACGTGAAGTCCTTCGCAAAGGACGTCCGATCGTCCGATCGACCGATCTTTTACTACTTCAAGACTGCCCCATCGATATCGGATCGAAGAATAACCTTCCTCATTAGAAAAGTCCAACATCGAGCTTGTTCCATTGTCGATTACCCCGCATTATGGCGGCTGAGATGACAGTGAAGGCCTAACCAGTCGGTGAGGACTTTCCACTTAGGATATGATGTCACGGGGGCCTTGCGCCGACTACTTCCTATGATCGGCGTTGGAGTTGACAGGGATAATAACGGTGACAACACTGAGACCGGGTTTTCACGGAGATGTCAAAGCGAGCACGGTATGACTAGATAGGGAGATATGTCATTCTCTCTAGAGCCTTGCGCCAGTGCATGACAGTGTGTCGGGGGAGATAATAAACCGACAAGAAAGAATAGGGGAGAGGATGGATCGGTGTGCTCTTACCAAGTTGGGTCGAAGGAAGCCTACAGTTTGTGCATAAATCTCGGTCTTGGCGTCATAGATTTAATCAGCACAATTATGCACATAATTAGCATGTTTGCACTGTTCGTTATTGTAGTCCAAACCTCAACATCAGAATCATGGAAAATCATGGGGAATTTTGAATCAAGGGTAGAAAGTATTCATATGCTCTTGTGCCTTGGAAAAACTCCATTTGTTGTTCAGGTTCTATATTCACTGCAATCATTCTCATCAAGGTAGCGGATAAGACCGCTGAATCCGTATAAAGCGCTCCATAACGCCTGAATTTAACATTATGTGTAAAAAAGATAATTGTATATTCATCTCGAATATTTTTGAAACCGTCAAGTGCAAATGCAAATTTGTAACATGCACCCACCATCATCCGCCCTCACTAGGAGCTAGTGGGCAAATCGGAAGTCCAACTTTTTGTTGCCCTCATCTTTCGTTGTTCTCAAGTAATGCTGTTTCTGATCTGGACTCATAGCATTCCAAAGCTGCTCACGTTTTTTGTTCCTCCGCATATAGTAGAGCTTAATGAAGATGGTGACCAAAACGTTCCATCCGACAAGAGCCAGAAGGATCTTGTTTCCCTTTCGGTAGTAGGGTTTATCATCCGTTCGGTAGATCTGAAAAAGAAGATATGTTAGGCATAAAACCAACCAACGATATAAAAGGATATCCCGGGGTATCACAAAACATACGTTTGAAGAAATGATAGAGCCTGTTTGACAAAGCATGTTATATACTGCACTACCCACAGTGCGAGTGCGCACAGAACCGGCGTTCCGCGAGATCAAGCTGACTATAAGAAGAACGGGGTCAGAGGATTCGGAATTTGAGATGTTGTGAGAAGATATTAGTACTAACCATTGATAGAATGGACATATGGAGAACCAATGACCAGAACTGTAACTGCGTACCAACTCCAAGGACTTGCAGTCACCGGCATCAGCTCTAGTGCCATCAGAAGAGGGAAAACCCAAAAGGAATAAAATAGTAAAATGACCATGCGGTTGTTGATCTTTTCAGACACCCAAGACCAAAAGATGAGTTGGATCAGGAATAACACGGTCGCAGGAATGGTCAGGAGATTGACCTTGAATGTATCAAAGCCAAGTGACCTTAAAAATAGGGTCACATATGCTGATTCAGGATTAATAGGAACCAGCAGCGTGAGACTGATCAAATACATTGGCCAAAGATCGTAGTCCATGAGAGCGTCCCGCAAAAGTTTCAGTGTCAGACCTTGACGATTATGCATGCCACCCTGTTATAATCACAGTCAGTATGTGTATGGATGAACTTCGAAAAGAAATCCCTTTATACGTACCTTTGCCGGATCATCTCGTAGGACTCGATTGACCATGATAACTTCCTCCCTCTCTGAGAACCAACCATCTTTCCCTCGAAACCAGCTTGCTGTTTGCGTCGGACTTGGAGGTAGATAAAACCAGGAGATGACACCAATAGTGAAGGTAACAGCACCCTCGAGCACAAACAGCCACCTCCAGCCTTCCCAGCCGCCGATGGATCGCATGTGCAGAATTCCAAATGCCAAAAACGCCGCGACGATAGCAGTACCGCTGGAACAACAGTAAAAGAAGGCGATTCGCATGGGTAGCTCATTATTTGTATAGAAGTAGGATAGGTAAAGAAGTGCGTCAGGAATAAAGCCACCTTCTATCAGACCGAGAAGTGCTCGAGTAGCATAGAAGCTGTGCTCGCCGCTGACTAGGCCCTGGCAAATCCCCACTACACTCCAAAGAACCATCTGAATGGGAATCCATACGTCGGGGCCAAGCTTTTTGGAGATCATTTGAGACGGCACCTCTGCGCACAGGAAGCAAAGATAGAATATGGTCATGCCGTAGTTGTACTGGTTAGTTGATAGCCCGAGGTCATCAAGCATTCCGTCGGATAATGCTTGTCCGATATTACCACGATCCAGCTGAAGTGCGAAGAACATCAGACAGACCCAAGAACAGATTCTGTAGTCGAGCTGTCATGTCAAATGTTAGTCGGTGGTCCATAGTATAGGAATCCTAGGAAAGGTCTTCATTACCCTTCTAACGAGCAGCTGCTCTTCCTTCTCCGTCCATTCGGCAAGTGGATCATATCGATGTTTTCCTTCGTACTCCGCGATGGGTTCATAGAACTCGACTGAACCACCCGCAGCCAAAACTCCACTTTTTACAGCATTCTTTGTGGTCGGAACCGGCGTCTGTTGGACTATCGGCTGCTTTGAATCAAGCGATGATAAGCTTTTGCTTGACATTATCAATTTTGAGTCTGGTTGACAACTTCCACAATATGGATTTGAGTCTTTCCTTACAAGATATATATTGTCACTCGTGCCCTACACCTAAGATTGCGCAATGCTCGTAGCGAATGTCAATCCGACGCTATCTGGCATTGTGCAGTAGTGCCGCGGGGAAAATCCGAAGGAATTGTATGTTTATAAGGTGACATTTGCGCCTGTGATGATGAATCAAATGCTTAGTATGTGCAGGATCAGCATGGCAAGGGCAAATCCGGTTAGATGGAGGGGTTCACGAAAGATAGTGCTAATGCAAATAGATCGCTTAGGAAGACCGACAAGACTGCGTAACATGGTTCAGACCAAATAGGACTTAGCTAGGGCCGGTCCTTGATTGAACGACATGTTGCCATTCAATGCGGGATCGCGTCACCAAGTGAGTAAAATAATGACTTTACCCCCTCTACTGAACACATAGTTCGCATATAAACTTGGACGATAGTATAGTATCGAGTAAATATAAGGTGTTGTTAGATTTACCCCCCTGCCTCAAATTTCAGTACGGAGTACGACCTTCCAGATTGGGTGCGACCATGGATTTTGCCATATATTCTGGCCGTAAAAAACATTCCTTTTTTGATCAGAGAAATTAGTACATTCTACTTGATCCCTATAGGATTTAACCCCTTGACGATGAAGCAGTTCTTGATGAAGCAGTTGATATGACAAAAGTGACCTGATTTTGTTAGTGGCTTACATATAAATTGCAGGTAACTATCTAGAGCGGCATAAAATCTCAAACGGTGTGGAGGGCGGTATGGCGGAATAAGTTTTCGGGTAGGTGCCGGCCTAATTAGGAAGGAGGGTACATACATCAACACCTCAAATATATTCAGCATTCAGTATCTCAAATTATCCGTTACTTCCTCAGAGAATGCTAGGTGGGAATTTACCACATAATAAGAGAGAATCAAAATTGTTGTGGTGGCCACGTACCGATCACATGCCGATGCCTGGCTTCACCTAGCTATTTAGCTAGATCTCGATCATTGTAGAATCTAACCTTCTTCATCTATCTCTCACCTCCAAAAGAACATATATATCTGGTATGGTATATTTCTTTCTTTGTATAATTCTTAGACACGATGCTGTCTCCAGATTACCGAAGAGGAGGCCCTTGCAGCTACTTCTATAATGGATTTAGCGGGGAAGATTTCACTTTCTGCTTCCGATTTATTGCCGAGTTCCTGGACATTGAAAGGACAGACCCAGCCGGAAAGTTTTACCTTCGAAGTAAGTCACTTACTCCTGAACTTTTATAGGCTAACTTGTTCTAGATCTTTGGGTGAATCTTGCCACAAAGGTCAAGCTTTGGTTTGACAGCGTTACTGCTAAGAGCAAGCATTCTGCTATTGCCCATGGAAAGTGGTAGATCGTGCTACGATATTTGCAGGAGATCACAAAGAATGAATCTGTCTCGGGTGCGACACGCGAGCTCTTTGCGGAGCTGCCACCTCGAGTCGCCGGCGTAAAGTGTAAAGCCGAGCCAGCTGCTCCTCCCTTGAGGATCTTCTTCCGAGGTACCCCAATCCACGAAGGAGCCGACTCGTGAAGGCTTATCATTAACTTCTCAATATATCGAGTATTCTACAAATTAATTTCAGTTCCTGGGTCTTTCTTGTCGTAGTAATATTACTATTCATATACATATGAGTTAGCCGCCTATCTACCAGATATTGAGACTGATAATCTAGGAAATGTTATTTCAAATCAAATGCGGCTGGTAGGTCAATCTGACGTCTATCTAAAGGGTTGTGAAGGGTCGGTAGTGACCAGGACTAAGCTTCAACACGTCGTGCTAGAGTAAGACGCGGAAAGACTTGTCTAGGTTTGCATCTAGTTGCAAAAAATCCACAAGACGTCCCAAATGATCAATTCCCCAGAAGCTTTCCTTTGACCCCTGTGCATCTATGCAATCAAACCAAGGCAAACCAAAGCCGCCGGAGTTGACGACCTGTTGTGTGTTTTCATCCAAAATGTCTTTTGTCTCGGTACTTTTGAACTGTTGAACAATATTAGAGAAGAAATACGAGTCATTTGAGCCAGAAAAAAACGCACCTCATCCATGATCCGCTTAGCGTTTTCGGGCCCAAGTTCACTTTCAAAGATAGGAGAGAAACCGGGCTGAGTGAGGACATTCGCGTCACCCTCTTCCCAGAAGCCACGATAGATCTTATCCATGATGGGGATAATCTTATCGGGGCATTGTTTAGCCACAAGGCATAGAGCAAGCTGGACCTCCGAAGTGGACGCTGGAAATGCTTCTGGGAGCGCTTCGGACATGGGAACATGGAAGCGACGAGCCCAGTAAATGCGTTCTTGATTCAACCATTGGGCCTTGTCTACAATGGGAGATTAGCATATAAATATAGAATCCGTAGTACATAGCGTTAGAGATAGAAGAAAGAAGAGAAACCTACTCTTGACAGCCAAAGGGGGCGTGTTCTTGCACAACTGGAACAGTCCTCGCACGGAGACGGGAACATATTCAATGTCACATTTTGCAAAGACAGGGGACGTCTATCGACAATCATTAGCTTTCTCATTCATTAAGTCCTTCGAGATGTTCGACTGACTTTCAAAGCATGGAACGCAATCCAGGCAAAGGGACTGCCAATGTCGAAATATAAGGTTATTTTAGGAGCAGCCATAATCGGAATAGGACTGTATTATGATAGACCGTGAAGATAATACACCTAGATCAGGATTGAGACTTTGCTCTTTATATCGACGACATTATTTTATGATTATTCATATTAGGGGATAGGTTGAGTTATACTCTCCCAACGGATTTTAAGCTCATTAGGTTCGGGTGGATTTCTTAGTGGAGCCCAGACTCAACCTTCAACATTTTGAGGGTTGATCTTTTTGAAAAGGGGTATTTTGGATACTGGGACACAATAAGATTGAGTTCCACGGACTAGGATGCCTTGTAGAGAATAATTACAGGTACTAGAGGACATCGTCATACCAATTAATTCAACTATGTACTACCACTCGGCATTATAAAGCATGTCACATATTGAGAACATACCATCACTTACTATTCTCCGCGGTTTGATATTTACTCAAAGCCCTCAATCTCTTTCCACCCTTGAAAAAAACCCACGGAACAGGCAAAAGTGCCACTGAAATAAACCCAAGCACGCTAGAGGCCCACCCTGTACCGAGCCTGGTGTACACTATAAGACATGTAAGAACATACTTTTCATTATCATCATCAAATGAAGACACTCACTCTGGACGGTAAACAGAGGGAACGCAGCTGCAAGTCCATAACGGGCCAACCCATTGGCGCTCATGGCACTTGCGATAGTGAGGCCATGATAAGTATCAACCAGGTACTGTGTTGTGCTCACAAAGACACATAGATTACCCCATCCAAAAACCACGATTGCAACGACGGGACTTGCCCAGGAGATATCGGCTCTGGCAGTCCACGCAAACCAGAACAATCCGATCGGCAGTCCAACACTACCTATTAGTGCTGGATAGAGGCGATATTCAGGTGGTGTTTGCCCCTCCGGATGATTTGCGACTTTCGGAAGGTAAAGAAAGACGTTGCAGAGTATGACTGTCACAGTTCCGAGTAGACATCCGACGACAATAGCCAAGAAGACAAGGCCGGAGGACTCGATATTGAAATGATAGGTACCTTGGAAGATCAATGGAAAGGCTGCGAAGAACGAGAAGAGTGTCGCAAATTCACAAGCAACGTAAAGGCAAATAAAGCCAACGATGGGTTCGGTCAGGAGCATATGGATAGGGCGGAGGAGAGAAATGGTTACAAATAGGCGTAGCTTGGACGAGAGAGGTGCTGATGGGGGGGCTTCTAATCCTAGTTCCCGGGCACGACGACGCTTGATGATAGGATGAAAAGTCTCTTTCGCAATTGTAATTGTGATACCGGTCATGATCGCGAAGAAGATCGTTGTCCACTGTGTCCAACGCCAGCCTTTCCGATTGACGACGAAACTTCCAATAACCGGCCTAAGAAATAGTCAGCGAGACGGAGAACTTGGCAAATAGGATAATTCGGAAAATATTGACCCCAGACCAGGACCCAGAAAAGGCGTGAGAATAAAGATAGCCGAGGGAAGAGCGCGGTGGACTGGTTTGAACGTCTCATTGATAGTTCCGGCCGCAATCGCCAGAGTTGGTGCATAGCAGAAACCAGCCAAGAAACGTAAAACACAAAGCCCAGAAAACGTGGGACAAAACCCAACACCTAGAGTAAACAAAGTTCCCAGAGTTATCGCTCCGACGTAGATTGGGTATCTCCCGACAGTTTCAGAAAGAGGTCCTCCAACGATAGGACCAAGGGCTAGAGCAAAAACGTAGAGTGACATGGGTAATATAGCGACGGTGCTGCTGACGCCAAATTCCTCCATGAACTGCGAGTGAGCCGGTGAGATAATAGATACTCCAACACTCCTTAATAACATGTCAGATTTGAAGTCACCTTCACATTGCGCGGAAGGAATAACCAACGTTGTAAAAGCCGCCCATGCAATCATCATCACTTGCAGAACTTTCTGAATTGTTGGCCAATTGTAAGGATTGCTCGGATCATTATCCCAATCCCATGTTTCACTGCTTTTAGGCTTTTCTGCAGTATTGACGAATGCCAGGTCGAGCGTATCGTCGGATGATGACTGTAAAACATCAATGGTACCGTGTGTAGCAGCCTCCAGGCCGTCATCAAGTTGCACCATTTTGACAATATCCTTGGAAGGTAAACAGATAAGAAGCAGAGAGGTACATATCGTTACGACGCTCTCTTATGAGGAAGGATCGAATGCAACGATAGGGTAATCGTTAATTGGCGAGTATTCCGAGGTAGATTACTTCTCAATAATCCTTCTTAAAACCTATGCCGAGGTTTCTATCGTCCTAAAGCAGTATTTGAAGCCCATTCGAGGCGGCTAAAGCGAGGGCCGCCTGGGAATATCAGAAATTGGCCTGCCGAGGAATATTTTGATTATTCAACATTGATTACTCAACATCGATTATTCAACATTAATTATTCAATATGACTCTGCATTTGTGAGACCAATAGACGGAGATTGGGTAAAATGTTGATTGGTGTTGAGATTTATATCTGGCTTGTTGAGGAAGCGTTCATTGTGGTTGAGTATAGAGAGATTTGAAGATTCGTGGCAATAACTAAGGAATAACCTAGCGTATTAGTGATATTTTGCTCTCGCATCCTGCGCGTGTAGCATCAAATAAACTTGTCCCATTCCTTTAAAAGGAGCATCGAGCTTGGGAATACCCTTCCAATCAGCTAAAGACAAAAAGGAGTCGATATCTTGCTCATCATCACCGAGTAGTGCCATTCAGCTGTGGGTTTTCACCTCCCCCGGAAGTACCATTATCACCTCCATTCTGCTCTCAATCCGGACTGTAACTCGACATTACCGGTAGGGTGAGATATTCACAAAAATCACAGAACCGGAGTCATACACGCGGAGAGGTGATCACCAAGGAGTGGTGCAACACCGCAAGACAGCGAAGAAAGGTTCCACCGGTGATTTCCGGAAGTTGACCATCATGATTTAATATGCTGGTGTTATTAAGATGATAAAAAACGGACCGGATTGGGATTGATATCGGTAGAGGACAGTTGAAGGCCATTTCCCGGGCCAAAGAGATAAGATCTTCGGCCTGGTTATTCAGGCTGGGATCCTTCCCAAAACGGTCGCCAAGTCCGGATTACATAATAAGGAAGTGGAGTCGACGTTAATCACTGTGGGGCCCGAGAATCCTTCCGCCTCTGCCTTGGAACCTTCGATCAAGTGGCCTGACTTGTTTCCCCTTTATCAGGATATGTCGTCATAGAATCTTGACACAGAATCTTGAGGTAGATGTTGACTCTACACCTCGTAGGGCTATGAGTTCAAAATAATTCGTCTCACCCTATCTTTCCGAAAGCCTTTCGGCCTTTTAAACTCTGCCGACCCACTTACAATCCCCTCCGGGCTTCGGGACTTGATACCTGTTTTTGACCGGGACTCGTTGCTTCGGAGGTCGAAAGGCTCATCACAGACTTCTTACATCTATAGTCTGACATTCATATCATCGCCCTCATCTGGTATAAAGCTATCGCTCCACCGGGTTACATGCAGTTCTATCCCAGAGCGCGAGAGCAGCGGCCTAGCATCCACCACCCATCTGTTCGGCCGCGTCGATTCGGCTTGCTAAAGGCATCTGCTATCAATCTGCTTCTGCTCCAAATTCTATTCCTCGGTCTATTCTGTTACCTATTCGGATCCCTTTTCCAGCAGTCTTCACACATTCATAACATTAATGTTTTGTTTGTAGACTACGACGGTGGTGCGATAAGCGACGCGGCCCGCGCTGCGTTTCAAAGCCTCAAAGGACCCAGCTTTCCAACCCTTGTTGAGCGATCTGCCTCAGCGTACCCCCAGCCCGGCTCGATTGAAGGTGCAGTCTGTGACATCAAATACTGGGGAGCATTATACACGACAGCAAATGCGTCCAACGCATTAAGTGCCGCACTCGCAGGTGGAGCAGCTGCATCTTCGTATGATAAGAACAATGTTCTCACCATGGTGTGGAATGAAGCGCGCTACCCAACGGTGATTGACACCGTCCTTGCAGATAGCATGAAAGTATTATCGGAAACTGCACGTTTGGCGTACTCGCAAACCAACGGGAAACAGTCTCTGCAGAGTGTCAACAGCTCCGATCCTGCTGCGATTGCAGCGTTCTACGATCCTTGGACATTGGCCGACAACAATATTCAACCCACAGAACAAGGGTCAAGGGTTGTCTACAACACCCTAGTTATCATCTTGATCGTAATCCAAGAGTTCTTCTTTCTTGGTACTATCAATGGTTTATACGTTCAATTCAAACTCTACACCTCGCTGTCAGCCCATCGCATCGCTATTGCGCGCCTAGTCATCTCTTCAATTTACACACTTGTCGGGTCCATATGTACCGCCGGTGCAATCTGGGCATTCAAAAGTGGCTGGAGTGTTAATGGAAACCAGTTCGCACTCAATTGGCTGGCATTATGGCTTTTTGCACATGTGAATTTCCTCGTGCTAGACACTTTCACCATCTGGCTTCCGCCTCCCTACGTGCCGATGGCGCTGATATCGTGGGTTGTCTCGAATGTCACTTCCATTCTTCTCCCATTTGAGCTGGCACCTGCTTTCTACAAACTGGGCTTTGCCCTGCCAGCACATTCCGTCTTCCAGGTACTCATCGACATATGGTCTTCTGGCTGCAACCCCCAACTCTATTTCGCGCTGCCTATTCTCTTCGTTTACGAGATTCTTGGCATCACGTCCAGCTCAATCGGTGTTTATAGAAGGGCGCATTACGCGTGCATTGAACAGGAAATCGAAGAAAAGGCTTGCAAGGAGCGGGTGACGGCTGCAATCCTTGAGAAGGAAGAGGCTCAACGGGTCAGACGGCAAGCGTCACGTCATGCCGAAAGAAGCGGAACATCGGACAGCGAGGATGAACGAAGGGCTGCTTTGGAAAGACGAGACACAGTGACGTCGCCCAGTGAACAAGAGGAGTTGACCAACATTATTCACCGTGAGATGACTCGGCCGGATATTGATAGAACATCTAGCAGGAAAGATAGTACCGGCCCATCTTTTCCCTTGGCTTACAGAGATTAAAAAACACCAATGCGTTGCTCTGAATGATAAAAAACGATCTCACCACTCTATACTATCTAGAAACTATGTAATTTAGGATTTGTATGATATTCTTCATATTTCCAGCCCACAATACAAAGTGTCCTCTACTTCATCTAGAACAAACATCGATTCAAGTAAGAACTGTTATAGAGAAGACCATTCGCGCGACCTAACAAATCTACAATCACTTACCCGCCGCCTTCTTCCCCTTGTATGGCTCCTCAGCAAAATCAGCTATCGGAGTAGCCCAGCTCGGACCAAGCAGCAGGCGCGCAATATGGTCATCATGGCTGGGATCCATCTCAGCTTCATCTTCACGAGCGCTTCCAAACACCTCAGGCATCTTATATGGCTCTTCCGGAAGGTCAACTACCTCTTTAGCCCATTTCGAACCAAGAAGCAATCGTGCAATATAGTTATCATCGCTGGGATCCAACTCACTTTGCTCGTCGGTCTCATCCTCGCTATTAAAAACAACGATAGAGCGAGTAAACGTGGACGATTCAAGGATCATTTGGGCGAGCGCATTTGCAACTATAAGATTACTATTTATATCACTCTTGAGCAAAGCGATTTGGCGTGGCATTTCTCTCTGAAGGGTGTCACAAAGCCGGGTGAAACGAGCGTCCTTCCCGACCTGTACACAGATGCGTGCCAGACGAGAAATTGCGTTCAACCGTTCAATTACCAGCATGCGATTCTCTGGCTTGGAGCGCAGATCGTGAATTCCTCGCCGGAGAGCAGTGAGCATACGCTCGTGCTGTTCACTATCGTTTAGTGGCGGCATTGTCTGTAGAGCCCGGAAATGTCTGTATATCTAATGGTTAGTACCTAGAGATGGTCGATGAATTCCAGGCTCCGAGCACTGATCAAGAGGTCCGCCCTGATGGAGTCCCGATGATGTGGACATCGGGGCTATTTAATTGTTTTTGGTTCCTATTAGTTCAGAATTAAATCCTCCGAAAACAAAGACCATTATTGCAGATAAAGAAAGAAATGAATGACACAAGGCTATTTTTAATGTCTTCTGTTATGTCAGAAATATTATTCGAATTGAGTTCAAGCAACTACGATAGTCCTCAATATATAATGCTGCGACTAGCGTTGAGTGTTGATTTGAAGATATTTGATCCGGTGTTCCCAAGTGGATTCCCACAGTAAAGTAGAAGTATGTTCCTTATTCTTCATACGGAAGTCTTCCCTCAATGCCTAGGGACAAAACGCACGACATGACATATTTTTGATACATACGTACAGGCCTTCCAATTGGCTCGTGGTGGACAAATGGGGTCAACGGAAAGTTTGGGATAAACTGTACGCCGGTGGAGTGGGAAACATGACCTAGCAGATGAAATAGTGTAATGTTTTATTGACAAGTTGCCACAGTAAGGCCACGAGACAAAACATATCGAAGTCTGGGCTGGAATCCTCAGATCGAAGGAACATGCACTTGAGGGTTGATCAATTTTAAAAGGTAAAAAGATCCAAGATGTTCTCTCTCAGTCATAGAGCTTGATCTGCCCACAAAGAACGACATCTTCCCCAAATGGGTACCATTTGACATTCTTCAATCTCGCTGCGGAGATCGCATTTCCATCCTCGTCAAAGCGCCTATCAGGGGAGACGACCACGCCACCTTCACCCAACCACGTGGGAGCAATAGTAACAATGACGCTGTCCAGCAAAGACATGTAAAGCGGGCACAAAAGGGATTTGATGACCTGGCCACCACCCTCTACCATCACGCTGTTGAGACCGTTCGATTTCAAGGTGACGAGCAAATCTGGCCAGTCAACCTGATGTCGGCCGGTGTGGGTTCTAAGCATTTTGACTGGGATAAATCTTCCGCCGTATTTTTCCAGTAATGCTTGTTTCTTGGCGTTTGGTTTCTCAACTGCGGTGATGATCCATGGTGCAAGGCCACGCCCCTCTCTGCAAAGTTGGAACAGCTTGCTGTCGTCTGAAAAGTCCCATCGGGCTGTCGGATCAATCACAACTGGTCTAGGCTGGCCATCTAGGCCGGGCTTGCCATAACCCCCAACTCCTGTGATTCGACAGTTGAGACCGGGATCGTCTGCCACTGCTGTACCAACGCCAATGATAATTCCGTCATGGCGAGATCGCAGATAATGAGTCATTGCCTTGGATTGGGGTCCAGAAAGAACTGTACGTGCACCAGGGGACAGAGCTAGAGAAGCGTCAAGCGAGGTCGCGAATGTGAGTGTTGTGAAGGGGAGATCAGACTCAGGTGCCGAGCCATCCCGAGGAGGTAGATGAGGCTCTAAGAAGCCCCTATCTGAATCTGGAAACTCCAGTGCATCTCTAGGTGCTGAGGTCATCTTGATCGTTGTGGGTTTTGTATGGTTCACTCAATAATTGTTGTTGGAGATACGAAAGATCGATCTGAAGGTCGGCCTCGGCGGTGGGATCAAGTTTATATTGATGCCTCAGGCGTAGAGGGCACGGACCATGCCCAACAACACCGCGCGTCCGCCGATCCTTTCTTGCAAGAGCGAGGGCTTTACGCAACACCCTTGAAATCCACAATTCTCCGGTCCTACGGAGAAGGTCCTGGTATTTTAGTTACATTCGCTTCATTCCAGGGCGATTTTGATGCTGTTCGCTGTAATCTGCTATCTGCACTAAACTCCTTCGGGTGGAGAAAGAAAAATATTGGGAGTTCAGTTGCTTCGTCTAAGCATGGCGTGGAATTTCCCACATGACTCCCTCATTCCGGTGGACACGAGACGTCGGACAGTCTAAACTAGGCCATAATAATATCTGGAGATCGGATCTACGGTTTTTTTCGAAGAGTAACATTCTGAGGAACTGAAGCCAAGAGATAATGGCTCCATTCGTAACATTCCTTGTAGCAGCCTATTGTGTAGCATATATACATAGTCTTTTCTATAGGCATAAACCACAGCTAAGAATTAAACTCAGGTAGAATCAATAAATGAATCAATTGAAAGTCTCCTTTGGATGGGTACACACTGTACCCTCTCCCCGACGAGAAGTTGCCTTCAGAGACACTCCTTCGGAGACTGTTATCGTTCAAGTCCGTTTCTTTTCATTCCTCTTCTTAAAGGTCGAAGCATTGTAGATGGTTGAATGTGGATTGTTGATTGAAGTGGTTGTTGGGATACAGGATCCTGAAGTAGCTGATTGAAATCATTCGAGATGTTTTCTTTTGGTTTTCTTTTCTTTTCTCTTTTCCTTTCGTCTTTGCTGTTGTTGCAAGCCTGCAAATGGTCCTGAAGCCGAAACCCATCACAGTAAGGCTGAATGTGAATGATAGAAGTGGTTGACTGAAGTTTGAATGCGGATGCTTTGAATGTAGGATCTTGAAGTGGTTGATAGAAGTTGCTGCTTGAATTGGGCTGATTGAATGTGGTTGATTGAAATAGATGCTTGAAGTGGATGTTTGAATATGGTTGAAGTGGAATTTGGATAGTTGATTGAAGTGGAGCTTGGATATGGTTCATTGAAGGATTGAACGTGGTTGATTGAAATTGGTTGTTTGAAGTAGTTGATTGAAGTAGATGCTTGAAGTAGATGTTTGAACGTGGTCGATTGAATGTGGTTGATTGAATGTGGTTGATTGAATGTGGTTGATTGAATGTGGTTGCTTGAAGTAGATGTTTGAACGTGGTCGATTGAATGTGGTTGATTGAAGTAAATGGTTGAAGTGGAATTTGGAAATCGACACTTGAATGTGAATGTTTGCTTGTCGAGGCGACCATACTTTCACCACCACAGCAAACGGTCTTGAGAGTCTCCTTTAATTGGGTACACGCTGTAACCTCTTCCCGACGAGAAGTCTCCTTCAGAGACACTCCTGCGGAGACTCTGTCGTTCAAGACCGTTTCTTTTCATTCCTCCTCTTAAAGGTCGAAGCATTGTAGTAGTCGGATATGGATGGTTGATTGATGGTTGATTGATGGTTGATTGATGGTTGATTGATGGTTGATTGATGGTTGATTGATGGTTGATTGATGGTTGATTGATGGTTGATTGATGGTTGATTGAAGTGGATGCATGAAGTGGATGAGTGGATGTGAGCACACATATCTAGTACAGTCAGCCCCATGTCATCAGGTATTATAGACCACGATGATGGATGATGAAGAGTAGGTGATAACACAGATGAGAAACAAACCTCATAAAGTGGAAGATGGACGATAGATGGTGGATGATGGATGATGGAAGAAGGTAGAAGGTAGAAGATAGAAGGACAATGTGGTTGGGTTGGCTGAAGGATGAAAGTAAGAACAGACAAGTCATGTGATGGATGATGAACACGATGTGGGATGTGGGATGTGGTTGGGTTCATCCAATATGATGAAGAGAGAGAAGAAGTAAGTACAGAAGTGGGAATCGGCCTGTTTATATAGCTGGTTTTATTGCAAACGATGCAAAACTCGAACGTCTCGCTTAGCTCGAGTGCAAACAACCCTGGAAAGGAAAGAACAAATAAATGAACAAAGGAAGGAAGCAAATAGCAAACTGGAAGTGACCTGGAAGGTACCAACGATCTATGGAGTCGTTTCTTACAAAATCCATACAGCTCCATAGCACTCATTAGGCAAACGGTACTGGACTGACTTGGTGTCATTTAAGGGAAATATGGAGATTATCCCTATGTTCAAGAACATATCCATGGTAACCTCGATGTCTATTGCCGCTAGACTATTAAAAGTGACTATGCTGATCAGACAGTGGCAAGGTTTCAAGCGGATTTTTAATGCCGTCTCATTCAATATCAAGCATCACAGCCCAGTGGAACAAAGAGGGCCGTAATTTGCTCCATCAAGATATCGCTGAGCCCAAGATGAGCTACCCACACAGGTCTGGCAGTAGAATAGACTCGTCGGATCGTACTTTTTCTTGATTCGCGCTAACAACACGTAGTTTGTACCATAGAAATCCGTCGCCCATAGGGGATCATTGCGATCAGCCTTTCTTACAGTCAGTAAAGTTGTTAATTCGCCGCAAAAGAAGAATATTCATGCCTCGTTCATGTAGCTTCCAAGGAATGGATCGAGCGCTCTCATAGCAGCTCCCTTGATATGAGTGATATCATGTTCGACAGTTTGAGCAGATGAGTAATTCACCCAAGATCTAGCCACGACGCTGACAATATAGGTAGATCGCCAGGCAGGATTCACACTGGAGTACTTGTCAGATGCTCCAGTGAGAACCTTTCCACCCCCGACGAGCTCAACATTAGCCAATGCACACTCTTCAGAATTTCCCGCAGTGACACCAATCATGTTGCGAAGTGAAGGGCGACTAGTCGTCAAGGCAGCTTTGCTAAACATCTGTGATGTCATAGCCGAGTTGGGAGACCCAGCCCTCACTGGCTGGGATATACCAGAGAGGGAGTGGAAGTATGCCCCATACGTTGGGAACTCATACCATATAACTGATATACGAAGGAGTGTACCGTTATACTTCTGCAATGTCTGGAAAAGTGTATCGAAAACTTCCAAAGACTGGACAAGGGACTTGTTCATGGCCGCAACAACATGCATATAGCCAGGTGTTTGGTTCATCATAGGGCTGTTAATAGACCAGGATCCATAGCCGGAGAATCCTGCATCCATGATATTGGGATATTGCTGGTAGATATCGGTAATCGCGTCTAAGAGTGAGTCCGTGTCGTTGGCGAGTGGAGTGATTTCGAGCGACTGTGCGACAACAGGCTTGCTGGGATATACTTTGACAGCCATCGACGTGACGACGCCGTAAGTACCACCACCTCCACCTCGAATAGCGTAGTACAGATCCGAAAACTGACAAGGATTCGCTGTGACGATATCGCCATTTGCCAATACAACTTGGGCCTCTAGTACTTGGTCTGCGGCAAGCCCGTAGTCATGACTGGCTGGCGAGTGTCCTCCACCCTGTGTGTAACCTCCAATGCAACCAACGGTCTTTGGAACAAAATCAGAACTTTGCTTTTTGTTGGGGGAAGAATTTCACCAACCGGGTCTCCCCCGCCAACAACCGTGAGATTGCGCTGAAAGGCAACTTTGTATACATCTCGCCAAACATAGCCTCCGCCAATAATGATTGCAGAGCCAGCCCAATTGCTTCTCCTACATCCATTCGATGGAGTATACCTTTGTTGGAAAGATATTCCCTTTCGAATGTACTTGATCCAAATCTGTAGTCCTCCATAGCCTTCAGATCTACAACGAAGTGATTAGTCAGAATAGTACCTTTGTTGAATCATCGTGTGTTACTAACTTCCCCAACATATCGTGCCCTGTATTCCTAATGACGAGGCGAACATGATTCTCCTGTGCGAATTTGATACCAGCTACTACCTCCTCAGGCTCTGTTGCATTGATGGTATACACTGGAGCTGGACCAAGCGTACATGTGCGAGGTGATTGATGGCGCATGTCAATCGGAGGGCAAGCATCTTCTGTAGGACCAAAGTAACCGACGGGGGAAAGTTGTTGGAAAGTGGAATTCGACCATTGCGAATACACATACGCGCATTCATCCTCGTCTTCGTAGGTGCCGGGGTAACATGAGATAGCGACTGGGAGATTGCGGACCAGCTTTCCAGATACTGTTGTATTGAGGGATTCCCATATTCTCAATGAGGGCCAACATGGATCTCCTGGGGTCTAGATAGTGAGTTAATCTAAGTCGATGTTTTTCGTGTTGTTTTTCGCTTACGCATTTGCATGAAGCCTGAAAGGCCGCATACGTTAAACCAGCGAATTGCAACAACGAGATTAGCTTTGGTACCATCGCTAGACTTGCTAAAAAAGTAGACTTGGATGTTGGACTTAGGAAGGTATCTACGGTAGACATGATCTCTTTCTAACCATACAGGAACATTTTCCTGGGGTGTCATGTGGAAGGCTACCCGGTAACCTGCATGACAAACGCGAGTTTCCCTGCGTCGAGTCATCTTAGGTGTACTTTTTGTGATTATCAAAAAAGCTGGACAATCACAACAACTTTCAGATCACGGATATAGGTCTCAATTGTCGGCGGCTAACTTAAAGGGCTCGAGGAACGGCCTATCAGGTATAACACCTATTCTAGGATTCCTAAAAAGTCTAATAGCGAAAAAAAAAAAAACGCTGCAGAGTCACTCTGTTTGTGGAGTCTCTTTTCTAATGGACAAAACGAAAATTTCGAATACAACGACAGGGGTTGAGAGGTCGCTCAATTTAAATCCGGGCTGCATATCTCAGCGCTTTGGATGTCGCCGCCCTGGGCCACTGATGACCCAATAAACAAGCAATCACCTTCATTCACAGGCAAAATCTCGATTCATCCAAAAGTGAGGGTTATAAATAGTTTCTCGGGGTATTCGGGGTGTCCTACTAACATCATGGGTGCAGTTATACGGAGGATTACCATGCAGACTCGACATAATTCGTTTCATCTAATCTGTGTTACCCTCGTTTTACCCCCTCTTTGGGTCGATTTCACCATTGGCAGGGTTCCCTGGTCTTTTCTTTTGCGCAACGGTAAATTACAAACCAAGTAATTGTAGCCTATCACAGTCCTTCCCAGCTAGCTTGTGCACAAACAAATGAGTGGAAAGATTACCTTATGAGCTTACCCCCTCATGACCTATTCGCCATGAATCGAATTTGAGCGTCCTGTCTGTTGTCACTTACTAGGCAAAAAGTCTACATACAGTGCTGCGTCATGACTATGGAGATTCTTCCCACTCCCCAAGGGATGGGAACTGAACTCTCAATGACCGGCCTCATTGCTATCACTTGGACGGGAACAGGAGTAAGCATCCTGTTTACGTCTGCTCGTATCGCGATCCGAATCGTGTATGTGAAGCGTCTACTAGCGGATGACTATTTCATGCTGCTTGCCTTGGCTTTTTTGATAACGAACGCAGTATTACAGACTCTGCAGGCTCCACACATCTATTATATAGTGTTCAATATGACCGGGCCAGATATTGTCGACCACGGACTTCGCTACACCCACTACGAGTTTGCGATCATTGGAATATTCTGGTCCGTGCTATGGAGCGTAAAAGCCTCATTCCTAGCACTCTTCTGGATGATATCCAATGGGTTGCCTCGGTACCGGCGGGTCTGGTGGGCCACCGTTGTGTTCGCAGCCTTGGCATATATCGGATGTTGGATTGGGTCGGTGTACACTTGTCACCCGCCATCTAATTACTTCAAGTTCGGTAGACAACCCGTTTCTTAAAACCTTCAGCCTCTATGTCTAACAATTGGTAGGGAAATGCTCAAAGCCAATTGATCAGAGAGGATCTGTTATCTCCATATCATATAGCACCGCAGTCGATATCCTTACGGACTTGTTGAGTACAAAGACCCCATCTACTTTCGTGTCAATTCTTGATTTAATACCATTAAACAGTCATGTCACTCCCTCTTCGAATCATCTGGCATGGAAAGATCAATATGCAACAAAAGATCGGGTTAGGGATAGTGTTCTGTCTTGGGATCATAGTTATCGCAGCGGCAATTATCCGAGCGGTTGCTATCACCGGAAAAGCATATTCGGACCAAGCAGCACTTGCAGTATGGAGTGTGGTTGAATCGTCAATCTGTAAGTTGGCCGCTCGACATCTACTATAGAATCCTAATACCAATCAAGACAGCTATCATCGTCGGATCCCTACCTCCATTCCGATCTATCATATCTACCAAGCCAGACAGCAAGCAGTCCCCTTCTAGCTCCTCCGGTGTCACGCCCAACTTCCATGATCGAAACCATTCCACGCGCGGAGAACACCGGTCGGACATAGCCAGCTGGAATGAGTCTCCGTTGTCACTACACGATCTTGGGAATATAAATTATGTAATGTGCGCACAAGATGTGTACATAAGTGGAGGTCAAAGGGCACGGGGGTTGAATAATGTGCCTAGTGCATCGCAAGAGGCCCTTAAAGGGGATATAAAAATAATACAAGAATTTGTAAGTTCGACATTATATATATTCTCATATTATTGTTGTGAAGCGCGAAGAGCTGACTAGAGCATGTTCATAGAGCATAGTATCTTCTAAATGATGTTTTATGTACGTACGTGATGGTCTCTGATGGATATGATATATATTTCAAGTAGGTTTGCCATTATCACATTCAAATATAAGCACCAAGCACTAGAACCAACTAGAAAGAGACAACCGAGGCTACTTGTACGAGTACGAGTCAATTTGGATTGAATAGGCTACACTCAACATAACAATCCGCAAGCACCAGAGAAAAACCAATGATGGACCACTTGGGAACAAGCAAAGATTCGAATACAACTTCGCTCTTAGGTACTCTCATACTCATCGTGTTGAGAGATACCCAGATCACAACCATCACCGAGACCGTCTCGGCTGAGCCAGCATTCCCACGCTTTGGGTAGGCTTACTCTGTGACACAGCTTTTCGCCCATGTTCCCAGTCTATTCATAGATGAACCCGTCCTCCTTTTCGAACATTTCGGACCAACGGATTTTTCCGGTGAGGCGAAGGTGATTGATTTCCTCCATATCGTCAAGATTGGCACATCTTTTGATGAGCCCAAGCATGTCGCAAAGCAAACGCTTTGCCAGCCGCTTGATACCCTCCGCCTCCATTGCGCATGAGGATGTAGCCTGAACGTAGTTCTCAGTGGTGGGTCCAACGGGCGAATTATCAGTTCCGTCATCAGAGAAAGCAGAACTTGGATCGCTTCCGTATCATGTCCCCGTCGAATTCAAGACTAGGCATCGCGGATCATTGCCTTTCTGCCTCCAGGCAGTCGTGTAGTCCATCATTCAAATGCGCTGTAATCGACGCTAAATGGTATGGTCCTAGAATAGGAACAATTTCGGTGATATATGTGGGAATCGGGGCGTATCAAGATCTGAACCTCAAAACGGGAAGGTGCGATAGGCGGTTCGGCACCCTGGGATTTTTGCTTAATTGTCGATGAAAGAAGACGCGCAAGACGGCTTTTTCGTACGTGGAAACGAACCCATACTTGACATTGAGATCTTTCATATAACATGCGAATCGTCCGATTGCAATTCTGAACTCCGGTCTTCCAGGCATTGTCAATCAAATCCGTCAAGTCATGCATCAGAGTCCAGGAGCCTTAAACCCACTAACAAAATTGATAGTTGCCTGCCTATCCATAATTACAGCGTCATGGTTATGTTTCCAGAGCATTTATAGTCTATAAATGCAATGTTATAGCCTTGCGAGCCGAACACGGCACTTGTTGTCTGGCTTATGTTATGTTAGAACCTTTCCTAAACGCCGATCTCGTCGCCGCTGAATGTGCTCATTAGAGAAGCACGATGTGCAATGAATTTCGAGTGCCGTGAAGAAGAAAGAAAGTGGGAGGAGGGCAGGCATATAGACCGTGGGTAGATGGAGGCTGAGAAGTAGATAGAGCCTAAATACGATGGTGATCATATATATAGAGAGAAAAAAGGTGCTTCAACTCGTCAGAGTGAGAGTGGACAGGGAGGAGAAGGAAGAGAGAAAGTGGAGAGAGCTTAGTATCTGTTAAATAGCCTGCCATGTTTGTCCTGTTTGATAAGCTTCATCTAGCTACATAAGTAGTTCTCTGTTTGTTTGCAGAAAAAAATCCTCTCTCTTTCTCTCTCTATCCCTTTGATTGGGCACCCGTCAGTTGGATTTTGTGGTCTCAGGACGCCATCTAGGTGCCTCAAGTACTCACCCCTCGTTAGACTACATCTCAACTCTCCCTCTTCTCGTCTACTTACGCACAGTAAGCCTCAATATATAGGAAGGTGAGAAGCTTGGGGACTTGTGGGGTCCCCGCCGAAGTTTTCGCCTACCCTGGGGCTTGTACTCACTCTACCTTTCCAGAAAACCTCAAGTTGGCCGAGTGATCTCAGCCTGTCAACCCGATGGCGCCAAATACTGATGGTCCACGGCACGCAATCTCTCAGTGGGGACACGGGTAAAGCATAATTTCACCCTCTACCTTGAACCTATCGGGAAGAAACAGTCCTATGACTTCACCGCAAACAAATGCCTAGGAGATGATACCATTTTGGACATCGATTCGATCCTAGGAATCCAGCGTGACAAGCCTATCCTATTTTCGATCCCGCAGAGGACAGTGTCTACGGGAATACCGGAGGTGCCCAAGAAACGGAAGAGAGAAACAGTGACCTCCTTGAGCGAGGCCGACAAAGCCAATTACAGGATATTCGGAAGAGAAGAAATACATTGATTCCTCGCGAAGACAAAAATCAACTACCCCCCGTCTGACTGGAAGACAGCGGCAGCAGCCGATATTCCAGATTGTATTACCGCTGTTCTTTTTATGCTTGTTGCCTACCTCCTCTACAGGTATGTTCCTCTTTTTCCTTCTCTTAGACTGCGTGTTGTGCTAACAACAGACATATGTAGGCAAGGACGGAAGGAAGAACGTAAAGGCAATACCAATGCCATACTTTCCTACAAATATCACAGAAGGAAGAAGAAAGAGAAAGTAAAGAGAAGTTGAAGTATTCAAAGTGGCCGACTTGTGGGCCTTGTTAGTTATGCTAAAAGCACCGTCATATTAACCAAGAGTGCCTATATATAGACAAGTATAAGCCTAAAGACAATAAAGTGTCCGTGTTCCCCTAAGCAAAGTATCGTTCCACCTCCTTACTACAATGAGACTTAACAGGCCCATCGAATAGCCCTTCCAATAAAGATTTGCCAAAGCAAGTGAACATTTCGCATGAAGCCACTGCAGGGCTTTCACGCGCTTATGAAACGGTGATGGACGACGATCCACTGCTCTGGTATCCCTCAGTGCTGACAATCTGGTAGTTATGCGAGCCGAGACTCAATCCAAGAGAAGCCCAAGCATTGAAGTGATTTGCAGTAGTGACTGTTCCGCTGGTGCGTTTAGTCCGGCGGATGGACCAATACTGGTTGAACGTCGCAGTCCCCGAGATAGAAGGCTGATTCACCTGCTGGTGTGTATAGATATCGTAGACTGATCCATCGCTGGTCACAGTTCCCTTGAAGGTCATGCTGCTAGCTGGGTTGTAGGTGCCATAGCTTTCCAGGATGTAATATTCGACGAGGGGGCTAGTGGTCCACCCGTAGACAGCGAGATAAGCATTTCCGGAGGGATTGAAAGAACCGGAAAAGTTGATGTTTCTAACATGGTGTACTGTAAGTATGTGGACAATAGAAAACTAGGTGGACTCGACTTACCGAGAGCTGCCAGTAGCCCAGCCTTTGCCAGAGGTGAAAGATCCGCAGTTGGTCCAGCTAACGCTGTATTGGCCCGAAGCACCGTTGGTATAGGAGACACTGCCACCTCCATTGGTCCAGAAAGAGTAGAAGTAGCCATTGCTAGTTCCTTGCTCGCTCGTGGTGATCGCTCGCTTTTCCAGCTCACTGGGAAGCGCAAAGGCAGTTACGGCAGCACAAGCAGCCACAAAGAGGCTTGAGAAAGAGACCATAATGAAGGGTCGGATATTGTTGATAATTGAAGAAGACGAATGAATTGAGATATGTTATTTTATGGCAGAGAATCCCTTCAGGAGAAGAGCTTTTATATTCACAGGAGGATGTGGGGCGTGTTTCCAAACAGTTTCATATCCTGAATGTCTTGGTTCAATTTAGCCAGCGAGCCATTTATCCCGTACTTCAGCAGTCACAATTGCACCAATCATCCACGGACCATGATTCCTTTCCTACCAAGTCTTAGCGGTAGTCCATCACCTCAATTAAATCCATGTATCATTCAACCAGCCTAAAATTTGGTTTATCAGTGATCCAAGCTAAGAGACTTACAGCCAGACCCTTTAGGCGGCTAAAGTTCGTCGCCGAATGAAGACAAGAATGTTGAAGATGTCAGCCACAGGCACAGGTGCAAATGCGGGGAAATCCATCACCGCTGTAATAGGTGTAGCTGGGGTTAGCCCAGGCTAAACTTGATATCAGGCAATATAAAATCCGGCAAAAAAAAAAGATGCATGATCATCTACCGTATTTTGATCATCAGAGAAATCGACATAAAGTCACCGAAAACGTGACAAGGTGACCGATCCATGGATCAGCGGATGTTTATTTCGAATCCCGAGGTCTTGGCGATTGCGTAGGTAAGCAGGAGCACGTGCCAAGAATATTGCGGTCATGTAGGTCTTGGCATCAAGGCTTGGCAAAGGTATACTTACTACTAGACTCCCCCGAATATAAACCAGGAAATACTTGTTTTCATATAATAAAAATTGCATTCTAGTTTGCATTATATTCAGTCATAAATAATCAATATATCTCATGTACAAAACAAATTGAAACTGTATCAGGGTCAACGCCAACCGGGAATATCGCAAAAAGAAAAACACCGATATGCAATAAAAACACAATCAATAGCAACCGATTCAAAGATCATCAATGCATAAGAAGCCAAGTATCATACGGAACACCCCGGGGCTGAGTCTTTCCATCCCGGCCAGTCGAAAACAAGACCGGCTCGAAATCACAAGCTGCAGAGTACTGCCGGATCAACTGACGCCAGTAGCACGACTCGGCAGCAGGAGTAAGGTACCGATCGCGGAAAGTGCGCACCGCATTATTAGCGATACGCTCCGCAATCGCAGGGTTATCAATGAGATAATCGATCTTGGGCGATAGATCAGACCAATCCCGGTCAACCTCAATATAATTTGCATCCGGGCCAGTTGATACCAGCGCCGCATGATGAGCCTCGCGCCATTCAAGCGCATGTGAGATGACCACAGAACGGCAGTTCAGAAGATACTTCCCACGCCCAGAGAAGCTCCGGCCCTCTGTGTGTGCGAGGAACATGTACCGACAGTGGTCTTCAATGGGCAGAAGATTAAAGCGGATATCATTTTGATCATCCCAGTCAATAACACGCACACTAGCCCAACTACGTCCCAACGCAGACTTGAGGAGTTTGCTCCGGACGGGCGGGTTCGTCGCCAGACTGCCGCGCCATACGAGCTGCTTTTTCTTCTCCTGGAACTGCAGGCCCGGAATATATGTGCCATCTGCGGCAGTCTGGCCGTCGTCGATTGCGGCAATGCGACGGCGCACTTCATGGTACGGCCCAATCTGTACCTCTGGCCAAGCCCAGTAACCGAAGTCGGGCATTAGCCAGACTGAGGTGTCTGAGTCACGCTTTGAGTAGGCCCAGATGGGACTTGGGGCGGTTGTGTCTTCTGCGAAGTCTTCTGTGGTGAAGATGAACTCGACGCTGGGTAGGAGGTGGCGGTCTGGGAATGCTGTCAGGGCGCGGTGGAGGGAGTTCAATGTGGCGCGTGCTCGAGATGCTGTAACAGGCATGGGGGCGTAGTCGACAATATATAACTGAATACCATATATTAGAATCAGATGCTCTCAAGTCCACAAGGGTCAATATTTCACTCACCTCTCCTCGATCAATTATTCCCCGTACCATACCATCATCCACTGTCCTGGAATTGAGCTCCTTATAGGAAACAAGCTTATCTTCTTTCACTTTAGATGACTTGTCAATCTCAACAAACAGCTTTGGGAAAGCAATGCGGCACTGGTCCTCAGAGAGACCGTGGTTGTTTCCATCGCGCTCAACAACAAACTCCCAGCCAGCGGAAGAGTTCACGGTAGGTGCACAGTATTGCTGTCGTGATTGTGTCTTTAGATTAAATTGTGATGAGAGCGAGGGTGCACCTGTGCCGAGGACAAGGAATGCAAGGACAAACAGAGACACCACTGCGCCGATAGCCAGGTAGCGGAATGAAGGGCGTTGGGAGAACATTCTTTCTCGAACAATTTCACTTTTGCCCATTCGAATGTTTAAGCTTCAATTTCCATATGAGTTCTCAGCCTAGAAGAGATGAAGACTTGGTAGTTATTTTGTGGGTTGATGTCATTTGTGCTCTGATTGTTTCCATGGCAACGGTCCTGTGTGTCCTGTGTGGGCTACATGCTGAGGGTTCATAGACATATTCTGATTGAATTTAATAGGTAATGGGCACAGGTAGACCAGTAGGCTCTATCTCGATCGCAAAATATATTTATATCGTTCTTGTCTACCAAATAGAAATGCAGGTCAAACTGCATAAAAGATCTTTTCCAAAATGAAACAAACTGTGCACAATCGAATATATGATCCAGATAGGATTATTATGTACATAAGAGCGAGAGTGCCATAGCGAGTCGATATATGCAAGGGGTATCTCAACAGGTCATGAAAGGAAATGGGCAAACGAAAGAATAAAGTAGGAGGTAAAGGTAAAGGTAGACTTAGACCCGTAATAATGAAACACGAAGCAGGGGAAGCAAAGCTGAAGCTTGTCCACGGACATGTCCGCGCACAACAGTTGGCAACCGCAATAAAATTTTAATGGTCGCCATTGGCGGGGGGTCTGGGGCTGTTGCTGTTGAAGTAGCTCTCGTCTATCTTCAAGATCCATTCTACCTTTTGTGCCTCGGTTCTAGTGGCGAAGAGGAACGTGTTCTGGGTTCCATAGACTGCGAACACATTCGGTCGTCCCTTGGCAGACAGCGAACGGTCGGATCCAGCTCCTGAACCGTCGAGTAGTCTTGCGAAGTCGGGCGCATGGTCGACACGCGCATTGCGGAGGTTGATGGCGTTAATCTCGTCTCCCTCTGGGACCGAGTAGATGTGGAGGTACGGCCGGCGGAGCTCCAAGAAACGACGCACCCAAACGTTGTTGGTATCATCGGGCGTAAGCACGTACCCCGTTTTTAAGGCGTCGGGGGCTTTGGGAAGGGTTTGGATGGTGGCTGTGAAGCGAGGTTTGAGAGAAAGTTTATCATAAAGGCCGCTGGCATCCGAATTTTTAATGTGTGCCGCTCCGTCCGAAGGGGGTTCGGTATTACTCCGGATGAGGATTGCCTCTGTTGGGTCCTGCTTGAGCGACCACAGATCAAGATACTTCCGTAGAATTTTGGATTTTCGCTCATTGAGATCTGCACCCCGCATCGGAGTTGACCTCCCACCACGAGCCAGCGATGGAATGAGACAGCCCGCGCTCAGAGCACCTCGGGCTGCGTGAAGCTCTGCCAGCCGCTGCCGGCGTTTGCGGTTGGCAATGTAGTCTCGTACCAGAGAAACTTTTCTAGGCGCCCAGGTGTTCAAGAGCTCCTCGCCTTTCACATAGTCATTTTGTGTGTTCATACGCCACAGATCAGCAGCACGCTTAGCTGAAATAGGCCGAATAACCAAGGAGTACATGCAAGTCGTCGAGTGCACAACACGAATCGAGTTCCAGAATTGCTTGAACATCGACTGTTGGCGGACATGGGTACGGCCTTGGATTTGAATGGTTTGCTCTGCCTCGAACACAACTGGGTTCTGTAAACGACTGGATACAAGATCCCAACGGACAGTTACTTGGACCCTGTACTTTTCTGCTGTCACTCGGTCAAGCAACAGAGAGCCATGTAAACTCGAGTCCCACTGGCCGACAATTGTGACATGAGAGGTTCCGTCGGCATTTTCTTTGACCGTTGGTTCTTGGACAAACTTCAAGGGGACGTCTGGAGTCTGGAAATCCTGATCTGGGATCTTGCCCCAAGGATCCAGGAGGTGGACAGAACCAACGCGGATGTTGTTGATATCATCCCATGGAAGAGTTTCTGTTGAACTGTACGTGATGTTGACTGAGATGCGGCGCTGCAATCCTTGATGAAGCTGGGATGTCCCGGCATCAATACTGCTGCTTTGGACAACCTCCACGGGGAGGTACTCGCCAGATTCTGACATTTCGAGAATCTGAATTCTCGCAAAGACGTCATGACGTTCTTCTGAGTAAAATTCTGATTCCGCGATCCGAGCAGCAGTCCGCTTTTGCGGTGAAGGCTCCACTGAGTCACGCATATCATCCCAACTAAGAAGCTTGTCGAGATGAACCGATGTCACAGCTGCATAAACGCAGACCTTCAATGCGGCTGTCCGTGGACTTGACAGCGGCAAGCTCATACTGTGCACACTTTCAAATCGAACGGGACCGTCCTCAAATCCTTTGATCATTTGAGTTGTAGTTGCGCCTCCTTCCTCTGAGATACCCGGAACAAATAACTGCGCATGTACATCAGTCCCTTCCCACTCTGCGAACCCGACCATGTCCCGCATGACAACGTTAAATTTCAGGGTTGAAGAGGGCGCCTGCGCGGAGGATGGTTCGAGAGAGAGACGAATGATTCCGACGACACTCTGAGTATATGGTGAGGTTATCTCAACGGAGAAGTCTTGCACGCGAGTTTCGAAAACAGCGGTTAAGGGGATGTCGGCATCACCGATAAGAGAATACTGGGGTGAGCAAGGTTCAGAGAATGGATTGTCGAGTTTGAAGTGTTGAATGTAGTCAGGGCGGTCGATGTATTGGTGCAATTGCCGCATGGCTTGGACGCGGCGTTGGAGTTTTTCAATTGACCACAAGTGAATTACGCACTGCTTGAAGTCGATGACTCGAACACCCACACAGGGTTTCTTGGCCTCATCAAGCAGGATGTCTTCATCGCCGGAGATTCCGTTGAGCACGAGATCATAGGACGATTCCATGTTGTGGCCATGGTCGACAATGGCGAACTGGAAGACCACATGCTTGTCCATGATATGACTCATGATCTGTGCCTCCTTCAGAAGGCAGGCATGTTGTAAAATCTTCTCAGCCATTCGGACATAATTTCGCTGGGACCAGTGGCTGTATACTGAACGCGCGATTTCAAGTTCACGTTCATCTAACTTGGCGAAGCCATTTTCGAAGATTTGAGGTACTGGCTTACCCATATCTCGGATGTGGGTTTCAAAAGACTCCTTTTGTTTGCGCAGTTGCTCTTCGAATTCCTCTTTAACCGTCCGCAGAGCGTCCTCCATTCGCTCCTTCTCGGTGCGTAGCTCCGGCGATTCTGGATCAGACGAAGCTCCCACGGTCTTGAGTTTTTCTTGGAACTCTTCCTTGCGACGATCCAACTGCCGCTGCATATCTTGTCGAGTTTGGTTAAATGATGCAACGCCATTGACTTCATCGTCGTCATTCTGTCGGGGCGTGCTTGGCATAGTTATAGCAGTATCTAAGGAAAAGTTGTCGAGGGTCCCGTTGGACATATACTTGTCCCTAGTTGGGAAGGAGCTGATGGAGTCGGAATCGTCTTCTTCCGGCAGTCCACGTCGTTCAGCTCGAACCTTCTGCACATCTTCCAACAGTGTATCCAGTTCATCATCAGGCAAATTGGAGATCTGATCAGGTCCAACCATAGCACTGATAGCTTCTCTGCGTGCTAAGAACCAGTCTGACTCACGACTACGCTGTTGGGGCATGGGTGAATCCGCCCTAGATGAATCGCCATCCAAGTCAGATCCTGCCTTGCTCAGATTTCGATCATGGGTTTTGTTTGGGGCCGGCGACCCGAGCTGGCTTGTTGTGACTGAATGGCGGAGTAAGCTCTGCTCGACCCGTTCGGCTCTAGCCTCTTGAGGATGGTTGAAACGGAAAATATGAAAATCGCCAAGGATGATTCGGAAACCACTCTTCAGTCGTGTGGGCTTGTCAACCCGCAGGCCGTTCACCATGATAGCAGCGCCTTCGGCGGGTATAATGGTCACAACGTTGTCCACATTCTCGAAAGTGCAGTGCTTCTCAAGGATCTTGGATCCATTCAATCTAATCTCGACGGTTTGACCTTGATCCATATGGCCGACCGTGGTAGTCCCAGGTTTGATATTGTAGACCAAACATTCTGCAAGTAGGGGATCGTCGCTGAGGTTGACCAAATGGGGCATTTTCTTTGGTGTGCTCATTCCAATGAAGCCCTTTTCGATGTTGATTCCTAATTCCTCCAAAGCTGCTTCACGCTCCTTGTGGATAAGCTCCGTATTTTGCAGCTTCTCTTCCCAAGTCTGGTTGAGATCTTTGTAGAGCTTCTCACTCTGATTGAGTTGTTCTACAATCTCTGCCTTACTGACTTGAGTGACAGTTCCATCCGGCTGTTGGATAGACACCATCTGTTTCTCTAACGGGGTATCTGGGGGGTAGTACTCCTGCGGGACACCACCTCCTATTGCGCCAGCTGCTCCTCCCGGTGCTACTCCCCCTCCAAGTTTTGATCGGAGCTGTGCTAATTCCTCCTTTAGTTCGCGAATCATGCGTGCATTAGGATCTTCGTTCACAACAGCATGGTTCTTGATTCGTTTCGCCGAGTCAGCGTATCGCAGAGTACCAAGAGTTTCGTCAAAGTTGATATCTGCAGGAGAAATTGCCGCAATCATGGAAGTCATGGAATTTCCGCCCAGAGAATCCTTCAGCAACCATGTGAGAATTGAATCACGATATGGTACCATGGATGCATTCTTCTTCTTGCCGGCAGTAGTCTTGCCGGCAGAGACATCAGCGAGTGCAGCAATGACACGACCAAGTGTTGACAATGAGCGATTGATTTCCGCACCCTCCTTTAATCGCGCGCCGGTGGCTCCAGTCGAGTTAGCTCTTTCTGAACCAGCCAAATCAACCAAACTGATTTTCGACACCTTCTCGGTATCCATTGAAGTCTCTTTGTCGTGTCTCTTCTGCGTCAGAGTCAAGGTAAAAACCGCATGTGATCGACTTGAGGTTTCGTTCATGTTGGTCGCGGCAACCGTTCGGGCTTTGTTACCCTCGTCCATCAGGCTCTCGATTTCTTCGAAACATCCGACGACGAGTTTGGCCAGATCCTCAACATAAGGACCCGTTGACGGATGCTCACGGACTTTCAGGTTGCCTTTGTTCGACGGGTTGAGCAAGTCGCGTACTCGCTCGTTGTAAATTTCGAGATATGACACTTCGACAGTGCAATTCAAAGACTTGTCCGCCTGGATAGCAGTAATGCGCTCGAACATCGATCGGCAAATCCGTGGAATCACACCATATTCTTTGCCGTAACCCATCATGGAGTACGATTTTCCCGAACCAGTCTGGCCATACGCGAAGATACAATTGTTGTAACCCCCAAAAGCATTGTCCAGAAGCGGAGAACCCAGATCGTCGAAGAGGTCATTCTGGTCGGCGAAGTTTGATGATTTCTTATCAAAGGACCAATATGATCGGTCAAAGGCAAAGACCTTGTTCCCTTCACTAACACCTTTCCCACCCTTCCGTGATTTGTCCTCTGCGCCGGGTGGAGGAGTGAGCACGGTCTGGTTGCCTTTCATCGACACGATACATTTTGCACCTCGCTCGATCTCTGCACAATGACAGACTGGTTAGCTTGAGGCTCAAAAACGAATCCATCCCTCGATATTTACTCACCTCGGCTGTTGAACGGCCGCACCCGCACCACCACCTTAATATTTCCACCGCCGCCTGGAGCCATCTTTGCTCTCTAACCCATGCACGGGAGGTATTCGTCAATAATGAACGTTTATAAAAGCCGGAGTCCTAGAGTAGGATTCAAGTGGTGACAGGGGTATACTGATGCGCGAACTCCGCGAGGAGCGCAGCTTGAAGGTCAGTCCCAGGGTAATTATCGCGGAGGTGGCTGTAGCTAGGCTGTTCGTGATCGTTTGAGAGTGCTTCGTAGCGAGGTTGCAATCGTAGGTGTCAACAAAGACGTCATGTATCGGTCCAATGTTGATGTTGCGCGTCCGTGGTGCTTTTTTGTGGGGGGGTTATTGATGCGCGGGGAAGCCTGGATATTGCAGGATTAGCAGTAGGCCACCGAGAAAAACCAGCCACAGAGTCGGTTTTCTCGAGGCACAAAGCAAAACAAAATGCAATTGTGGTCGGAGTCAACATGTGGAAGAGCCACTTGTGTCCGGGCCCGGGGAGTGGGTGGTGCTGAGTAAGCGTTTCAGACATGTGCACAGGTGGAGGCGACAAGGTACGGAGTACCTGGACATAGGTACACCGTATATACGCCCCTTCGGAAATCTTGGGCAGCCCAGATCCCTTCCACAATGCCCTTGAGGTCTTGCATGCCGATGCTAACATTGGTTTCCGAGAGGAGCTTGGTCGTCGCATCAGGATCTCAAACGGAATGATCAACGGAGAATCTAAACCGGAATGTCTTGTCAATGACCGGCTTTTTTCTGGCGGCTTCTAGCGTTAACGCTATGTTAGCGTTTCCTCTGGCCGGATCTAACCAAAACTCCACGTCGCGCTCTAGCTTGGCTTTAGACTCCGACACCGCAACTTCAAGAACGACCATCGCTTACGGCCATAGCCAGGCCGGTGGAGTGGGCCCCATCCATAGTCATGTTGTTTCCCTCTATTGCCGACTGTGATCGTTACTCCTGGGAACCCTTGGATAGCGGTCTCTCGTTCCATGATAGCCAATTTCACCATCAATTTGGAAGCAAATATCTCGACCGCTGCGCTATGCCCTGGAGTTGCCATTCTGGTCAACAGAAGATTTTCTTCGATATCGAACGAGGATAAACGAAAGAAGGTCGACGCTAGGGTCGAGTAAATCGTGTTTGAAGTTATTGGCGTCGATTTCGAATAGTAAGTCCTCGGATAGATTGTTTGCCGGTTGAGGATCATGCTTTGAACGTTCGGAACGATCAAGTTCAAGATCTTTCACGTAAGGAAGGTGCTCCTTCCCTTGATGTCGATGCGTCTCAATTGGTCGAGGTATATATCCTCGGGGAAACTACCCCTATGCCTACCATGATGTTCGGCTGGGTAAGATCGACCTGCAGCCATTTTATTTTCGTTGTGAAGGGATTGATAGAAGATGTACTTGGCCAAAGGAATGCCCAAGAGATCATGGATGGTTACCAATATGTCTTACCTCATTATGAGCGTTACGCGGGTGGTATCCTACATTATATCCTTACGATCCACGAGAAGTCCACAGTGTGGAAGATATTTTTCCGTCTATGTTGGGTATCTATGCTAATACCTTCTTGCTCAGTGGTTGTTGTGTTCATTGTACTAAGCTTGACCCAACCACAGCGTATATAATATCTCAAACACCTTCCGCTCATACGTGGACGGAAATAGAGTTATGAAGAGTCCCGGGTCATATTCTTCTAAGTTTTCTCTTATGGCAATCAAACGGTTATGCATGATTTCACCAAGGTGCTTGCCCCTCCTTCTTTACTAAATTCATCTTTCTGCGCCGATTTTTGATTCCCGCGTCTACTACAACATGGGTGGGGTGTTCTCCTCTTACACGACCGACGACAATATTCTCACGCTGTGGTCGTGGTGCCAGAGATTGGAAAATGAAATCAACACTATCAATGCAAGGACAAACCAAGGCAACAATTCACAAACTGATGGATCGAGCACAGATTTCCAATCTCTTTCTAGGAGGTTTGATGATTTTAACAAAGAGAACAGTCGTATGCGCGAGGATATTACCGCTCTTTCTGTGAAGATCGACGAGGATATTGCAAAAATCAGTCATTGGGAAGGAGCGCTTGAGGTTCTGTCTGGCAAGTTTCATGATGCCCTCACCGCAGAGGTCAATACGATGAATGCAAAGTACCAAGCCCTTTCTATAAGGGTTGAAAATGGTTTCCACGACAGTCCACCAGCTATAAACCGGGGGCTTGCTCTTGGGCTATCTCTTGGCCTCGGCATTCCTCTAACTATAGCTCTCATTTTCTTGTGTGCCATGTGGATTCGTCGCAAGTATGATTTCCACTAATGCTGGTTTGATAGTTACGACTAACGCGCCTCGTTTTACAGATATCCATATATACCGCAACACGCGAACAACGAGGAAGCTGAGAACTATATCAAAATACACAAGGCGACACGACAAAGTAAGATCTCCACGAATCCACTTTAGTTACCTATGGTTCTTTTCTGACTAAGGAACTTCTCAGAAACTCTCACTGAGAAGCTCTGCGACCTTTTTGAAACCCTTGATTTCAAAAAAAAACAGATTGTTCCGGAGGTCTATGTAATGGACAACACACCCAAGAAGGGTTAATATTGCCGATTCCCGCCCTTAATGGACGTTTGGCTCAATGTGTGGATCACATACTGGATGACGGTTAATTTGCTAACTAGGTGAATCTAATCCAGCGACCTAATAATCGATTGCTTCTGGCCCAAAGTACTATGCTCCGGACTTCAATATATGTTATCTTGTACTCCGTACTGTTGCGTATTTTGATTTACTGGCTACGTAACCTTCACCATCCATCCTTGATGCTTTTAATACACCTGGCCGTCTATTATGCCCCAATCCCGATTTGTATATGTAGGTACGAATAGCTTCACATTTAGAACCCATTTCTTAAGTCATTAATGACGGCCTTGAAGAGATTATAGGATGTATGTCCTCTGTTATAATAATTCATATTTTCTGCCAGCAACATTCACGCATCTTCAGGCATCAACACCGACACCTCCATAGGCAATCTTCAGCCAGTGTTTCCAAAGACCGTAATCTCTAAATCACACTTACTTCACTTCTGCTTTCCGTCAAGATCAGTGAAGAGTTCGTAACCGAAGTCTTTGCTTGAGTCATTGAACCGGAGCTTCCTGTCGATCGAGCTGATCTTTTTAAGATCTTCAGGTTTCAATTCGAAATTGATATCAAAGTTTTGTCTGATCCGTTCTGGATGCTTTGATTTCGGAATGACGGAACGGCCATGTTCGATACCCCAAACTATGAAAAGTTATTAGCTCTGTATTTCTGAACCGGGCGAGCAGGGGCAAAATACCTAGGGCGACTTGGGCCGACGTCTTTCCGTACTTCTTCCCGATCTCGACCAAGGTCTCATCATTAATAAGCTGACCATATTTCTCTTGGGCACCATAGATTTGATTCTGGTCGCCGAAGGGGGAATACTGCGTTACGTGAATGCCATGCGTGCGGTGGAAGTCATAGAAATCACTTTGCTGGAGCCAGGGATGCAGCTCCATCTGGTGCACCGCCGGTTTGATCGTCGCGTTCGCAATAAGACGCTCGATTTCCTTCCGAGAGAAGTTACAAACCCCGATAGCTTTGGCTTTGCCGGATTTGACGAGATCTTCCATCGCTTTGTAAGTCTTTGATTTGTTAGTAGATAGCCTTGCCATTGGTTTAAAGTAGCACGTACATCAACGTAGTCGATATCTGCAGTTATCAGCTTCCCATCTTTGTCAGAGGGGAATGGATCATCTCCTCGTTTGAAGGCACAAGGCCAGTGCATCAGAAATAGGTCGAGGTATTCCAAACCCAGATCATCCAAGCTATCCTGCAGTGCCTGAGCAACATCATCAGGATGGTGCTTGTTGTTCCACAGTTTGCTGGTAACAAAAATCTCGCTTCTATTTATGCCGCTTTTCTGGATGGCTTTGCCGACAGCAGCCTCAGTGCCATAGCTATAGGGGTCAGACTAGTTATGCGTGTCAAATTGTTGAGGAACTTACCATCTTGCCGTATCGATATGGCGATATCCTGTCTGGAGGGCTACAAGGACTGATGCCTCCTGGGCTGCCTCATCTTGCCAGGTTCCCAGGCCAATGGCAGGGATCTGAGCACCAGTGGAGAGTTTGTAAGTTTTTTGAGTGTTGGAGGCCATTGTGTTACTTCAGTTGGATAGAGAAAAAAGGATTACAGTTCTCTGTATAAGAATTCATTGTCGGCTTTGTATACAAACTCCTTGGCTCTTGTACCCAATGTTGACGTTATGATGATGACATCGAAATAACCCCAATTCTATATCAACTTGGAAAAGCTATATCACATCTTGTTTTCGGAAATCAGTCGAGTCCTAAGCTCCAATAAATATGCTATAATTGTGGAGGCTAGAATGTCCAGACTTTAAGTAATGTGGCGACGTTTCAAGGAAGTTTGACACAATGACTTGGTAACCTGTTATTATTGGAATATTCGTCAACCATTCGGCTGACATACCGTCGTTTTTCCCAACGGCTGGGTGGTGTCAGGTCTGCCCTACGCTAATCTTGTTCAATGTTCTTGAAATGAAATGATATGTTCGAATGCCAACTTTTACTATAATTTGAACACCAATTTGGTAATTACATGTATGACCTCACATGTAGTTTAGCTGACGCATTCAGACACTGTCGGCCGAAAATATAGCCACTTCTGAATTTGCACTATTCATTGGTTCTCTCCATGGTTCTCTCCAAGTAAACTATTAATCGGCCGATTTTACCGCGATTATCGTCACATGGTAATAATAATATTCAAACTATTGGTCATAATGCTTGATAAAAATTTGACTATCATACATAACGAACCCTAGAAATCATGGGGCAGTGCTCTTGTGCAGCTCCTTTCCATCAATGCGGGCGCTGCTGCTAGCAGCTGCACCCTCGCGCAAGCCACTGTTATCAGGAGGGTACTCGAAACGCCCAGAGCCCACATTAGTGGTACGCTGGTCAAGGGAGTTAAAGTCACTGGCAACCGGGGGTTGGTCGGGCAGAGGCAGGTTGGCCTTGGTCTTCTCGATTTCCGCGGGCTTGTTGGTGTTTTGGTCAATGATGGACTATATGGATTGTGTCAGAGGTCTGCTTTATGCTTGGTGATAATTCAGTACAGATAACTCACCTTGGTTTGAGAGACGTCGGAGTTTGCTGGGGGCTTGCCATCGTGTGACTGGGCAAGCTTGGACTCGGCCTTGCGGATGTCCTGAGTTGTGGTGTGGAAGGTAGAGTCTGACATGGTGATAGTTTCTCTATGAGTGTGGTAATATATAAATATTTGAAAGTGACGTAGTCGAGAGCAGTATTGTGATAGGGAGATATTTGAGGAGTTGAAGAGTTGAAGATGGGAGAGGTAAGTAAAGCAAATAGTTCTTATATATCTTCGTTGTCTATGCTAAGCAGGTATTGACGCTTGCTTCGATGACGCCATGGCATCCGCGACCCTGGATATTGCTCTCCACCGAACCGGTTAGATGTATTGCGGCTCAGCCGCTCACAACGGAGGGGCTCCACCGGGCGGAAGTTTCCCTCAGGATAGCAGCAACACGGATTTAGTAAGCGAATGATTAATGGGTTTGGGGCTGAAGAACATTAGCCTATTTTCAAACTTAAATGTGTAAGAAACCGGTGTTGCTTAATCCAACGTAGGCATCGTACTGATGCTTAACTAGTAGAGAATCCGTCAGGATGTCGCAACTCCACCTCAACGTACGAGCTATCCCTAGTTTGTTGAATGAAGGCCATTGAACAATACGACAGCGAGAAGCATAGTCCCACAATTCAGATCCAGGGCAAGAGGATACTTATAGATCAAATCGGAATGATAAAGACTGAAAAATGAGAAGCGAGACTCCTGATGATCGCGACATGGCCGATAATATATAGTCATTTGAAGGATTCCGAGGGCTATGCTCAGGAGCATAGGCTAAAATGGAAAAATGGTAAGTCGATCAAATAGCTCTACTGAGTGGTTTTTCACTGAGGTATATCCAAGACAGCTAGAACGAACGGTCACTTTGACTGAGCCAGTCTGTTTTTGATGGGCGATCTAAATGGGAATGGCTACACGTGATATAGTTAACATGTCACCCCGCCGTTTTCCAAGGTTAGTTAATCAGCTTATGTAATAATCTGATCAGGGTGTGCTCAATTTTACTGTAAGATCAAAAAAGCTGCAAGGCGTAAAACAGAAAGGAAAGGTCTCGAGTGCCAGGCATGTACTCCGCACATATGGTTGCATAAATATATTTCAAGGAATGCGGGTTGCTATGGTACCAAGGCCACGAATATCGGTCCAAGCAGCCAAAATAGCGAACGAAATGAGGAATTTATCAATACTACATGAACATAATTTACCCATGCAACCCTTTTCTAGAAGTAGAAACTCCGTTGAAGTTCGAAGTCAAGCGGTCAAGCTTCTCACACGTGGGTGTTTCATGGTCCGGAGATCGGACCCATCTGTCCCTGCGAATCGGGATTATCGCCTGTGCTGAATGGTCCATGGGACGCTACTAAAGCTGACTAGAATGCACGTGGGGATTAAATCGGGAGTATAGAAAGGTACATAAGAATATGATGTTCTCTGTTTGAATTGTTGTAATTGAGACGGAGGCGATTCATGGAACATATATCCGAAACAGCAACACGAGGTCCGGATATTTGAGCCGAAGATAAACCTACGGTGAGCAGAATTACTTCGACCGCCAGTCTGGATGTCAATAATAATGCCAATAATGCGCTATAGAAACAGTCTCGTATATTATGCATAACAGGTACTCTATACCTATATTGTAGATAAGAACCCGGTTAATTGAATTGCGTCATGAGCTCGGCTGGAACAAACATCTCAATGCGCCAAGCGAGTAGATAGAGAGCCAGACCTCGTGTTTTCAGGAACGTCTACATCATGATACTAAACTAGATCTTTCCAATTCGCGCCAGACGGACGGTCTTGTGTGCCAATTAATGCCGTCATTCCGCCTGGATTGCAATGTTGCCGCCCGGGGAGATGATCTGATTGCCGCTTCCTAGGAGATCTCATCACACTCCCAGAACCATAAGTGCCGTGAATAATACGGAGTACTCCGTAGACCGTACTAGACAAACCCCTCTTCTGTGGAGCTCTTCTTTTTTCGGACTATGTTGTACATTGTACACGGGCTTTGAAGCAAGGGTCATAGAGGAATGGGACATTAGGTGGAGGAGACTTGCCCAAAATAGGGCACACGGCCGAGGTACGCGGTGTCCACCGTGAATAGGAAAAAGCAAAGAAGGATTGAGCGCATCGTTTTAGGCATTCGAATTGATTATCATGAGCCGAAGCAAGCTGACGAAAAAGGGCCAAAAAAGAAAGGAGGCGATTATTAAAATGAGGCGAATGGGCAGACATGCAGATGCAGCCGAAAGGTATGATTCATGGTTAGGATTGGGTTTCGAGGGTAGTAGAGTAAGATGTAAAGGATAGCCTGAGTAAATTGCTATACAGTAGATGGTTATATGAGCTAAAAAAGTCGATTAAGAACGAAAGATTAGATTATGGTGTATGTTGTAAGGAAGAGATGATAGTTAACGACAACATATACATGCGTCATAGTCTCGGGTTGCACATGACGAGAGCTCGGGACCACCGGATTTGTTTTATTACAGTATGGTCATTCTGATACCATTGGGGGCCATTTAGGCGGTTACAGGAGGAATGCACCAGTAATAACCGGTAATTATGCGTAATCCAGCGTAATACCGCAGAAAAGGCTACCTCAGCAGCGGGGAGCAAGGCGGTCGCTCAGTCGGCAGCCAGTCAATCTCCTACAAAACTGCCCCATCCGCCCTTTTTCCTCGCCTTTCTTCCCTCTGCCTCTTCTCGTTGGTTGCCCGCCCTCTCCAGTTCATCCTCCAATCGCACAGTATCATCTCCCCCCTTTTTACATCATTATTGGTGAAACCCTGCCTTGCATACGGTCATTCCTTCTCTATTGGTGATACCAATCAAACTGGGGTAAGTCGTATACAATTCTGCTTGCAATCACTACACCACAACAGTACTGCAATTGTATGCTTTTTGCTCTCTTTATTGCTATTGCTTTTCTTTGTTTGAATCCGATATCTTTCATCTGGCAATTCGCCTTGGGTAAACACATGTCACAATTCACTTGGATTTCTGTTGTATTCCCATTTTACTTGTTTTGCCCATTTGACCTGGAACTACAATTGTATCCCTATATACATCTTGTACTGCTTGAACGCTGCGCTTGTACTGCCTGACTGCCTGACTGCCTTGCTGCCTGACTGCTTTACTGCCGGTACTTGTATACTTGCGGAACTGCCCGGCTTGACATCAGTGGCTCCGGTTACGCACAGAACCACCGCCTTCTCTCTCGTTGGCACGATCCCTCGATCTCCCCCCTCTCCCCTCCGCTGGTCAAATCATCTTCTACCCTGGGATCCCTTGATTGCCTGGGATTGGAAAGTCACCTTAACCCCCGGAGATTATCCTTTCTATCCTTTCTGTCGTGCCTATTAAGGTAATCGCTAAGCTCCAATCCCACGTTGCGCGCTCTTTTGGTTATCTCGTGTCAAAACAACGCGTGCTTAACCAAAACACTGCAATTCTACCTTGCTATTCCCTCATTGGCTCCTCTCATTTTACCTATGCGCGCGATCGCGTTTCATGTTTCTTTTTGTCCAATCTGCACGCGTCCCTATCATTTACATCTTCCCTCGTGGGTACCCAGTTGCATCTGACATGGCATATAGTCGCGCAAAGTGATTCGTTCCTTGGCTTTGGCCAGTTTTTAACTATACCCTCAAATCGTCACTTTGTCTGCGCTGCAGAACCCGATCGACCAGGTAGGCTCCCAGCTGCAGCTCAACATCCACCTTGCCAACGCATACATGTCTCCCCTCTCAGCCCTGACCGGTCTAACCCGCCCCGGATTCCCAAATCCCCTCCACTTGAACTCTGTATTGACAGCGCATTGGTCATTGACTTTGCGCGATCATTGGCTAGGATGTTAAAATGCTAATTCTAGCCCATAGTGTTCGTGCGTGGAGCCTGAGAGGCGCATTCTGACACCAACACCCAAGCCTTATCTGTCGCAGGTCGAGGCTGTTAGCACCGCCCGAATCTACGCTGGACGTGGCAGAGAAAGTCTCAGAGTTGCGTGAATGAGGTAGCCTGCCGACCGTGCTTGGTATATACTGCGTAGTCTCCACACCAACCTGCCCATCGCCAGGGCTGTTCTGACTTGACAACGCATCAAGCCGACATATAGTTGAGGCACCCCCCGGCACCGCTGCATCACAGCCCAACCACGTTACACCCGACAGTGGGCGTAACAATCTTGCACAAAAGAGTCAAAACCCTCCACAAGCAGTTCGGGATTATTCTCGACAAGAGGTTGACCAAAGAGCTTCTGTTACGAAAACACAGTATTATATAGGTTGTTCAGAACGCGCGGGCAGTTTTGAGGTACGTGCTTGGTTCCGTTGTGTTCTTTTGGATCCATACCCCCACCCGCCAATCCAGTGACCTCTCGGCGATGCGCTCTGCTGACGCGACTCCCCGAGCCTGCAGACTATTCGTCGAATCATCAGCCGTCTACCCCAGCACCTGTGTTGACTCTTGTCCCTCATTGCGCGCTCTTGCGATATCGGTTTATTACATCTACCAAACAGACGTCGTCATCAACTTTTGACATATTTTGAGCTACCACCACAAAGCAATCCTTTGGTTTGATTGGTGCTCTCCATATAAAGTCGCCACTTTCAGATCGATCCACTCAATCGGCGTGTGACAAGATCCACTATCACACTCGCCAGTATGGAATACCCTCCCCAATATCAACAGGCCCACGGGCAACATCCACATGCTCCCTCTCACATCCCTGGTCCTTACCAAACCGGGCCACCAAATGCCGGTCCTCCTGTTGGGTCGATGGCCTCACCCTCCAACGCCCAGGCACCCATCCAATCTCACTCAAACCATCAGTCCTCTCTTATCGTTCCGTCGCAACCTCATTACCAACAAGCACAGAATGGACCCGGAGGTGTTCACCAACAAATGAATTTTCCCCAAAGCTATGGTGTCCCCACGCCCATGGGTCAGGGTTACGGCATCTCGCCGACGCAGGCTGCTGCGATGGCCACTGCAGCTGCGTCTGGGCAATTCTACCCCCTCCACCAGGATTCCATGGCCGGCCAGATTCCCCAGGGTTCCAGAGCCTCGCCGCGCATGGCGAGCATGCAGATGAAGGACCGTGACCCTCGATCGCCCCCCCAGATGCAAAACCAGATGCCCCCGATGGGATCGCAGGTTCAGATGCAAAACCAGCAACTTTCCCAACGTCGCATGAGTCATGTCGGTAGCCCCAATGTCCAGACTGCGCAGCCCGTTATGAGCCACGTCGGCCGGGCCCCCATCGCCGCCCCACTTCCCCAGGCTCCCGTACAACAAAGCCAGCCCTCACCCGACATGGTACCCGGCGGCAACCAAGAAGAGTCGCCACTGTACGTAAACGCCAAGCAGTTCCATAGAATCTTGAAGCGTCGCGTAGCGCGACAAAAGCTGGAGGAGCAGCTGCGTTTGACATCAAAGGGTCGTAAGCCTTATCTGCACGAGTCCCGACACAATCACGCCATGCGAAGACCGCGTGGACCCGGTGGACGTTTCCTGACTGCAGATGAAGTGGCCGCTATGGAGAAACGAGAAGAGGTAACGGGTCAGCCTGTCACCTTCGAGGATCTCAGCAAGCCATTGCCAACCGAGAATGGTGGGCAGAAGCGCAAGTCAAGTGAAGCTCACGGCGAAGGCTCGAATTCTTCTAAGAAAACGAAGGTTAACGCCAGCGCTGATGGAAGCGAAGGGGATTCTGCTGAGCCCTCAGATGAGGACGGCTAGTCGCCCCCATTTTCATTGTCTTCACCCACAAGACTGAACCATACAGCTTGCTGAGGGGACTTGCGGGTATTGAATTTCCTTTGTTTTTCTTTTGTCGTGACGGCTTTATGGATGGATGTCTTGGACCTTTTCTCTAGCGAGCGATGTGTATGGATCCCTTTCTATGCTCTATGCCCCATTTGATGTGCTTTGTGATATGCTCTCTTCTCATGTGTTTTCGCTTGATGTTTTTTTTTCAATCTATCTTACCCCCATTTGCCCCTGATGTCTGTTTATATTCGCTATGCCGGGACGATTCATTTCTTTCTCATTCCCCCTCTTGCCTATCTTATCATCGATCCTCTTCCTCAACGGTAACTTCCTTCGTGGGAGATACCTTGTACAAGAATGACCGTTTCAAGCATCTACACTTTCACTTGTTGAGAGTGATATGTGAGACTGGAGAGATAGCATGCTCTGCTTTACTCTGCTGGAAATTGTGTCGCCCGCTGGCCCTTGTATTACATGTATGGTCTTCAAGGGCAGTACATGATTGTGCATATGCCGCCTCATAATATTCGGCAGTTAGCAATTGGCTAAATATTCGACCTTCACCCGAATGTGCTATCTCCACCTTTCCGTCCCCATGCTGATATCCACTTTCGTGTTTCTATTATGAATATTCTTCTGGCTACTTTTTTCATTTTATTTTCCTATGACATCCCCGTTTCCTACTTTGCTTCTTTTCTTCTCCGGTGTCTCGTGTTGCGGGTTTATGGGTCTTCGGCTGGGAATTTTAGAGGGTCTCCATCACTGGAAAAACAGATCGGAATATCGGTTTTCGAAAGACTGGTTTGTTATGAATATCACTCGACTGATAGTGTTGATGTTTTGTTTTATTTTCTTTTTCCTTTGGGTTCTTTCGTGGTTCGGTTAGGATTTGGCAGGAACTTGCAGGGCAAGGGTGGGCAGGGGTGGAAATTGGATTGTAGATTTGGAACTATGAATATATTTGCAGATATTGACACTTATTGTCTTGTCTTGTCTTTGTCTGTATCGGTAATCCTTGGGGTTTCTGTTTTGTAACATTCGTGTTTCTCTGTCGCAATAAGGAGAAATCATGGTGATAGCAAGCTATGAACGTACACGTAGTCTGTTTTGAAAGAGTTCCTTCTACCTTTCCATTTCATTGACGAAGCTAAGAGCTATAGTTAATTAGTTATGAGATATAGTCGAACAGCAATGGACATCAATAATAAGTCTGTAGTCTAAAAGCCTCTAGTTAATGGTTTACCTCTACAGAGTCTGTCAGTCATATTTACTCTCGTCTTCTACAGATCTGATCTATAGTACTCTCACTTCATTCTCACTTCACCATATTTTTATCATTAACCTGTGAGTTCAGTGAATCTTACATAACCTCTATTAGATACTAGTGGCACTTTTGATTCAAAGACTCCCCAGTCTAAAATCCCTAAGGTCTACTCGTCCGCATGACCATCTTTACTCTCGTCCTCCACGGCTGCCATCTCACTATTCTGATCTTCTTTCTCATCTTATACGCAATTGATGAAGAAGACAAAGGTGCAACCATTCCGCGGCTTTCTCTTTGGTGAAGCCAGCAACACCGCTTACACCTCAAACACGATGAGCAGGACACGCACACACGTACGACATTGTCTTCCGTTACGCACAGATAGACTTGATCATGCCTACACAAAGGACTCCATCAACCTCACGCAACTGTCAAATATCACGAGCTTCCACCCAAGAGGTAGGCACCACCGCCATATATCTCTCACTCACCCATATCTCTCTCAATTCTCTCCCGAGAAGAGGTGGTCAAGGCTCTCGACCTCAAGCACGAGGCAACTACGAACTTCAACATGTCCAGCCAGTACCTATCTATGGAACTTCCATCTCCTCCTCCTGAACGCGCACGGGATCGCTGGCCCCTATGCACAACTTATTAACGTCTAAGCGAAAGGCCATATAGACATGGCCCGGTAGAATTAAATGGTGAGAAGGCCATCCCATCCACCCGCTCGTCTTGATTACGGAGTACGGAATGAACGACGAGGCAAAGAAGACAGATATCGGTGCCGGCGCCGCCTAGTTCCTGGAATATGTGGGTGAGTATACGCGCACATCGGTGAGCATACAAAATACTATGCTAATCGGAATATGGGTGTTTTCCAGCTTGTCGCGCAGTCTCAGCACAGGATCCCACCGAATTTCGAGCTAGAACCAACTACTCCTCGAAGATGGATCGCGCACAGGCTCTACTTTAACCAATTGAGACTGCCGTCAGAAATAAATGACCTTCAGTCGGAAATCGCTATCACGATAAGTGAAGTAGCAGCTGAGCTGCCGCCTATATGGACATCGCGCTGGAAGAGCAAATCATCAACGAAACTCTACCACGCCTCCTCATGATCCATCTCTCCGAGATGCACTATGCCTGGTCTCCATTACGCTCGCCATTCAACAAAGCATCCTTTGGCAACATGGTTATACTCACAGACGGCTGTCTAGAGACAGGGGCATTCCCAGAGAAGTTTGCCATCATTGAAGTGAAAGCATTGTCTCGAGGTCGTGATAAGAAGCCTGAACTTCTGTGGCAGGAAATTGCCGAAATGGTTACATGAACAAAATTCCCGGCGCACCCGCCGTAAGTTTCTTAGGGATAAGCTACTTAAGGGCTACATTTTAATTAAGATCATGGACATGATTATCTTCCAAGATATCCATCATGCTCACGACATCGGACAGTACCTGCGAGGTACACTCCCAACTCCTACCTCACCTCTGCATTTCTACTACCAACGCGAAGGCCAGTGAAATCGTGCACGTTCTAGCTCCTGCCTCCCAATTCAACCTTACCTTAGTCAGAATTACCTATCTCTCTCTTCTCGTCTGGGCACACATCGTAGTGCTCAACAGGTTATAAGCCCATGCTTTTCGAGCAATTTTCAAAAATAAGAGGCAGTTAAAATATCAATTAAGATTTCTTGAAATCCACGCAGAGAAAGTCGTGATGACAGAATTTTCAACTTTCATCACATCACATCTAAGAACGGTAGCTCTTTAGTTCTCACTGATAGGGATGGTTCCAACCGTTACTTATTTTTTACATGGGCTACTCATTCTAGATAACATAAGTCATCTGCGGGTCTTGATCGGAGAAAAGTTGGACGACGAGCAAGACAAGTTGAGATGCTTATTTAGCCCCAAAATATCAACTCCGTTCATATTGATTCATAGCACATTTCAGCTAATATGTACATCATTCAGTTTGCAGTGATCAACAAAGGTGTGACATGTCTTTTCTTCGCCAAATGAAAGCAAGAATGTCCAAGGACTGCAGCGATGTCCAACAAAGTTTCTAGCTGGGGAACCTTCGAACCGCCCACTAGCGAGTGCAATTGTTGAGGTACACCGATAACAGGATTTGGGTGACTCAAGACCATGATCGAGCCATTTTGCAGTGCTAACAGGGGTGTGCATAGCAATGAGAGCATGCACCTGGTTATCGAACCATGGATTTGACACTGGCTACACATCAAGCACAGGCCATAAAATCTGCAGTTGGCCAACTCTCATACGGCTTCCCAATCCATAGCATCGACCATGAACCCCCAGTCCGCCTCGGTGTTTGCTCCCTCTCCAGTGCCCTCCTCCGGGCGGATGCACTTATCGACATGCTCTTTTGCCCGAACATATGATTCTTCTAATCCACCAAAAATATCAGAGATGATACCTTCGAAGTCAAAGCTCGCGAGTGTCATGACGTCCTTTCTTTCACCCTGCTTTTCTCTTTCTTCCAAGGTCAGATCAGCTGTTTTCCACCTATTACGCAGTTCCTTGGCCTTTTGCAATTGCAAATAAACAGAGCCACCGCCAAGAACTGGGGAGAGTGGGGTTGACTGTTCCCGCAAGGCTTCTAGCACATTGGCGTGGTATCGATGAATACCAACAGGCCGACCGACGCCGTTCCCATTATCTGGTGGTCCCCGAGGCGAGGATGTAACCGATATATTGAATACCGCCAGTAAGTGGACAATAGCACGTTCAAGCAGAGCATAATATTCATGAAAATCGATCTTGAACATTATTTCAGCGTGCGCGACATCGTCTGCGGATACGACATCGCTTATTTCCAGTGTCGCAAGGCGGTATCCCTCAGCTAAAAATGGAAGTTTCCATCGCAGCCTGGCGACGATTTTCATAAATCGAGCCAATTCTTCGGCTGGCGGCAGCAAACGGCCGTCTTGGGATGTGATAGTCGTCGGACGGACGCTGCTATGACCGCCGGGATTAGAGTTGTTGGAGGACCAGTACCGGGGCGCATTTTGACTCGCCGGGTATGTTTTGTTTCCCCCATCCACGGGTGCCCAGCGAGAGTTGAAGAGACCGGACATGGTCGTTCGATCGGAGGTCAAAATGTGGCGTGTTATGCTGGTGCGATTTGGCGATCGCGGTGGTCTCGGTCAGCCAATCAGCGGTGAGCATGGCCCTACTAGTATCAAATATTCCAAGGTTATGCTTGTAAAAGACCTGTGGGGACATCGTGAGTTGAGCTGTCATAACGAGTTTTTTCTTCTTCTTGCCTGAATTTGTGTCATCTGTCAAGATTGAGGGCGATATATATGTACCTATACATATGGTATGCATTACCGCATTATATCTCGTTCTTCTTGAGTCGTAAGAAGACTGATGTAGCATGTGATAGAGTATAGTACGTCCCGAAATTGGTGCAACAGCTCCATACCCTACTACAGTGGGAAGTTCCGTATGTTAACAATCAATCACAAGTGGCCGAACCAAGATGGCGCCAAAACCTAGCCTCTGCAAAGCATGAACTTATCTATGATATGATCCTCAGTGGGGAACTATCTATATCGCAGATGGCACAGACTGCTACAAGAGTATCATCCTGAGAATCTTTTCCAATATACGAATGTTTGGCAGCATTAAAGCACCACGTATTAAATGTGGACGCCCTTGTAGTATCACTCTAGTCATGCTCGAGGCTTTGTGCGATCGCCTGCTTGAAAAACCCACGATATACGCTGAGGCATGCATTCAGGCGTTAGGAATGTCTCCCCCCACCCCCTTTCCCTTGCCACGCACTCTATCTATATTTCTTCGAATCCCCCTGACGGCGATACAAAAGGTGGTTTCTGCTTATACCGAAATTTTGAGGTACCATCCTCATGGCGATCCCCCATTCCCACTCTTCTGCGTTCCGTGCGCAGCCAATGATATCTAATTTTTTTTGCTAGTGGAGCCTCAGCATAATTTTTCGAAATAATTGCGGATTATGTTGCGCCCGCAGATGCCAAGTGATTCCAGCTCGAGGAGGAGCAATCGTAATAAGAACCGATGCCCCGGATCCAAGTATACGGGTCACTCTGCCAGAGCCGGCCAATAGTCGGCCTTGCCTTTGTGGAGTCTGTCGGCAATCAAGAATAACGACCTGTGAAATCATGCTTTTCCAGTCTCGACTCAACTCCTCTCCCATCTTGTACGTACTTATACGTTCCTCTCTCAGCCCTTTTCCACTTGCATCAAGTGAAATATGGCCTTGTTGGCTGCTCGCAGGCCGGATCTTCCCCTGCCATCTCGAGCAGAGCGAGATCGCATCCGAGAATTATCCAAGTGCGTCTTTGATCTCATTCTATGCGATCTAATTTTCTGCCGAAGGAGTCTTGAGCACCCTTATTACTGACATAGTCTCCAGATACTATTGCACTTTCAGAAATTTCGATGTGAACAATCCGTCGCCTACCCCAGCTGCACCGGTGGATGACGAGCAGCCCGATACCGCATACCTCTCCCCCGATATTACTCTGAATGCTCTAGGTCAACTAGGCGTCTATAGATTTGGGTGCGATCGGTCATTCATCTCCATTATTGATGGCCAAAGTCAACACATCCTCGCCGAAACGACAGCGTCCATATCCTTGCGACATAAAGATCAGCATTTACCAAATAATGGCATATATCTAGGGTTCAGGACTTTGAACCTTGAATGGGGGGTGTGCCCTCACACAATCAAGTTATTCACGGCCCAGGACATTTCGTTGGAACTTAACACGCCCAACATAACCGCGGACCGCACCCGCTACATTATCCGAAATTTTGCAGCCGAAGAGTGTTTCAAGAATCGCCCCTACGTGGTTGACTGGCCTCATATGCGATTTTATGCAGAAGTACCTCTGTTTAGCGCCTCGGGGCATGTGCTCGGTTCATACTGCGTAGTGGACGACAAGCCTCGTGACGTATTCGGGGATCACGAGGTTGCTTTATTGCAAGAAATTGCGGATGCTATTGCCCATCATCTTGAAAACGCCCGGATTGTGCATTTTCACCGCCGAGCAGAGAAATTAGTCAAAGGAGTGGCTGATTTTGTCACTGACCATCCAAACCCCGATGCTGAGCTGAAGAAACCAAGTGCCACATTTTCGGGTCTACCTCTTCATACTCAGTCGGCTAACGACGGTGAGAGCGGCTTGTCTCCTTCAATGCACGCAGCCAGAGTTCTGGAGTCAACGACAATCGCCGAAGAGATATCAGCACTGTCATTTTCCACAGAAAGGTCCGATCAGACACGAATCACCTCCGTTCCTTCCAGCTTCGAAGGACAAATAGCGGCGATGACTCCACTGAATGAAAACCACACCACGCGTGATAGAGTTGGTTCTCATTTCCGCACTTCGCGGATAAAGCCCGGAGTAGCCATTTCTCAAAGCATTGCTTCAATCTTCTCCCATGCTAGTGCTATCCTCAGGGATTCCATGGACCTTGCTGGGGTAATGTTTTTGGATGCTTACCAAAGTAACTCTGGAGTGTTGGTACCATCCACCCTTTGCTTCGTGAACGAAACATCTGACGATTACGGCGCCTCATCAATAGAAAACCCTTTCAACATAACGGGAGGTCATCAGAAGTATCGGAATCATTGTGCGAGAGTTTTGGACATGCACTTGGAATATCAGAACATAGGTCACCTGATGACTCCGGAGTCGCCGTTACGGAGAAACTCTTGAGAATAATGATTGATGCATATCCTGAAGGTCAAATATTCAATATGAGCGATCAATTTGAGGATAACGAGCCCGCAGAGTTGGAGGCTTCTAATGACATTACTCAAACTTTAGCGGCACAGTTCCCAGATGCAGACTCGGTCCTTTTTCTTCCATTATGGGATTGGAACAAATCACGCTGGCTGGCCGGGACCCTAGTTTGGACGAAACTACCCCAGCGTGCCTTAGGTTCGGAAGAGCTCGGATTTTTCAAGGCATTCGGGAATTCAATAATTTCAGAAGTTGCCCGCGTCAACTGGGATGCCATCGAGAAGTCGAAATCTGATTTCATCTCCTCCATCAGTCATGAGCTTCGTTCGCCACTCCACGGAGTTCTTGGTAATACTGAGCTGCTACGAGCGACTGCCCTTGAGCCGGTCCAGGTAGATATGGTCAAGTTGATCGAATCGTGCGGTCTAACGCTGTTAGATGTTTTGGACCATCTGTAAGTTTTGTTCAGTTTCACGCATTATCTCCTGCTGATCTATCATTACTTCTAGACTAGACTTCACCAAGATCAATAGTATCCAAAGGGAGGATAGCTTGATGGCAGATATGACGACATTGATGACCGATGTGGACCTGGGCATCCTCATTGAGGACGTGACTGGAATTATGTATTCATCGCAGACTACCGGGGATAGGCAGAGCTTCCAGTCAAACGTTGAGGGCCTTTTGACCCCTGCAATCCCCTCTACAAATGCCAGGGACATGGAAAATCTCAGTGTCGTCATTCGGATCGAAGAGAAGACTCCATGGAAAGTGCGTACGGTAGCTGGTGCTTGGAGGAGAATTTTGATGAGTCTTGTTGGCAATTCCATGAAATGGACCCGGAAGGGCGTCATCGAAGTGTCCTTGTCAAATATCAGCCCTAATTCTGATTCCGAACCTGTGCTGGCTCACCTATCAGTAACGGACACGGGCCGTGGTATATCACCGGAGTATTTAAGACACTCGGTGTTCTCTCCCTTTTCTCAGGAAGAATCATTATCAGAGGGCATTGGCCTGGGCCTCAGTCTTGTGCACAAGCTCGTCACCTTCCTGGGCGGTCACATTGACGTGGAGAGCGAAATGGGTATGGGGACACAAATCGATATCTACATCCCGGTTCAATCCTTGACCGCGGAGAGTTCTGAATCGTTAGACCCGTACAGCAAACCGGCCGTCCCAATTCCGCCCACTCGAGTATGTCTAATCGGCTTCGAGGGCTATCCCGACCTTCAGGAGACACCCACTGGCATTCAAAGCACAGAGTCAAAACGTAAACTATCGATTCAAAAGGCCGTCGGCGAGGTGTTGTTAGCCCAACCGAACTTGAGTGTTTCATTTTCAGAGTCAGTCGAAAACGCCCAAGGCGATTTTGCAGTTATCGAGGAAGCAAAACTACTGCAGACGCTGCAGGACGGTTCTTTGTTCTCAGTTCAAACAAGGTTCAAGTCTTTCTTGGTGCTGGGTGAGAAGCTTTCAATTGCGGAGGGCAATTTCAAGGCGAATCTTGTTCGCGTCTCTCAGCCGTGCGTACTAGGATCATTCTCACAAATGCCTTGCTAATTTGCTAATTTGGAATAGATATGGCCCCCAAAAACTACGAAAGGCTGTCAACTCAATATTGGCTGATTTAGAGCTATCTGAGACCCATCAAGATCCTTATCCCAAATGTGATACGGCGTTTGTGCAGGAGGCTCTGCAATCAAACGACCATGACGCTCGCAGAAATACTCGGCCCAAATCTGGAATGTCTAACACAGCTGCACAGACCCCCGCGCCAACTCTTCCTGTTACCTTGGAGCCACCGATCACCGATGACGGAGCGCACGTTCTTATTGTAGATGACAATGATATTAATTTAAAGGTACAGTGGCATAGTCCCTGCCAATCCCTTAGGTGTGCTAACAGGCTCTTTTGCAGATCCTTACTACCTTTGTTCAAAAACTAGGCTGCAGCTACGAATCAGCTACGAATGGGTTGATTGCGCTTGGCAGATACAAAGAGTCCAAGCAACGCATAAACTACGTTCTGATGGGTTGGTTTATCTCACCTCAGTCTTGAAAATATCCTCTGACCTGATTTGTCAGATCTCTCCATGCCGGTAATGGATGGCCTCACCGCCACGACAAAGATTCGAGAGTATGAAAAAGAGAACAACATCCCGGAAGCTTGCATCATGGCCGTCACCGGAGTCGCTTCCGCTGAGATGCAACAACAAGCGCAATTGGCAGGGATCGATGATTATGTGGTAAAACCAGTGTCTCTTCAGACTCTGAGAAAAATGATGAACATCTCATGAAGATACAGTACAAGGCGTCAAGAAGAGAGGACTGTGGTTGACAGGCTGGGTATGATGATAAGCAGGTTCATGAGTAGTCTGCAGATACATTAATCAAGTAATGCAAGTCACTATTTGCAGGGTCTGGTGTCGAGTAAGCCTCCCATACCATCACTTAGACATGAGCACGAGTGATAGGTCGCCAGATGCTCGAGGCACTCTCAAGCTCTGGTGTTTGCCTTGTTTGCATTTCCATGGAAAATTCTAGTTCCCTTGAATTGCCAATATAGTTACGCGACGAGACACCGTATTTTAATAGAAGTAAATCACTCAAAGAGTGTAGGCAGTTGCATGTACGGAGTATTGAATATATACAAGTGAATACACATTTGGAAATACTAGGTAATCTACGTAAGTAACAATACATGTCCAACTGACAGGGGTACTGTATGACACCCAAACTTCCTATGCACTATTTTCTCTGTCAAAAGGTTTATATCGAAAGGTTATGTAATTATGGTAGGTATGTGAAGAGGAAAAGTTGACCCCAAGTGAAACTGTTTTTCTTTGTTGCTCTGGCACTCCAATAAGAATATTCTTCTAAGATTGCGTAATCTGGGCTTCGTTCTATACTTACTTAGCCTTCCTATAAGTAATATCAGCCTTGTAGTGACTATAACGAGAAGACCTAGTCATTTTATTATATTGTCATTGCAATTGGATCCTTTAGATATATACAGCGCCCTGTATACAATATATGGACATACATATTCACAAAAGCCGAAAAGAATGTTCCATATTTCAATTACTCCGTAGCCCCGGGATCTATGCATGGATGTATCACTTCGTTTGTCGGCGCTAGTCATGTAGTCAAGCGAAAGGTGACCTGGCGACCTGGCGACCAACATGAATGATCAGGGGCTCAGAAAACCGAACAGGTTGATAGGCCCTTCAGTGAGACAAGTATTACACCACTGAAGCAGATTCCCATGAAGTAAATTACTAACAACAGTCAAGTTGCCGGCCTCCTGACTGTTCTAGAGTTGTACTTCATTCATATGTGGCGGCCTTAGCGTGGCTAATCTGTGCTCACTTTTTTTCCAACTTAACCAATTTTCCTTTCCCTCCCTCTTCTCATTTTATTCTTAACTTGCAAATTCCACTCAACTTGTCGCCAAGTTAGGGCAGGCAATTGTCATCTGGCCTTGTTCCTGAGGACCCGCCAATCAGCGGATGTCAGTGATCCCCGTGACGCCATACCCTTTTCGGCTAAGCGCCCAAGCTTGCTCCAGCTTCGTCCGCCTTCTCGGTTTCTTCCCTTTATCACCAACTGTCACGTTATCGCTCGAGGCTTCTTGTAGGTGGCCCTCTTCTTTCTCCAATCGGATTCTGTTCATTCTTTGGCTTTGTCCCTTGCCCTTTCTCTTTCTATCAGCCTCCGCTCCTCTGACCCTGATTTTCCATTCCCCTGCTTCATCTTCTTTTCTTCCTTTCTAAGCCGTGGCGCCAGCTGCGCATTGCTGGATTCTGTGGGCTATGACTCCTTATATGCATAACAGCATTGGCTCTGGCCAACAGCCTTCTTCATAATCTCTCTTTGCTATCCGAAACCACCTGCTGCAAACATGTTCCAACCCCTGCCAAGTTCCGGGGTTGACATGTCGCCAGCAGCAGTGTGTTCTTGTCTCTTTATTTTCCCTGACCCCTGCCTCTGTTATCCCTCGTGAACTTCCCAGTCGCCACCATCGCTATTTCGCTCTATGAAGTTGCTTGGTCTGTTGTTGACGATACCAAATCTTAGCTCACCCTACGGTCCCGACTCCCTTATCGATCAAGGCAAACTGTTCCGTTTGTTCTTTATCCACCTGGGCTGAGTCCTTGGGTCTATCGATACCTTGATCGCAACGAAGGCGATACAAGATCCCTATCCGGAAGGTTGAGAACGATGGACTCCTACGATGGTTATGGATCTCCCGGGAGGAATCGTGAGTCGGATTCTTTTACGGGACGAGCCACGGGGGAATCATACAGACGTCGGTCGCCCGGTAAGTCTATCATTGAGAATTGGAGAGAGGAGGGCGAAATTAACTCTTGACTAGCCTCTCAAGATCGGCGACGTGCACGGCCGCGCTCCCGCTCGCCCGTGATTGACCGGTACGAGCCTTCGGAGCGTCGTTCTCACCGCGAGGACTTCTACAACAATTCTCGGGAGCATGCTGCCCGAGAGCGCGAGGACCGCCGACGTGCCCCGTCGCCAACTGTGGCCAACATCGACCGATATGTGCCCGGACAAGACAGCAGTAGTGGTGGCAAGCGTCCTATTCCGACCAACCCGATGCCCAATCCTCTTACACTGGATTTCCAAGTCGGATTCAATTGGTTTGCCGAGTGGTGGAGATTGGAGGAATCTGTGAATGAGGAGAAGGAGCGCGCCAAAAACGGCGGTCGTCGAGTCAAGGGAGAGCGCGAGGCGCGCGAAGATCGGGAGAAGGAACGTGCGCAAATCCAGGCAGCTTATGATACATACAAGGTTGATCTGCAAATTCGACTGGCCAGGCTGTTCGTCCAGCAGCACCGTAACGAGGAGTGGTTCAAAGAACGATATCTTCCTGAAGTCAGAGATCCTCTTCGCGCCCGTCTCATGACGGTTCGACAAGGTGCATATGAACAGTGGGAGCATGATATTGAAAATAACCTTTTCAAGGACTTTACCCTTGAAGGCATATACAAGAGCGATAGCGACGGTGCCGGTGGTGTGGTTGAAAAGGAGGAAGGCGAGACTACGGCTACCGCTGAGACCATGGGAGTGCTTGACCTACTTCCAGTCCGTGGCGGAGACCTTCGTGACGAAGCTCTTGCACAGCCTGCGCTCCTTATAAAAACCCTCGCACCCAACGTCAGCCGCAGCAAGATCGAGGAGTTTTGTAAGGAGCATCTCGGCGAGGAAGATGGAGGTTTCAAGGGGCTGAGCCTCAGCGACCCGAACCCATCTAAAAAATTCCATCGCATGGGATGGATCATGTTGCATCCTTCCGCAAACACCACAGTGGAGCGAGGGGATGGACGCGATGAAGAGTTCGAAAATATGGATCAAGATGGAGGTGCGAACGGTGGTGTCACAATCAGCCCGGCTGAGAAAGCTCTCGAGGCTGTCAATGACAAGACCATCCATGATTCCGTCCATGGTGACTTTGTTTGCCATGTCGGGGTTCATGTCCCCCCTGCTCAGCCGCGCAAGAAGGCTCTCTGGGATCTGTTCTCCGCACCTGAGCGAATTGATCGTGATCTCGAGCTGGCCAAACGTTTAACTTCCAAACTGGATTCCGAAATGAACATCTCTGTGGATGGTTTCACCAAGATCGAAGAGTATGTTGACGACCTGCGCGGCAAAGGAGAGCTTCAGCCCCCTGCTACGGGACCAGTCAGTGTCAAGAAGCAGAGAAACGGATATGGCGATGAAGGGGACGAAGGGGAGATTGAGGAAGGTGAAGAGAAGGAAATTTCCGAAGAAGAAGATGTGGATGATGAGGAACTTGCAGTGAAGAAGAAGAAGCTAGACTTGGTTGTTGAATACCTACGTCGTGTCTACAACTTCTGCTTTTTCTGTGTCTTTGAAAGTGACTCAGTCCATGAACTCGGCCGCAAGTGCCCTGGTGGACACCTTCGCCGTCCGCGCACCGGACTTTCCACCCAGGCCAAGGAAGTGGCCCGAGCCAGCGCGCTCGGCCAGCCATTCCCGGCCAAGAAGAAGGAACCTAGTGAGGAAGGAGAAGATCCCTCCTCGCCTGTCCAGGAGAAGCGTGGACAGCGCCATGGTTCCAAATCTGAACAGCAACTGCAACGTGCCTTTAACTGGGTGAAGACGTTCGAAGACAAGTTACTGCAGATCCTGGAGCCAGAGAACGTCGATCTCAGCAAGCTCGGCGGCAAGCCCGTCGATCAGGCGCTTGAGGATGAACTTCTGAAATATATGAAGCAGGAGGACGACTCCAAGTACCGGTGCAAGGCGCCTGAATGTACCAAGCTTTTTAAGGCCGAGGCCTTCTGGCGCAAGCATGTCGAGAAGCGCCATACAGAGTGGTTCAATGGCATCAAGAACGATGTAAGTGTGCGATCATCCAACGATTATTCCCAGTATTAACAGTCATCATAGCTCGCCTTAGTGAATGCCTATGTCTTAGACCCAGCACGCATTGCCCCATCCCGATCCGATGCCAACAGCAACGGTCACTTCCCACTTGGCTCCGGCCAAGGTCATACCGGCACTCCCCGTGGATTCACCCTTGCCAGCATGCCCTACGCCCCCAATGGAAACATGCCTACCTTCCCTCCAATTCCCGGCATGATGGGTTCCGGCTGGAATGGAAATGCAATGGGACACGACGGTGGTCTTCACCAACCCGGACCCATGCGCCGCGGCCAGAACCGCAACAACCGACCCGGCCCGTACGACCGTCGCCGATTCAATGGAAACGGCCGACTGAGCCCTCCCCGCGGCATGCCAGGCATGTATGGTGGTCGCCTACCGCCTCCTGGTGTCAGCGTTCCAGCTGGCCACCCCGCAGCCAACATGGCCGCTGCCAACCCGTTCCCAGACTCAATGGGTTCCAGCGGAGGTCCCATGGCCCCGCGCGAAGCCGTCCAAGGCCGCAGCCTGAAGAGCTACGAGGATCTGGATGCAGTCGATGCCTCTGGCAGCGGCGAACTGCAGTACTAGTTCCATGCACTGATTTGATCACACTTTTCGTCATTATTTTTTTCTTTCCTCCAATTGGCGACCTGGCGCATCGGAGGGACCGTCGGAGACTCGCTGACTCCGACTTGCTCATTTATTGAATTCAATCATTTCCATTGATCTCTCCTCGCGAAAACATGGCTTTCACTTCTATCTCCTTGTTGTTTACTATCATCCTCGACGGAATTTCTTTTTCTTCTTCTTTTCAGCATGTACAATAACCCTTCTTCTATCAAAATATGAAATTGAAGATTCAAAATTTCAAATGATATTATCGCAATGCAAAGCTATGGGGGTATAATTTATAATTTCACAATTTCAACCAAATATCAACATGCCTTCCCATCCCCAAACCAAACAAACTACCCAAGGACCATATCCTAAGGCATCTGAATAACAACCTCCTCTCGTGCATCCCGCCACTGAACACCCATCCCTCGAACCCGTCGCTCACTTGCCAAGAAGAGCAACAGGTAGACGTGCATAGCGACCTCGCCCCACGCATAGACTTTAAGCGAGACGTGCGTGTTAGACGAGCGCGTTGACGGGGGCGTCGCAGCCTCAAGAATACACCAGACGCCCCAACCCGCACGGCCGTCCCTGCCTACGAAGTCCGAGAGGAAGGACCAGAAGGCGTGGAAGAGCGGGGAGGGCCAGGATCGTTTGTTTTCTTTTGGGTTTGAGTTTAACATTGCATTTGCATTTGGATTAGTGGTTCCATGCTTGGAGTTTGGGGATGGCACTAGAGGAAGATCGGCTGGATCTCGGTCTCGGTCTCGTTCGTGGGTTTGATCCTCGATGGCGAGCTGCACGAGCCAGTAGCCCCGTTCTAAGGGGTCGAGGGGGCGGGTTTGAGTGGATGGGTTGTAGATGCGTGCTGGGTTTAGGCGCTCTGTGAGCATGGATAGGGTTGGGGTTATGTGGGTAGTGAACGAGGCAGTGGAGATTGGGGGTCTTGGAGGGTGGATTTCGAGGGGGAGAGTGGATAGATTTATGGGATTAGGGGTTGTAGTGTTGGTCGACATGTGATGCGAGGGTGTGGAAGGGCCCTCAACTGAACCTAGGCTGGATATTGGGACCTGGTTCTGGATGGAGATCACTCTGTGATGTGCAGCGGGCTGGTCCGTTGCAGGAGAGTCTGAAATTAAAACCGGTTGAGCCGGATCAGGGGAGGCCGGGGCTATGCGACGTCTTTTGGGGGGTGGAGCACGCTGCGGTTGAGGCGATAGTTCTGCACGAGATTGCTCGGCGTGGACTAGCTCGTCGGCGATCTCGGGTTGGGAGTCTGGAATGACGCTGATAAGACTCTCTAAGGAGCTTAATTGATTTGAGATGATGTTACGTGGAGCCGCGCCATCCGTCTCAGGAATCAAGCGTTGATCCGAGGGTAAGGTCGTGTCTGCGGGCCGGAACGCCTCCCGCAATATTGGCGAGGCCTCGTGTTGAGTCGTCGGGGGCACTGAAGAATGCACGGCGGCACCAGCGGAGAATGGATGCGCGCTGTCTCTATCATTGGAAAAAGACTTGCTCATCTGCATCAGCGGTTGGCGCGTAGCACACTGGAATTCTAGGATGGCGGCGACTTGCGCCCTATAGCGCGCGTCATCTTGTGCGGTGCTTGCGGCGGCGATGTGCACTAGAATCTGCGAGTCCGGGAGCTGGATCATTATTCCGTTTCTAATGCGCGCATTATTGTATTCGATGTGCACTAGTGGGAATAGGGCAGATGCCCAGGGATCGTATTATTTGTCAGTGCTGGGAATGTTCGCGATCTCGATAATCTCGATAATCTCAGCATGGGAGACTATTGGATGTGCCTGGAGGTCTCCAAGCCTATTGGCCGGATGATTGGTCAGCCCAGTTGACTGATCACACTGACTTCGCACGTACCTGGTACTTCATAAGTACTTGGTATGTAGTGCTATAACACACGTATAAGGACGTACCGACTATGTATCATTTCTTCTCATGACTCTAGTAACGCATCGAGTGTGTAAAGTGTCGAGTATTTTGCCTCTGTCGTGTCTGTCGTATCTTTTCCTGTCGATTCCTGTCAACTGATACGACGTTAGACCCCGTTCAGCCAATCTCTGCCAGTTCTAGATCTGTCAACGAAAAGAGTCGGGTCCCACGGCCGTTTGATTATAGCGCAGTGGGCCCTAAGACAGATCGAACGCCTTTTTTTTTGATTTTAATTTGCGTAAAATCCGTTAATAAGAAACATAAGAGAAAAGGAATTATCAAACAATTAAATAAAGTAAAATAAAAAAGGAGTTGTACAAAAATCGGCCGTCCACTTTCTTTTCCTTATATTATACTCTCCAGACTCCAGACACGGGACTTCATACCTTCTCGACTCATTTTCACACTTAACCTTCTCCCTTGCCTCTCCCTTCCCCGCGAAAACTCTTATAATGGCTGTCAGTGGTGGGGTTTACCCTATGGATCATGCAATGGGCTATCCTGGTGAGTGCTACATTTCCTTTTGGTCTGCTGGCGGTGGTTCGCGATCGGGGGGTATCCAGCACCTCTACAACGTACAAATCGCCACATAAGCTGGAATGCACGGGTCCAATTGATTTCGCTGGTCCCTCCGCAGTCTGCAAGCAGTCTGCAAACTGGTAAACCTGGTAAAGCTGGTGAAGGCTGGGGTCGAGGAATTGCAGCGGGTTTCCCCGGTTCTCGCCACCTAAGCTATCCAGAGCTGACCCTCCCCGACCACCCTGAGCTTTTCCGGACCGGAAGCAAATATCCACTGTTTATGGCATTCCCACGGTAGTTGCTGATATTATGGCGCCCATGCTCCTCCGGCTCGGCCCACGGCCCCGGAGTGCACGGTGCAGGACATGGTAGAAGAACCGCAGACCCCATCGAACAAAGGCTTCGGTGCCGAAATATTTAAGATCTTCGGAGGAGGCGGCAGTGGCAGCGCCACAAGTGGTACCGGGCCGAAGAAGACCACGCGAGGTGAGTGATCCCAGCCAGTCGGTCGGACCACGACTAAGCCTTTGCAGATGGCCAGCAGCCCAAACGTCGCGGCCCCAAGCCGGATAGTAAGCCTGCACTCACCAGGCGGCAGGAATTAAATCGTCAGGCCCAGAGGTACAAATCCTGCGGATTCGAGAACATCGGGCTGGACTGATCTATACAGGACACATCGCGAGCGAAAGGAACAATACATAAGAGCGCTGGAGACCGAAGTATCGCGGTTACGAGAGGCCTACACCACAGAGATCGCAGAGGCCAACGCATCAATTCAACAACATAAAGAGATGATGCATTCGATACGAGAGGAGAACGAAATCCTGAAGGAAATTCTCGCAGCGAGCGGAATCCAATACGAAGCGGATCTAGAGCGCCGCCGGGCGGAGCGCCCACCGATGATGTCCTTCCAATCCCCTGTTACTGTGGCTGGCAGCAGCAATGCGTCGCAGATTGCCCCTCTCGCCAACTCGACCAGCAACCCCAACACAACCCCTGCAACCACGATCTCATCCGACTTGAGCCCCCGCGCCAATGGCATGGATCACTCCTCGATCTCGCCCCCAATCGGATATGCGCCCCAACAGCAAGTGTACCACACGAGTGTAGGCGGGCATTCCATGAGCATGGATCATTCATCGTGCGCACCCGTCGATACTATGCAGCCCATGCCAGTTACGCGGGGAGGTGTCTTCGAAACCGACCCCCAGTTGCAGGTTGACTTTATCCTAACGTGAGGCCCATTCTCATCCAATAACAAACACGAGCTAACGAATACATCCTATAGACTCGAAGGTCCCTGTCGCGAACACACAGACTACCTCTGCCGGCGGTCGGTCACAGAAGCCGACGACGAAGACATGCCGTTTTCCGGACACGCCCTGATGGCAACGTGCCCACCGCCGAGCTACATTGCGAAAACGACACCCGAACAACCATACCCGCACAAGGCGCCGGACCTACCGCATGCAAACCTCAGCACACTCCTCAACCTCAGCCGACAGCTCGTGACAGAAGGACAGATCACGCCCATCATGGCGCTGCAGTGTCTCAAGAACCACGATCTGTACCCGACACTGCGGCGCGACGATATCAAGATCATTATCGACACGCTCAACACTAAGGTCCGCTGCTACGGCTTCGGTGCTGTGGTCGAGGACTTCGAGTTGATAGATTGTCTGAGCAGCGTGCTCGGCACCAAGGTCGATCTCAGCATGTCTGCGCCCGATGATTCGATGTATGGTTGAGCGGTCGGACGCAATGAAAATTATTATGATCTGATGTCTGGAGAATCTGTCTTTTTGTTTGTGTTGGCTACCGCCACGGAGTGACTCGGCGTCTTTGCTTGTTGCCTGCCTTTCGGTTTGATTGTGCTTGTGAACTATTTTATTTTGACTCTTACTATATTTAGTTCTTTCTCTTATTCTTTGTCTTCGACACTCCCGCTGGGAGGGTTGTATATAGGTGAGATCATCGGTACAGATGATATATAAATCGGAAATATCCTGCCTTTCTTCCTATCAGGTAGAGCAATGGATTATATTGCTTTGAATTTTGCTTCCAATACATCACTCTACTCTACTCTAATGACACTAAGTTTATATGATACTCAAATATCAGCAGACAACACCTTCTCGATAAGCGTATCCATATCCAAAAAGAGCATTATACCCGTAAACCCACGTCAGAAAATCCTCGGCGCGTAGAACCGCCAAAAGTCACCAGGAGGCACCCAAGACGTTCCTTGTGTTCCCCCGAGAAAGTTGTACAAAAGTCGTGTTACTCGACTATGGACATCACGGGCAACACATAAAGGAAGCATTACTAAAATGAATCATCCGCGTAACAGGCTTCTTGATCCGGGGACGTGCCAACCAAACGGTATCTTCTCCTTGCACAGATAATGGTTTAGTTATTGAGATAATAAAAGTCAAGTTTGTCTGGAAAAATGAAGTTTGTTGAATAGATTGTGGTTAGACTCTATAGTCAGAGTATAAAAGCATCAAATTTTAGGTCGAGTATGCACATTTAAGGAAGAACATAATTCATCAGAACAAAATCTACTCATCAGCCTCATCAGACTTGTCGCCCTCCTTCTCCTCCTCAAGCTCCTCATCATCCTCCTCGAAAGTAGTAGCAGGGACGCTGTACAGACGCAGGACAGACTTGTTAGGGTCCTTGATGAGGACGTACTTCTTGACCTTATCGGCGGGCTCGTCGGAGTCAAGAGCACGGATACGGTCAACGATAGTACGGACGATACCCCAACCGTTACCGAGGTTAAGGTTCATCTGGCTAGCGAACTCGCGGGGCTTGTAGCCAGCAACGCCGAGCACGACGTGAGCAGCAGCAGAGCGGGGGTTGACACGGGACACGAAACCGAGCTTCATGCCGTCAGCCTTGGCCAGGATAGCCTGGGTGGTCCAGCGGGCGAGCTTGGCGCTGTTGTTCTTCATCTCGGTAGCGAGGACGGCACCACGCTGGGAGTTGAGCTTGCTGCGCCAGTCGAGGGCACCGCCGGAGCCTTGGGCCTTGGGGTCGAACTCGTTCAGGGCCTTGATGATGAGCTGCTGGTCCTCAGTACCGGTGGGGCCGCCCTTCATGACGGCGTCGACCTCTGTGCGGACGACCATGGAGACGGGCTCCTCATCCCGCTCGAGGGAGATGTCGAAGCGGCGGTACTTGTAACCCTTGGAGGCGAGGGGCTCGGTTTCCTCGGTCTCATCGTAGAAGGGGTTGGGCTTGGCGAAGGAAACCTTGTTCTTGTCGGACTCGATCAGAGTCTGCAGGGCGAAGTTGTGGTTGATGATGGTGGCCTCCATGGCGAGGGCGTTGGGGGTGTTAATCTGCTCCTGCTTGCCGGCGGCCTCGGCGGCCTCGAGAGGCGCATCGATGGCATTCTCGTTCACGCTGACCATGTCGAAGGAGGCACCGTCGCGCTTGTCGAAGTAGATCTTGTCGCCCTGGTGGACGATGACAATATCCCACGAGTAGACACTGCGGGTGGCGCACATCAGCATGGACAGGATATCGGAGGTAGAGAAGACGGTAGCGGCGTTCTTCTCGGCGAGCTCGTTGATGACGGGATCCTGGGAGGTGGTAACGTTGTAGGCAGCACGGTCGAGGGCTTGCATTCTGCGCTCGGCGTTCTTGACGGGGGGCTTGTCGTAGGACTTGTCGTAGTAGTGGAGGAAACCGTAGGTCTCGAGGTCCTCGCCCTCAGGAGCATCGAGGTTCAGTTTAGACAGACGGGTGAAGTCAACCTCCTCGAGCATCTTCCAGTCAGGACGAATGTTGACAGATGCCTCACGAATGCGCTGGGGCTTGTCGTAGTCTCTCCAGCCGAAACGACGGCCACCACGGCCACCGCGGGCGCCGCCACGGTCGCTGAATTGGTAGCCACTTTGCTGACCGCGGCCAACATTGGGACCAGCACGCTGGAATCCACCACGTCCACCGCGCTGGTTAGCAGCGCCGCGCTGACCACCACGGCCACGGAAAACGGTGCCACCGCCACGGCCGAAACCGCGCTTCTGGACGCGAGTGTTGTCAACGACGGAGAAAGAGGACTCGTCCTCGGCGGCTGCGACAGTGAAGAGGTTGGAGGTACCGGCGCCGTACACCTGCTGGTCTAATGGGACTGTTAGCCATTGCTATTCGACTGAAAGAGAAACTTGGTGGGGACAGAAAAAAGGTGAACATACCTCTGAAACCGCGGTTGTACTGGGGACGTTGGTTCTGACGCTCCTTGGTCTCGGCGGTCCAGTCGGCCATGCGGCCCAGCTTGTCGCCCTTGGAGAAAGGAGCATATGGCACACCGGAAAGCATGTTATCGGCGGAGGTGGAGGGGCCCCAGGTGTCCTCCAAGGGGAGGGCGGCCACCAGGTCGGCGAGAGATGTTGAAGGCATTTTTATTGTGATCTATGGGCAATATGCGCTGGGCAACTGCTCAAAAATCAAAAAGGTAGAGGGGTTGATTGATCGATAACCCCGGGGAATGTGGTGTGGATTAATTGAAGGCGGGAAGTTTTTTGTGTCGCGAGGGTGTGGCGGTGTGAACAAGCACCGCCACATGGACACCGCCACATGTTTCTTTACCAGCCCTGGTCACTTCGTTCTTCATCGTTATGACCGGAATCCTATCTGAATTTCAAGAAATTTCCACGAAATGTTGCAGGCCCATGCGAACTCTGCCCATGGCCAACAATGACCCGTTAAGTCCTGACCCAGGATCTCACCAGATCCCGCCACGAGAATGCCCAGTCTTTTCCTGTTTTTCGGCAGATGGTCGAATTGATAATGACAAATACCGAATCCCCTGAAAGCCAAGATGATATGATTTGAGACTATGTTTGAGATGATGACCACGGCTCTTAGTTGACAGACTAAACAAGGCACAGCATCGATATCTGCTTCTAATGTTGGATCCAATCGTTCACGTAACTCATTCAGACATACTTATCAAGATCGTCACGGACCATGACGACAATCAGGGGAAGCCGAGATGTACGAAACTTCAAGTGATCCAATGAAGAACAATGGTCATCCGGATTAACTTTGCCCAGATCGGTTTACCAAGAGTCCAAGACATTTGGATCAACACAATGTTAACCCCTTGGTGCTCGAAAACTAGTTCGTTGCCGTGCAATCAACGGTGCGAGACTTATCTCAAATATCTCGTTTTTTCCGGGGTTGGAAATGACAAATCGCAAGCCAACTGCATAAAATTTCAGATTGCGGAGACTGCAGCACTACGGATCAGAGATTTGGTTCCTGTTCATCAATTGAGTTCCGGTTGATAGGTCGATCGGAGAGAATGGGCTCTGCGAGTTCCCTGTGATGGATCGACGTCTTGGCAGTTCTGATTCGGTGCCAGGGAAGATCCTGGAACCGGCTCCACTGATAAGGAAATCCCCGGAGAAATGGGAGAGGAAACAACCGGGGTTTGCCCCGCTGGCTATTGGTTTTGTATATTGATTTGGCATTTGCAGCCAGTGACTACAAGCCTTTCCATGATACGGAGTTACTCCGCAGTGAGCATGGAGCAAGAGTGATCGACAGCCAAGACAGCTCGCTTACAACCCATCTGGATCATGGATATCCACATCATGAACTATGTGATTCAATCTAAGGAACTAGTTCACTCTTCCAGTACCAGGGACTGCCCTTCCAGCACCTCTCTGCCTCGGTTCGTGGTCAAGACCTCTCACATGACCTCTTACACTGGGACCAATGCTATCTAGAGTTTTGCAGATCTTCTGATCCATTGAGAAAGGAACTACTCGGGGGTTCATTTTTACGACTCACAAATCGAGTTTCCACAATCTGACCTAGATCATCAGGGTACTCAATTATTGAACATAGGGGTGGTCTTGGAAGCAATTGATACCTAGATATCCTGTCTCGAAAACTATATAAGGACCAGGATATTCCACGGATTCCAGACATCATCCACAATCGCAATCCTTTCTTCATCACAACTACTCCTCTCTTCTTCTAACAACCAACTTGAAACCTCCGTTAAAATGAGACTCTCTATCTTCTCCGTCCTTTCTCTCGCTGGCGCCGGCATGGTGTCCGCCCTCCCTCAGGAGTCCAGCCTCTCCGTGAAGCGCTCTGATACTTCTGAATGTGTCGGTCCCCTCCTCTGCTGTGGAACTCTCACCACTCCTCTCGACCCCCTTGTCGACCCCCTCTTGTTGACTCTTGGCATTGATGCTGCCAACATCGTTGGATCCATTGGTCTTCTCTGTATGTTTGGACTATCTTGTTATGTTTACCAGATGGTATTGGGATATCTTCTAACATTTCTCACAGGCCACGGGTACGAGGCATCCAGCTGTGATACCAAGCCCCAGTGCTGCACCGAGGCTAACCTCCTGGTAAGTGATACTCTACATCGCAGACTCATCCGCGGAGAGTCCATAACTAACTGGTTTTAGGGTGGCACCCTCGCCCTCGGATGTGCGGATCTGAAGGAATAGGTCCAGTCTGTTGGAACAGTTCAGGTATATATTATGGCTTTACAGCAGACCTGATACGTTTGCTAAACCACTAAAGATGTACATTCTTTTCCGGGATGAAGTCCCTTTCAACTTATATTTACATAATAGCAACTTTTACTCTTCAATGATACCTGTGAGATTTGTAGACTTTTCTATGTCGACCAAAGCTGGGTATTTACTTACGCATCTAGTTGGAGTACAAGAATATCGGGGTATAGGACTTCGATGGCCATAGCTGTGCTAGCCGTCGGTGCAAGTCGGCCGCTTTAGGGGAGTCAGTGAGCTCGGCATAAGATATCCGCTTGTTTCTTCAGATACTCTGTTATTTCACTCATGTTAACCAGTTCCTGGTCTGATTTCTGACTACTCAATAATGTAGTGTCCCCCAGATTCCAGAGCAGGATGACTAAGTGGCCATGTGATCCTCCATGGATATAAAATACCCCACCAGTACCTAGTCATCCCGGTGTTCTCCTCAGTGAACGACTCTGCTTTTACCCAGTCTTCGCTGTCGATACCCCTGCTGCCTTCGTTGCAGTGTTCCCTCTTCACTAGGTAGCTTCTGCTCATTGATAGACAATCAATACTTCTTCCGCATCTTTTCTCTCTTGTCACAATCTACCGACCATGACTGTCCCAGACTCCATTTTACTAAATCTTCCTGTTGAACTGCTGGAGATGATATTTCAGCACCTTCAACGATCACCATCTTCTCTTTACAGTCTTACGTTGACTTGTAGCAAATTCCAGGTTCTCACAACGCCATTACTCTACACTTCGATCTGTTTGACGAATCCGATCAACTGTGAGCAGCTTGCGAGGACATTGGAGCAAAGCTCTTGGTTATCTTCTCTTGTCTTGGACTTCCAGGAACACTTTCATGATGCCCAGATCGATCAAATCTATTATCCTCTCATTGATGCCATCACTGAAATGCAAAACCTTGAAAGCCTGACCTTGCGCAGCGTGCCGTCCAAAATCAACCGCACGCTACTCGTTTTCCTGATGCAAAACAAAGATAATGCTGAGATTGAGCCCCCCAGTCGATACGTGGGACAGGGGCTACGATCGTGTAAATCATTGAATCTGACTCGATGGAGTGAGCAAAAGGCTAATTTTCTTTAGTATATCTCGGGGCCTACAAGAGTACTTCTTGGTCAGATGGGTGGGACCTTAGTCAAAACGAGATTGTTTTCTACATGGAACAACTTGAGAAGCTCCACATCCAAGGCGCCATAATAGACTCCTTGCGCCCAGGAAGCTTTGGGAAATTATTTCCTCCTAAGAAGACAGCTCTCAAAGATCTGGCGTTGGTTAGCTGTCAGATTGAACCATCTACATTTGGACAGATCCTCGCCTTCCCTACGGGCCTTACCCACATCACCATGAGAGGCGGATGGTCGCAGCCGAGCGGGGCATTCGAGAGAGAGGGCTTTCGATCCGAGTACATTGCAGCAATACAACGGAGCGACTCGTCTGATGTGGAGTATCTTGATTTCGACATGATGGATACAGAAAACAAGCCGGCTTTCGACCGCTTGTACTGTTTGAAACAGCTCACAATCCCCATAGAGACGTATGCGTACCACGAAAGAAACCCATGTGACGAATTTGGTGCATCCGATCTTGATGAGTGTCTTCCTGCCAGTCTGGAGACTCTCATATTGAATGAATTCGACCGAAAAGGTACCTTCTTCGATAGCATTGGTGAACGGGTGGAGGCCGGGGAGCTTCCAAATCTGCGGACGGTTATATACAGGAGGTTCTATGGCGAGGGCCAGAAAGAGAGCACGGAGGGCTGGGAGGATGGTATTGAAACGTTGCGGGAATTGGGGGTGGAGTTTTCTATTGTCTCCCATCACGGTCCAACTACCATGCCTGAGAACGATAATTGGCCATGCGGATGCTGGGTCTATGCATACTAAACAATTCTCAGAATCAGATATCTTCAAAGGGTACATAAACATAATATATACATGGGGACCTTGTGGACATCAGAAATCAATTGTTGCCACTGAAGGGCGTAGTCAATGTTTTAATCATGTTGGTATATATATTTTCCGCTAATGTAGTCCTCCTGGTAGATGACACTCTATATAAAACATAGGATATCCGATATAAGTTACAAACTGGAAAATTGTAGGCAACAGCTTTCTTTGTTGAGCCTCGGACCCGATGTCATCCTCGCAAATTTTCCACATTTCCCCAAAACATTTCTTGACGAAATAGATTGCTCTGGGAAACATACACATCCAGAGAATTACTCATATCTCGTTCATTTGTCAAATACTTCCATCCCGAGCGCTATCATGGACAACGATAAAGCCCAAGCCAGCGCACCGAGCGGGGACGGCAACACCATAACTCGATGCATTATCAACAACTGCACGATCACCAATTCCTGCGTGAACCGATCCACCTTAAGTGACTGTGTACTATCGAAGACAGAAGACGTGAGCCGGAGCACGGGTCAAAAATCGCAGTTCCACGACGCGGCCTCGGTCGAGCGCAGCGATATCATAAACAGCACTCTACAAAGTCAGAGCTCGGTGCACCGATCCACAGTCGGACAGTCGGTCATTCAAGACCAGAGCGCGGTGAAGCGGAGTGTAGTAACCGGCACGACGGTCTCGCGCAGTCAAATCGAGAGAGCTACCTTGACAAACTGCGTTGTCGCTGAGTGCGTCATCGAGCGGTCGGACTTTCAGGGACTGGTTCTTAAATATGGTATTTGGAAGCGGAATGAATTGGTTGGGAAGACTGGGGATCATGATCCTATTGTTATTAGAAATCATGGGTCAGACTCAGGGGCCGGGGTAAGTTAATTCCATCGAGCAAGGAGCTGCATCAACTGACCATTCTTAGCAATCTGCATCTGTGCTTGGGTCTACTATTCCGGGATTGGATCCCAAGAGTCACGATCGAGAGGCTGTTCCTCCTGGCTACCATAATGACCCACATACCAGTGGGAATAGTCCGGATGATGGCCTTGATCTACCCCCACCTTACAGGCCTTAACATAAGGCGGAGAAGAAGGAGCTTGTCTCGATGGGTTATAGGCATTTCTTTCTGTTATTTACCATGACGCGCTGGTCCGCTTTCTGCTAGTGGTATGTTCAACGACGAAGAATATGTGGATTGTGATAGCTCATCTCGCTGCTTATCCAAGGGTACGAAAGCCTTGGGCATTACTGCAGAGAATTGATGGTCTACTATAAAGCATCTCTAGTAAAGGTTTGCTAAGTTACCAAGAAAATTATCAATATTGTGGATTATAAACAGCCCACTTGTGAGCGATCTAACTGCTAGGACCAGCGACAACATATTGCTTCTCAGTCTTAATGCTGCTAAGTACATCCTCACTGAGGTTGAGCGTATCCGCAACGATTTGTTTCGGCGTAGACGCGATCCACTGACCAAGAGCCATATCTACTATTGTTAGTACACAAACCCCAAACATATATCAAGGGAAAAATACCTGTAAACTGAGGCGCCTGGAGCACCTCCACAAAAACCAAGTCTTCGTCACCAGTATTCTCAATATAATGACTATTAGACTTCGGGAAGTACCCAACATCACCACCGGCATAATCGAATGTAGTCGCAGCATTCGGGGCCGTGAAAAGCGTTGCGCGGCCCTGGCCCGAAATGAAAAACGTCCATTCGTCGCTAGTCGGATGCCAGTGGATTTCGCGCATGCCGCCTGGATGGACGGTGACAACGGCGGCGGAGAAGTTACTGGCGATTGGGAAGGTGAGCGGGTCGACGATCTTCACTGAGCCCCCGGCAACTTCGTGAGCGGGCTGCTCGGAGAAATGGTATGAGTAGCTCTGGGCGCGAGGTATGATGCCAGCTGTTGTTGTCACGTTCTGTTTCTCGATGTCTGCTGGGGCGGGCGTGCCTTTGAATATGTATAATTCGTCGGCGGGGAGCTTGTCAAAGGCTGATACGTCAACTCCGAAGTTCTTTGAGAGGACCTCTCTCTGTGTATGGGTTAGCAATTGGATTTCTTTGGTGTAAGATCTGCTTTTCTTTACCGGGGTGTGGAGGAAGACTTCTGTTGCGAGGAATGTATTATCCTCGTTGAAGCCACCGTCGTCGAATACCAGAAGGAACTCGACTCCATCGTCTAGGGCTTGAATAGAATGAGGAACACCACTCATAAATAATTAGTATAAAGCATTATCCGTGCACATTACAATACTCACGGTGGGAAGAACCACACATCGCCAGCAGTAAGGTCGTCGATAAATGTCTCCCCATTCTCGTTCACAGCCTGGCTGGTTAGTACTTATTTAATCCCTTCGAGATGAGCCAATACCTGGATTCGACACGATCCATTCAACACCAACGACCATTCAGCGGCCACATGCCAGTGAAGTTCACGGTAACCGGCAGGCGCCAAGCGCATATCGACACCGGCCATGAGCGTCGCATCCGGCATCACATTTATGTTCTCTTGGCGAGCCCAACCAGCTCCATCTGATCCAAGCCTTAAGAAAATATGAGTATCTGCGGTGTTCTTGTTCGGGGATGAAGATTACCTGTTGTGGCTCAATCCTAGCATACAGTTAGCAAATTGTACATTTCTCTGCACAAACCAGACTTACCCATTGGCCACTGCGCATTAATCGTCTGTCCATGGTCAGTTCCGGGCGGTGCAAGCTTATCACTATTGATTCTGTCATAGTAATAGTTCCCTAAAAGAATGTCAGTGTACTCTGTATTATACATCCAATCAGAATAGCATTGCATACTCGGACCGGGATCATCAGCCCCCGCGGAACCACGGATCGGCTGTGGATTATCGGCTTTCTCGAAATCGAGGTACGGCCCAATATTGGGATCTTCCGTCTGTCCAGGAACAAGAGTATACTTGATGTCAGGTGGCGAGTCGCTGCCACCCTTATTCGATGACGAATGTCCAACCAGCGAATCGCTTCCTCGCAAACCCGGGTTGGGGGTATCCCTGCGAGCAGGGATCCCATGCACCAAGGGTAACACTGCAGGAAGCAGAGTAACGAAGAGTTGGAACTTCATATTGACGTTTCGAAGAAACTCGGGGAGAACTGAGAAGGAAGTAGGTTGAACCGAAATTAAAAGCGGGCTACTATCACGTCCCAACCGCCTTTTATATGTCTACGCTTGAGATTGGCCAACAAAAGTTTAACATTATGAATCAGAGGCTTCCGTATTGCACCATCCCTTCGCTCTAATCAGGTGGGGGCGTTTCTCCAAATATTCGCTGAGGGGTTCCCCTCATGGCGACGCTAAACGAGGCAAGGCATCGGAATATCGGCTCTGCAGAACCTGTTATGAGACATTATTCTCTATGAGGGGATATGGACCGTCATAGGCGGGGAGACGGGACGGGCACGGAGAGCGCGATAGATCAGGGATAGGGAGACTTTAGTGTAGAATCACCCCTCACTGCAGTAGGTTTTGGAGGTAATTCATCCCCTCGGGAATTTAAAAATAGCCAGGAATAGCAGAAGTCCCTGGATCGTCGCTTGCTGCAGGTCGCAGTAACGAAGCCGGAAGCGGGATTTACCGACAAGCAATAAGTGCAGTTGCAGAAGGCTTGAGACTAAAAGTTGTGGATTGTCCTGGCCAGTACAAAAGTCTCGCCGGCCCCGGGGCGTCGCAGGCTTATTTAGGCCAATCCTCGGCCCGCTATGTGTGAGTAAAGACGGGTTCTTAGCAGTGCATGTAGAATCCAGGCTGCTCGGTTTGCCAAGGTGGTGTGCGTATACGTCACAAAAATCAAATATGTTGCACAAGCGGGAGGGAATATCACGAGTACGAGACAAATCGACACGGTATATTGAGAATGTGTTAAGCTTCTCAGCCAAGGATGCCGAGAAACGCTAACAGACAGAAAATCCCCGTTATATCCCCGCCCGTGTCAATTTAATTTAGCCTCACAAGGTAAAAATAGACAGGTCTCCACCTGGGCACTCAAGGAAGCTTAATAACTGGCTTATATTTCACTAGTGCCATAGACCTTCCCGTCTGTGACAGGTCACATTTAGCATCTCTGGCTGATTCTCCTCTCTACTTCTATTTTATATACGATTAGCTTAGACTCCTTTCGCATCAAACGATCTAGAATGAGGTGAAGACTGCAACCGTAAACCATTGCAGTTGAATTTAGGGAAGGGTGCAAGTTCAACGTTGCGGGGTTATGCGGGGCCATGACATCAAGGCCAACTATTCCTAATGGGGTCAGGAGGACCGACTTGACCCACTAGGGGATGCGCACCGGGCATATAAATAACTAGCACATTGATATATTGAATGCATTAAGGGCATAAATATGCATAGTTAGTGTGAAAATACATATTCAACGAGGTGCGGGTAGAATTATGACCGTCCTAACTAAAAGTAGCACTATCTATCTCGGATGGATGATTTGATCAATATCACAGATACCAACCGAATCCAGGCTGGGTCTGGGTTGTGCGGAAGCAGATGGCCACCGAGGACCAGGACCAGCGGCGACAGAGCGGGAAGAGTCGGGTCCTTCGGAGACCAATTGTTTTGCGCCGGGACCACCTTTTGTGGCTATATTGAGCCAGCCGAGGTGATAGAGGCGTGCAACGTGCAGCTGGTTAATATCCCATGACTTCAGAGCCAACGGGTGCCTACATTAGAGTTCCGCCTGGTCGGTACGGCCCGCATGGATGTATTGTGTACTCCATATGTAGAGATGTATAGATGTATGGTGTAATGTAATGTATAGGTATTGGTCCTCCCTTATCCTAATCCTTATCCGGTCAGGGAAACTAATGAATGAAGTTGATATTCTCTATTCGCTTCCAGACGGTCGATTCGTACCAATATGTAACGGCTCCCAATGGTCCGATTCGCCGATTTCTTCCCCAGGGCGTATCGAGGCACCTGCAAATCGTCGAAAGCAGCAGCTATATTATCATCATGAAAAAGCAAGTGGTCTGTCATTAGCTAACTAGTGCCGTTAAGCTGACGTTTTCTTCCTAGCATCAACGGGAACCTACATATTTCCGTTATACCAGTAGCTCAAGGGAAGGAATATGATATATGCAATCTGTCTCGCTGTTCCTCCTTGGGAACTCGGCCTCGGCCTCGGAGACTCGCTGGTTAATGTCCCTCAATTCTACCGCAGGTTCTTTAGCACGAGAATTGGCATCTCGGGCAACGGACTTCGCTCGAGTAATCTGCATCATTTGGATTGGCTTAACAAAAGTTTTATTGAGTGCCCGTCGCTCGATTGTGACAGTCTCCCCCGGAGTAACCCTTATCGTCAGTGCGACATTGACCTGCTGGCCTGATTCGCCTAGCCAGGACAAAACATCTTCCTTCGATCTATTCAGTGCCTCAGACCATCCCGATTCAATGATGACCGTTGGCCATTTCGGGTCGAGTAGGATAGCAACTATTGCAAGGTCATTGTTTGTTCTAGCCTTTGTCCCGAAATGGGAGATTTTCTCTCGTGGGAACTTGGCAGCTGACGTCGAGTAGCGAAGATCTGATGACAGCAAGAAGTGGCTTCATATCGATAGTTGAAAGTAACCGAGAAGGCTCTTCCCATGACATTCGTACGAACACACCCGCCAGGCTCGAATGTACTGGTGATCTTCACTTGAACCTTGCCGGTATCCTTTCGATCACTTTCTTCAAAGTCTTGCACCACTTCCATGTTTTTCTTTGTGGTAGGAATCTCAGAAGTAGGTATAACCTTGAACGGCAAGATAAACCATTGAGTGAATCGAAAAGTAGGTATTTGATTTGTGTATGTATTTCTATATGATTTTGGTACAGTAGCAAAACAAAGGGGCTCCTTCGAGCTGATTCGGCAGTTGATGCATTGAGAATCAGAACATTAGCAGCGGGGCCGTGAATGTTGAATGATTAGAACAGATCAAGATTCCCCTTCACCCTTGCCAACGAAGAACCCTGTGAGTGGTAAAACACCATCTTCTACTTCGTTCGAGAAAGTTGGGTGTGTCCGTTTCAATTCCCAAGCAAAGGTTAGGGCGTCAAGGAACGTAAAGACCAGATAGCACAGTTGAAAGGCCCTAGCAATAAGACTTTTAAAAGTTCACAGGAGATCCCTCAAACCCGTACGCCTGCCAGTTTTCTAGGACCTTGTTCTTGACCTCTTGGGGATAAGATCCACGGAAGGAAGCTTCAACCCATGGCCGGTCCAAGGTCTCGAACTCCTCGGGCAACATGCACAGCCTGACGACCTTCGCTTTTTGCCCACGGGGGTTGAAGCCGTGAGTGGCATATGGCACTAGATCATATGTCGGATAGTTGCCCACGAAGTAGAAGTCACTGGCCTGTGGCTGAGACTTGGTCGCTTCAGCCCACACGACGTCACGCAAGTTACTAGGATCGACATTGTCGCCAACAACAAAGATCTTTGGCACGAATCTACCAGGCTTGGAGGAGAAAACGATCTCCCCAACCTGGCGGCAGAATTTCTCAGGCGCGGTCTTCATTTCTACAAGCCTCTTCCGATCGACCTGGATGACGTACCAGATGGCTTGGGACTCGTATGGGCACCAGGCCTTGGTGATTGGTAGGTTTGCCTGCTGCAACAAGTCGAGAATTTCAGCGCAGATGGACAGGGCCCAAACGGTATGAGTTTCGTCTGGAGCACGGCCTGCGACACTGATCGGCACTATAGGGTTGGTTCGGTAGGTAATTGCATTTACCGTCATTACCGGCTGTGGCGATTTCTTGGGTGGGAAAAGAAGACCGTGATACTCTCCCATGGGGCCTTCCATCGCGGTCTCGGTTGCCGAGATAACTCCTTCAAGAACCAACTCAGACTGTGCCGGCACTACAAGATCATTTGTTTCACACTTAATAACCTCCACGGGAACTCCTGTGAGAGTACCAACATAATCCGGCTCGTTCACGAACTTGGGAAGTGGCATACCACTAGCCACGGCCTGAAGGGTTTTCAGATATTAGCGTTCTGGAAAATAGCGTAGGATGCTGGCACAGAATATCAAAAAGAATAGGTAAGAGCTTACAGCTGCTGGCGGAACACCAAGAGCGCAGGCCCAAGGTGTGTCCTTTCCCAGGGCCTTCCACATCGCCCAGATGGCGCCAATGTCCTGATTCACATCAACAAGGCCGGTCAATTGCCGTTTGCCGATCACCATGCAGCGAGTGATAGCCCAATTCACCCATTTCCCATCCGGAGTTTGAACACTGTGTAGTCCGTATGTGAGGAAATATCTTCCTCCGTCGTGTACGTGATTTTGTGGAACCGGCATCTTGAGAAGGTCGATTTTATCGCCAAATATCTTGTGCTCCTTGAGTGGTGCGTCTTTCACTTGAACAGATGGAATCGGGTCGGCTCTTTTGGCGGCTAGGAGCTTCTGGATGATATCATGTCCAGTTGCGTTGGAGGGCAGCCCGATAGACTTCGCCAAACGGGCATTGCGAGTTTCGGGATCGCTTCGGACACCCACTGGAGCACCGAGAATACGGAAGAGACCATCTGGACCATCTTTACCCTTGGGGTTGTTGATAAGGGGTATTGGGCTACCTGTTTCGTATGCACGGCGAGAGATGGCACCGGACTCGAGATGAGGATCCACCTCCAGATCAATTTCCACAAGGTCTCCCTCGGCCTTACATTCTTCAAGGAATGTGCGCAAGGATGTTGCGGCGGAGAGCTTTCTTGTAGACATGTTTCGATGCTTGGGTTTCAGGAATAACAGAGAGGGCGATAACTTGAGCAAATGTTTTGCGCGGTGAAGTTGATGCAAAGGTAGATGATCTCACGAAGTCGAGTCAATTAAATTCGTGTTGGATTCGTCCTTGTCTGCTCAAGTCCTGGTAAATATATTAGTTGTCTCAATCATGCGATTTAGTATGTATGGATGTTAGCGTAAACTATGACCGGGGAGATAGGAATGTGGTAGCCGCGGGATGCTGATCTTACCTATTCTCGTCATAGTAGATGCCACACTATGACCCTCTTGTATCTCCCCGGCCGATCTATCCGTAGGCTTCTGATTGTCACTCCCCTCCGACAGGCCCGGCAGGCCGAAGATCTCCACTAGCCGTAGCTTCGATCCTCGAATGCGATTTGTCCATCAGGAGATACGTTACGAAAGGATCCGATCTACACCCGGGCAGCAATTGCCAAGCCAAAGACAACCACCACAATGATTTTAAGCAAGATAAATGACTTTTATGGCTACGATAGATTAACGAAGGTAGAGGGGTGGCATATTTAAATAAAAGGCCCCCCTTGAACACTTGGCCATTGCTTCCATAACGGCCAGCACCAACACAGGATATTGTTCCATGCTCTTTAAGAACTTGGGGTGCTCTCCTAAGACTCTTCCAACAATGCCCGCCAGTCAGCCCCAAGCAGGTGAGCCACGCAAGAAGATCGTGGTGGCAATCACAGGCGCTACCGGAACAATACTGGGAATCAATTTACTCGTTGCCCTTCGCCATCTTCACGTCGAAACCCACCTGATAATGTCCAAATGGGCCGAATCAACCATCAAATACGAAACAGACTACCATCCTTCCAACGTCAAGGCTCTCGCTGATCACGTCTACAATATCAGTGATATGGCAGCTCCTATATCCAGTGGGTCATTTCACACAGATGGAATGATCATCTTGCCTTGCAGTATGAAGACGCTTGCAGCCATAAGTTCCGGGTTCTGCGATGATTTGATTTCACGCACCGCAGATGTGACGCTGAAAGAGAGGCGAAAGTTGGTCCTTGTGACTAGAGAAACACCATTGAGCGACATTCATCTGCGAAATATGTTGTCTGCATCACGGAGTGGTGCCATAATCTTTCCACCTGTGCCAGCATTCTACATTAGACCTTCGTCGGTTGAGGATCTGGTCAATCAGAGTGTGGGGCGAATGCTAGATTTGTTTCACCTCGATGCGGGGAATTTTGAACGATGGAGCGGGTGGAAAAAAGAGTGACAAGTCAGAGCTTGTCAAAAGATATCAGCAAGTCGACACTGACGTCGTGATCACAATCAATCAATTGCTACTTTGGATCACGCGAATTTATGAGGCTGAAAAAAATTACAAGTTTGAGTCTCGATATTGCTCTTTTCATTACCTTCTGAGTCATGGTTTGCCCTTTTATTTGCACGTTTAATTCGTTCACCTCCTGCCTACGGTGTATATTCACTGTCTTCAATTCTGACTTTTGTATTTAAGAAAATTCCCCATCGTCTAATGGACGACAGGAAAGTTCACCGATCACCCTATGTATTTATTGAACACGGGAATCAACACGCTGAACATGAGAAGCTTGTATATAGATCAAAAGAAATGGTACTATTGTTGACTGGATCTAAAAGATGCATTGCCACCTAAACTATGCGTTCCAACTAAACTTTACACCCTACAGATACGGACGCATGTCTGCTGATTTGAGTGCTATTCAATTCGAAGCAGACAAAGTCAGTGTCGTTTGCTCACGAGTAAAATAGTTTTATACGTCTTGATTACGCCAAGATGCTTCGTTCATATACTAAATCTTCCAATGCGCTTTGGATAATTGCAAATGCCCGTTTTATTGCATCGCCACATGACAAGATACCCTCTTGTGTTTCCCACAGTCACCAAAGCCTTTTGCTATACTTTAGTCACACTCATTGATGGAGCTTGGGTTTTTGATACATTATCGGCTCTCTCACGGCTGGAAGTTGCTTTCGAGATTCCGAAACAGTAAGCGACGTCTTTGGTTGCAGTATACTTAATCCATATAGACTGCAACCTTTCGAGCCTAGACGAGGGTAGGACCGTAGTATCGATAGTAAGAGAAAGAGATGTAAAGAGCATTGCAGTCTGTTGGGAGTATCCACAATTTTTCGATTCTCGTGCTGGGCCCTACCGTCTTGGTTGGCCCATTCTATCTCCTCCCTAGTATTTCGTGGGCTTGCATCCATTTGACTAAAAAGCTCTTGAAGGCTAGGCTGTATAACATGTATCGTCAATTTTTAATTGCCCATAATTGTCATGTTGAGGCAGATTAGTATAAGTTTTCATCAGATGGAAGAAGAAAGTGAATATATGGATTGCCCGTTGATACAACTCTTTGTGAAAAATCGACTGAAATCGGACTCACATTAGATAGAAGACAAGGCCAGGATATTATGGGAGATATACGCTACACTTATGGCTCGACGAAGCTCCATATGCTCGATTGGCTTTGCATTACACAATGAAATCCAGCTTAGTAAAAATATTTCATCACACGAGGCTGGGCAATGTCTTGGCGCCGCGCGAACATTCGTGAATTTCAAGTAGTTGATTTCATTGCTTATTGCTAAAATATGCTCTCGCAACTGCGGTGCAGTTGTCATTTTAGAATTTCCTGATCTTACAAAGCCTTGGCGGCAGTTTTGCCCGCAAGTCGACCGAATGTAAGACATCGGAGCGCACTGTTGCATGGTGGATCTAAGGTGCATAGTCAGTACATAGAAAGAACACATCGTTGGCGATTGACTTCGGATTCCAATTTCGGAGGCAACCTTACTCTGTTGGTTTGTCAGAATTATTTTGCTTCAATAACGGATCATTAGGTTGGGCTTACCTCATTGTAATAAAACCCGCTAAGTTCACCAGCGCAGTAAAGTCCTTAATACGACGTGACGTGTCAGTGAGGAAATGATCGCAAGATGTAAGTTTAGCGTGTTTGTGCGAAGGTCTGATGGATTTTGCTGTGATAAGGAAATATTAGAAATCATACCTGGAATTGGGGTACCCGTCGTGGAGAGCACACGGGACTCAAGATCGACCTTCAGTCCTCCAAAAGTGATTACAACCTTTGCAGTCAGAGGATACCTAGATACCCATCAGTAACAGTGGTATCTAAGCAGATTATATGATTTGAGGGGAGCATTACCCATAGAAAGGAGCCACTTTGATCGGTGCGGCCCAGTTGGTCTTGTTAGGAGTTAGGCCGAAGGTGCTCTTGCCGTCAAGAACCAAAGGGTTGAATTCTTTGTCATTAATTCTGCCACCAGCCATTAGTGTGAGACTCTGACATTCCTGCTAGCTGACTTACGAAGCATTATATTCATCCACCGTCTTCTTCAGTTCTTGGGGAACGAGACCGAGTTTTTTGGCGAGATCTTCGATCGTCTCGCCTTTCTCTGGGTCCAGATCAGTTGTATCATAAACCCAACCAGGTCGGAATCGGTCCATAATGGGAGCATCGGTAACACTTGGAGGCGTTTTAGCCATATACCGTTTATAATATAGGTTTGTCTGACTCACAAATATGCTTTTTGGTTTTGGTCTGAGATACACGTTAGCGGTGCATGTTCGCCTTCGACCTACCTCATTACTTACCGCGCCATGTCTCATAAGCAATAACTTCGCAAGTAGCGAAGAGGCTGCATTTGTCAGTTTGATACTAGTACAAGCTGGAGGCCGAACATACGATCGATTCCCTTCATCGTAAAATCGCTTGGAGTGTCTAAAGAAGGTAATGTGAGCCTTTATCCCTCATTTCATTTAAATGATTAGAGCATACTCGTTGACGACGATACCGAAGCTATGGCCCCAGACAGTTGCCTCTGGCTTTGAGGAGCGAGTATCAACAAGTTCACACTGCGACGGGTTAGTGAATCTCATAAGATCTTCATTTGCGTAACTTACGTGCAGGCCATGGAAAGAGCCGGCCGTTGCGGCACCGACTTGTAAGCCCATCTTGAGCCCAAACCCCGTATTATACTTGAGACCAGGGGCTACCAACCCAAGTTGGTCAGCTCTAGGTCCGACGTATCGGCCCAGCCTTCCATACTTTTTAGATTCATATCATATCGAATAAGTCCTGATCACACTCACATTTCGCGATTACCCTCGAAGCCACCACATGATAGCATGACTTGCTCACCAAACACATTGTCAAAGCGGCCGTCGTTCTTTCGAACCTTGACACCACGAATGGTACCATCGCCATGAGTCAGAAGTTCCTCCGCATTTGTCTCCCACATAATGTCCACCTGAGGGAACGACAGTATGTGCTCGAAAAGCTTGAGGATTATGGCATATCCGCCACCCTATTTGTAGTGATTAGATATTGGCTGGTATAAAAGTCATTTTAGGATGCGTACGTCTCCTTTGGCGAAGTTCTGGTCTAGAAGTTCATTAGCATTTGGCATAGCCTGAAATTGGATTTCTCAAAGGGCTTACCGGTATTAAATCCGAGGTAGACATTTCTCTCATCTTGATGTTGGACTATGATTCCGTCTACCTTATAATGTCAGTGTCAGTCCGAGTAAATTGAAAGCTTCCGAATCTGTTTACGGTCCAAAAGAAACTTCACTGTAGTGGGAACTTCGGCTTCCAATTTCTCGCAGTATGCCTGATCGGCAAGTCCATTACTGCCACAATTAAAAAGTGCGATCTTCGGGCTGACTAGAACGCTTACCTGACGAGCTAGACTATAGTCAGTCGCAAGGAATATAAAAGTCATTGGCCTGCCACTTACCTTCATCTCATCCTTGAAGCCGCTATCAAACCTGTTATCTGCACAGTCTTTAGTAAGTTGTACTTCAATTTGCAATTATCTTGCAACACACTCTTGTCCAACCGAAAGAAGGCCGGTGTCCATCTGAATGAATCTGGTCAGCACACATACGTCTCAATTATCACTAGAACTCGGAAGGTTCTACCTGCTGGCACCACATCGTTCTCCATCTTTACCGGCCTCGATCAAGGCGAGTTTCGCTGCCTTTCCTTGGGTCTTGGTATCTTCGAGGAAGTTGAGAGCAGTCATACACCCCTAAGCATTATCACGAGAATCATCATTAGCCATGTCGTCTCGATCCGCTTATTTGTCAAGCTTACAGCGAAACCAGAGCCAACTACAATAAGGTCGTACACGGTAACGGCATCCGAAATGGTAGTGGCAGGTGGACTGAGGGTCGACATGATGCGAGCTTTCTTCGTGATAATTGTCGATACAGACCTTGTGAATTGCGAATCAGATGCCTTTTTATCGTGTTATAGAACTTCTGTTAGTTAATGCCAAAGTTGACAGTGGCTGATCCACCTGAGCTTCTTGGCTCCCGTATGAGACCAGCCGTATCTCCCCGTCGGAACAGAATCCGAAAACCCATCTTGCTGTCTCTCTCGGCTTTTGAACGGCCCGCTGATGGATACGGTTTTTCTCAGGACTTTTGAAAGTATTTGGAATGCCACCGAATCCTTATGCGGCAATTTTCCAGTTACCTACTCGGAACTCCTTGCCATTTGATTCATAAACTTGAAACCCTTTAAACTTTCTGACTGGCTCAATGGGTTTTCGAAGCGATAATGACCCTCAGTAACTGTTACGACCCCGAGGGTCACTTGCCCAACTAGCCCGTATAGCTCGACGTACTCGCTAAATAAGCGCCAGGGGTATACACACACCGCGCACATGGGATTAGAACCTTAGACCAATTCGTCATTCTGCATGTTGCCTTCGGGGTGCTTACCACTTCGCCACCGCTACCGGCCAGTAGTACGTACATACTTGAATGATCTGATCTATAGAGAGTTGCAAAAGCCTCGGTGAAGAGCCAGAGGGGCATATAGGATAGACTTCCGGGGTGCTACCATGGCTAATTCAGCTTCCAGCATAGGAATAAAGATAATACAAATTGAAATCTGATACATATGGAATTTCTCTATTGAGGGGCACTGGTAGTGTCGTTGTGCGACTGGTTAAAGAGAGTACTGAGGAACCCCCAATCCTGACCTGTCATAAATTCACCCAAATCCATGGAAGCCGACGTCGCTCCATATTGCGAGCTGAAAACATCGGCTGAAAATCCAGCAGAAAAATTTGAATTCCAGCAGGTGTTGGAATCCGAATCGTCCATTTCTATGGAGGTGCAACCGGTCAGCATTATGATTCTCCAACGCAAACAGAACACGTAGCCAACTGAACAGAAGTAAAATCAAAAAAAAAAAAAAAAAAAAAAAAAAAAAAAAAAAAAAAAAATTTAAGGGCCAAAATAAGATTGGGACAAAATTATTAAAATATAAAAAAAAACAAAACAAAAAAAACAAAAACAAAAAATGAGAA